TTTACGTTTACGTTACGTTACGTACGTACGTACGTAACGTAGTAACTACGAACAACGAACGAACAACGAGTAGTAGTAGTAGGTTAGGTAGGTAGGAGAGAGAGAGAGAGAGAGAGAGAGAGAGAGAGAGAGAGAGAGAGAGAGAGAGCATTATTTTATTTCTTCTGGCATACTTGATATTTAGCAGCCGCTTCGACGACTATAGAGAGAGAGTCTTTACCTTATTTATTTCTTCTGGCACCCCGATGTGTAGCAACCGTGTAGCAGCTGCTTCGACAGATATTTGTTGAAATTTCTCTATATTTTCTGCTGCTTGCTTTTCCATTGATTGATTTTTGTTCTGGGCTTATGCACATCTTGGCTGAATTATTGCTGGTCCCCATCACGTTAGTGCTTCATGTTATTCATAGATATATCAGAAGAATTAACTTCTCCATGTTTGGTACTTCAAAACTTATGCAAAATTCAGGAAAAGAAAAACTAATGTTTGGAGCTGTCCACGGCTATGACCTTGCATCATAATTGCTTCCATGGGCACTTAACCATTCTTTAGCATTATAGTCTAGTCCCTGTTTATCTTATTTCAAATGAGCAGCATGTTGTTGCTTTGTTTCTTTCTACTATTCAATTTTCTCTTCACTGTTGATAATAGAGGAAAACTCATCTGATAGTGCTCTGGAATATGGTAACAAATTTTCTCCTTCTTGTGTTTGCTCTTCTATTGAGTAGTCTTTAAGGCACTTTTATTTATTATGTGTTCTTACTGAAAAGCATTGCTTGATGTATGCTCATTCTCTTCTATAGATGACAGTTAGATATAAAAAAGAATTTTCTTACTTCCACTTCTTAGATCTAGTTGTTATATTAATCGATCCCATTCTATTAGCCTGTTCTTAGCATCTCTTCTTAGAACTAGCTATTATTTTGCTTCATCTTGTATGAACTTGTTATGTACACATAGTATCTCTCTCTCTCTCTCCCCCGCCACCTAAGTTAAGTTATTTGCATATAGACCTCCTGAGGAAATGGATACGACTAGATCAACGCAATCTGAGGAATCAGCTTTGGACCGAGAACACAGTTTCTTCAGCCACCACCGCACACACTCTTCCTCTCCTCCTCTTCAGCCTTTCACATCGGGTGGCCAATACACTGAGGGCAATGCAGCTTACTTCTCATGGCCAATGTCTTGGCGCCTAAATGGGGCGGCTGAAGAAAGGGCTAACTATTTTGCTAACCTTCACAAGGGGGTCATTCCCCAAAGTATTGATCGCTTGCCAAATGGCCAACAAGCCATGACATTGCTCGAGTTAATGACAATACGGGCATTCCATAGCAAGTTCTTGCGTCGATGCAGCCTTGGAACTGCAGTGGGGTTTCGAATAAAAGGTGGAGTTTTGACAGATATACCTGCCATTCTTGTGTTTGTTGCTCGGAAGGTGCATAAACAATGGTTGGACAGAAGCCAATGCTTACCCTCTGTTCTTGAGGTAAACCCTTAAAATCATAAATCACTGTTTTTCTTTTTCATTTGAAGGTTATTTTATGGGAGCTGAGTTTATTGTTAATTGAAACTAAATGTTTGAACTAAACTTGAAAGTTTCAAAGTTTATTTTCCTTTCTTATTCCACGTTCTTGTGTGATATTGAGAAGCTTAAATTTGAAAATTTAAACTTTAACTTCAAACATTTGAGAGTTCATTGGTTTTGCAAATTTCTTTTCAACTTGATGATTGTATGTATTGCTATTGCTTTCTTGAAAGTGTTACCATAGGGGCGTGTTTTGCCACCTATTCCACTAACTTTGGAAGCCACGGCTTCCATGGAGTATCATGGAATCTGTAGCTTCCAAATTTCAGCATGAATTTACACTGTTTAGCAGTTCCTGTTTAACGAACAAGGGAAGTGCTACAGTACTGGATGCTGCAGCTTCCAGTAATCAAACACACGCAAAGTGGTTCACTTTACCAATGATTTCCATGAACTAGATTATATTCTTTGTGCTTGTGATGATGTTATATTTTGGGTGGTGGTGAATAGGGGCCTGGAGGTGTGTGGTGTGACGTGGATGTTGTGGAGTTCTCATACTTTGGAGAACAAACAACTGCCCCTAAAGAGCAATTATACTCTGAGCTTGTCGATGGCCTACGAGGAAGTGACCCTTGTATAGGTTCGGGCTCTCAGGTTCTACATTTGACTTTCAAACTGATGATGCTACCTGTCTAGTTTTGCATTATTAGTCTCCTTTAGATGATAGACAAGTCTCATATATGTGGCAAGCTTTGGGTGATGGAACTTCTGTTATCTTGGTAGGTTGGATGTTGATGTGGAGAATACCCATCGATACCCCTCATTTTGCATACTCAAGGTTTTTCTTGGGCTCATAGGACAATTAGTTATTATATCATTTTCTATTGGTTGACTTCATATTGAATAGTGTCAGTCACTCCATAAGCTTTTAAAGAGTTTCAAAGTTAAAGATGATCATAAATAACCTCTTTCTGAAATGGTTAAGTTTTTATGCAATAAAAAGAAACTAACAAATCAGTCGATGTTGGATGTTTATAATCATTGTCCAGTGTTGTTGATAGCTTCATAGCATCGATGTGATAAGCCGATGGCTTATCCTTCAAATTGTAATTTATGTTCATGTGGAAATTTTTGAAATGCTCATGTCTCATAGGGTTATAAGGGCATTTCAAGCTGGAGGATTGGTGTTGCTTAAGCTTGATCAATTGCATTAGCTTGGGTCTAGCATCTACTTGAGATCAATCAAAAACTATTTGAAGTTACCTCTTTGGCATCCACCATCATATTTTTTATGTAGTTGTCTTATTTTATTGTTATAAAGTAATAAAAATAAAAACTAAAACCAAAAATATAGGTGTCCTGAATCACAGTCAGAGATAGTACAGTCCCATTTGCGAGGAGCTCAGAAACTCCATTTTGAGCTGTGGCAACTCTAGTTGGCACTTCAAGATATTAGCTGAAATGCAGCTCAAGTGTCTTAAAACTGCTGGAGCTGAAGCTTCCAGTCAGATGTGTCATGAAGTGTGTGCTTCATACTTTGCCCTGGAGTGCACCCCATGAACTCGACAACTCTGAGTATGCCAATTTCAAAGCCTTCAAATAGTTTAATGATTTTTGTTTCTTAGAAGTCTTTCCAAATTAGTGCGTCCATGAGTAATTAGATTATAGAAAAGACCATGAATCCTGTGACTCTAACGACACCCTGACAACATGCAACTGGAGACCCATGACCCATATGTTTCCATGCTTTGGGGAGCTACTAGAAAAATAATTTCTGTGCGATGGATTTTTCATACTTTAATGTTTAGAATAACTGTTTTTCCTTCTTTTGTTTCTATGTTAAACTACTGTTGCTATTGTATCCAAGAGTTCTGCTGCATACTCTGCACTTGACAATTGTTTTTGTATTTAATCTTGGTTAAGTCTGCCATGGCCAGTCTTTTTAAACTCCATGACCTGTCCCAAGTCGGTTATGCCGGTCCCAAGCCTAGAGAAAGGAGGAGGGTTGTGTTAGGTGGGCAACTAGCGTAAAACTGTCACATATTTTCACGAATCCTGAACCAATGTTATATGCTCATGCTAGGGCATTCCTTGTAAGCGAGGAAGTAGTGAGAAGAGATACAATGACTTCTGTTATGGTTGAGGATATAACCCTTGATAGAGCGGAATGATATAGCAGGATTCGTGTAACCAATCCAAATAGATAGGATAAGGCTCGGATAATGATGATGATGGTGTATTTAATCTTGGTTAAGTATTACTCTTCACTTGGACAATTCTGAGTCGTCAAGTCATTCTAATGGTAGCCTTATGAAGTATACTACTCATTTACTCATTCTTCTATAGTTGCTTATGAGGTATTAACTCAAATGTGTTGAAGTGGTATACAAATATAAATATTTCTGCTTATTAAAAACCTGACTATAAGTTATACTTCTCTGAAAGGAAAAATTAATGGGGCTTGTCCTTGAAGTAATGAAAATCAGTTCATTGGTTGAGTTATGATTACCACATAGCAATGTCTACTGACTCAAGGAGACCCATGAGAGATGAACTAGTTAACATTCTACCCATATCTTTTGATTTAATTTCAAAATACCTATTAAAAAACATATGATTATGAGTTGGAATAGTTGTGAATGGGTCAAATGTTGAATAGTTCATCTCTTATGGGTATTTTGATAAATTTCCATATAATTAATTATATGAATTATAATAGGATTAATTTTTTACTATAACTCAAATGCACTTGACATAATTAATTTTGTATACAGTTTTTATGTTTTTATATTTTAATATTTTGTACTTCTTCTATTTTTATTTTTGAGAAATGATCATATAGGACCTTCCCTCACCCATGTGTGTAGGACCCCAAAGGATCACCCATTAAATTTGGCACAGATCTATAGAAAAGTCAAGTCCCACACCCATTTGATAACTTTTCTAGAGATCCGTGCCAACTTTAATGGTGATCCTTTAGGGTCCTACATGCATGGGTGGGGGAGGGTCCTATAGGATCATTACTCTTTATTTTTATGAGAAAATGATCTTTAACAATTTTTCTGTTTTTCTAGTTTTTGAAAAAAAATTCTCATCTTTTATATGCTTTTCATGTTGTTTATCATTTTTTACTGATTTGATCAAATTTTCAGGAAATTTTCCAAGTGTTTTAGGTTTCCCTGGCTCTATGCGTGGCTAGTCGCTACTCAGGTCCCGCGCCTGAGTTCCATGGCCTAGTGGCGTCTTTGAACACTGCCACATAGCATGAGAGGCAATCTCGAAGGACTCATGTGATTCTAGATTCGGACTACCTTGTTCCCCAGAAATCCCTAAATGGCTATCTACTTTTTTCATCATCCAAGAGCAAGGATCCTGGGATCTTTATAACCTCAAGTCCTATTGTTTGTAGGTTCTCTCATATTGATGTGGCCTTCTTGAAGCCTGAAGGAGCCATTTGATATTCATTCTTCAGGGTGGATTCAAATGCTAAACAAGGGAGTAGTAAAGAGGTAAACACAAGGGGGGCCATATCATGGAAAATTTTGATTTCTACCACTGCTATTGTGACTCTTTAGCCCTTGGCTGGTTTTGCGTTTCGACACTTGAGGACACCTCGGAATATTAAAAGCGATAAAAAACTGTGAAGGGGTCTAATGGTAGGGTTTGTATTCAAGCCATTTTGGCTTATCATCCTTGACCACCTCTTGCCCACTTTTTATGTGGTGTAGGAAGGACAATCATATTACATATAGTAAAAAGCTTAATTTTTTTTGAATAATAATTGTATGGTCACTTCTAGCCGTGCTTGAAGGACTGACGCTCATGATAGTGTCCATGTAACACTGATTTCTACAATAGACGACTAAAATTAATTAAAATTGTCTTAAAGAAAATGTGAGAAAATAATGATTTTGGGTGTAGCCCAAACATTCCAACTACAAAAGCAAGGGTGCTACTTTGACAATTTGCTGAGATCTAGTCCCTTGACCTTGTTTAGACTACCATAACTTTCTTCTTTTCTAGATTAACATTGACATGGAATTTTGGCAACATCCAAAAGTATGTTGGTTTTTGCTTAGCAGGCCTATATGTTACGTTTTATGATTGCACGGTTCTATTAGTTATTTCTTTTTGGAAATATATTCCTATTGATCTTAATATTGATGACTATGATAAAGATCATATGAGCTCACTGGCCTCTGGAACAATATGCGCTCGACGGCCCAAATTGAATCTCACAGAAATGAAAGATCAACATTGGGCATTAGAACTCTCTTTCTAAAAAAGTAGAGTCTGATGGATCCATTATTTTGCACACATATACACCTTATCCGGGCATTCCAAATAAAAAAGAATAGATATGCCCCAAAACTTTGGCCAAAATGTGCCTGTCATTCCAGTGAACATAGGTCATCCAGATTACCTCCTCTCGTTCACTATGGGCTGTGCGGTCTATATTGTTTGATAGGTCGGTTGGCTCACAGATTCTTATCCTAATAGATGATTATATGTCTGTCTATATTCCTACAAGGGCATTTCAGTGTTCTTTTATTTCTTTATTGATGGTTATTCATGTACTCCAATGTGTGTATTAGTTATTTATGTCTCATGCTCTTTTATCTGATTCTCATTCTTTCCATAGTATTAGAGCGTATTTTATGAAAAGATTCACAGTTTTGCCATTGTCACTTTCCATTTTTTTGAATTCTGTATTTTCAAATTCTGTTCTTGCCATTCATGTTTTTATCAGCTCACTGTATCGGTTTCCTTGGTGGTCATTTACTATGTTTGATGTGTGTTTTTCCAACAGTTCACACACACAAAGAGGTGTACTTGTGCTTTGTTAGGAATTCATCTCATACTATTTTGTCCCCTATGTAATAAATTCTCTTTGTAACTACTTTCGTGCAACCATTATGCATGTTGGGTATAAAGGAGTGTTATGCTGGTGCTTCTCTTTTGACCATTCTCCCTCTAATGGCATGTCTGTATTAGTTATATTAGTGTTTGATGTCATCCTAAGCATTGAGGATATTCATGTCATTATGGTACTTAATGCAACATCTTCAGGATCATTTAGGTATGATTACTGTCGTTAATGCCTTGGACTTGATGTATATATTGTTTTTTATTATCACAAAAAAATTTCCAGTTGCATGTCACGGCTAATAACAATCAATACTATGGTGAAACCATTCATGATGATTGCTTCACATTCATGTGAAGTGCAGGTTCACTGTCAGTGAGCTGCACCCTCACAACATAAAGCAAGATTAATAATGTAAAAATTATCTGTGTTGCTGCACATGAATCTTAACTCCTTGATCAAATGTTGATATTCATTTCAACCCATAAAAATAATCCTCAAAAGCATTGCAGGATCATAATGTCATCGGTGATATCGTTTCTTTGTTTCTTTTTCTTTCTAATAATCTGATACACGTTATTCATTGTGCTAGGTTGCAGGTCAAGAAACTTTTGGAACTCTGGGTGCTATTGTCAAGAGCCGAACTGGGTCCCGCCAGGTTGGGTTCCTCACAAATCGTCATGTTGCCGTTGATCTTGATTTCCCAAACCAGAAAATGTTTCATCCTTTGCCCCTCAACTTAGGACCTGGAGTTTACTTGGGTGCTGTGGAAAGGGCGACATCTTTCATAACAGATGATGTTTGGTATGGGATTTTTGCAGCTACAAATCCAGGTTGGTTTAAATGTATCATGATAATTTCTTCTCAATTGAAATGTTATTATTATCATTATTGTTGTGGAAGACGGCCATATTCCCTCCTTGTTTTCTGTATGGCCAACATAGATCATGAAATGGTGTACATCTATTTGTATCAGATGTGGATTCTTACGCTTCTCTTTTTTTTTCAGTTTTTTGGGTTTTTGGTTGGGGTAAGACATCAGAATCCAATGGACTTTGGAACAATAAAAGTCCATTGGGTGATGACTGCTCACAACAATGATGGATGGCGATGTGGAGTATGGAACCACCTGAACAGGACATGACCCTAATGGTGGCTCCCATCACTCTTTCTATGACCATCTATCATTTCGTAGGATTGTGACCATATGGACTACATTCTCCCATAATTCATTGGGTCCTAGTAGTTTTTCCCCAATTTCCTGTGTATGCAAGTTGATCTGCATTAGCAATGAATTTTGAACTCTTCGCATCCTATATACAAACATGGCGTCATTCAATGAGACTAATAGCAAGAGAAATGGATTAATTTCACTTTCCTGAAACAAAGAAAAGGCAATTTCTGGATCTGCAGACCCCTTATATTTCCATAATGACCACGTGGCTTTGGTACAGTTTAATAAGCTTGATTCCATGGTTTCCCTTTGATGCTGGGAATGCTGCAAATTCTTATCCCTGTGAAATCTTGAAAGCTCCTGGAAATTCGCTCTTGCGTGAGTCACTGGGAGTGCTTTCTTAAAATTGTAAAGTTGGTTTTTCCCAAAGATACATACTTTACCTTTTTACTTTTTGTTTTTAATGAAATGTATCCTGTGCCTTCGTGAACATGGATTCCCATCTTCTGTAACTTTTGCTGATAATATCTTCTTTTTAGTTAAAACCCACATCTCTCACCCTGACTTGGAAACTAGCAGTTGATTTGTTTTTTCTGAGTATACTAGCCAATCATGGAAATTTCAGTTAATTTCCTTATTCAAATGTTGAATATAGTCTAAAATTTTGGTCCTTTTTTTAAAAAAATTATTAAATTAAATCATACGAAGAAAATATGTTGCCTATTTTTTGTGGTTAAGGAAGCTTGCAATCATTAGGTACAAGGTTAAATTCTCTAAATACCTATTTTAGTGATTAGTAAAGAATCAGTGGAGTATTTCACATTTCTCTGACCTTCATCTCTATCAAAAGATTAATGCAAGATTTGTATATGCTTCTGTTAGAGACTTTTGTTAGGGCAGATGGGGCATTCATTCCCTTTGCTGAAGACTTTGACATGTCAAAGGTCACCACATTGGTGAAAGGAGTTGGAAGAATTGGAAATGTCATAACCCTAGACCTCCAGTCTCCCATTGGCACCCTGATTGGCAAGAGGGTGTTGAAGGTTGGTAGAAGCTCTGGTTTAACAACAGGGAACATAATGGCATATGCTCTTGAATATAATGATGAGAAGGGGATTTGTTTTCTCACCGATTTCCTAGTTGTGGGTGACACTGCACTAGGGTTTGACTTAGAAGGAGATAGTGGGAGCTTGATACTCTTGGCAGGCGAGAATGAAGACCAAAAGCCAAGGCCTATTGGAATTATATGGGGAGGGACTGCAAATAGAGGAAGGTTGAAGCTTAGAAAGGGATCAGGTCCGGAGAATTGGACAAGTGGGGTTGATCTTGGGCGGCTTCTAGACCTTCTTGAACTTGACGTCATTATCACTGGTCAAGGACTACAAGGCAAGTGTTGAAATGTTCTTACTTCCTTTCTCATAAAGGAATATCATGATGTATGATATTAGTGTCAAAGATCTCATTTCTTGTTAAAAAAATAGCCAAGTCTTTTTTCAAAGTAAAGTGTTTTTCATAGATTTGTAGATTTTCTCTCCTAAATGTACCTGGTTGTTTTCCTGCACTTTTTTCTGAAAAAACAAGTTATGCGTAGATATAGAACTGGGTTTATAAGAAATGTATAAGTTATCCATGCAAAAATTTCATGTTACAAAATTCTAAGTATTATTTTTGATAGTTTAAAAATATCCTAGTTTATGGAAACTTGAAGATATTAACAAGAGGACTGTGCTTCTTATTTATTTTCTTCTTTAACTTTTTAACCTCATTTTTTGAACTATTGAGAAAAACCAGAGCATTGGAAATCTTAAAACGATGCTGCGCTGAGAAATTCCAAAGAACTTGTAAGGTAACCAAGTAATTTCAACAAAGTTATCACAAGATCTTGAATTTGTGATCGAAAGTGCCATTTGGCAGTTACAATAGTTAAGAGTCATTGCATGTGCTAAATTTGAAGAGCAGTTAATTTGAAGAGCAGTTGGCATTCTAACAAGTTTTTCAGATGGTACCGCATGTCATCCACAAGTCCAAGAAATCATGTGTTTTCGCACTGTCAGGTCTGATCTGTCAAAATGGAAGTAGGTTTCTGTTTTGCGATAATTATCTGAAATTTTTCAACTTTATGACACAATTGTGCTGAGAGTTGAGAGTCGAGATGCATAGAAGTGGTTGTGGGTTTTCCTGTAAGGAATTGGGAAATTTCTTGTGATTTCATCTGACCTTGTATATGCTAATATTGGCATCTTTTTTATGATTGAATTTGGTCATATGGGTTTGGGTAGGTCTCTTGGTGCAACCAAATTTCAACCTTTGTGTCTTGACTGATTAATTCAAAGGATTCAGCCTTCGTCACAAAATTTAAGACTGTTTTTCATGTTTTGTTTCTTTCAATAAACTTGCATGCGATGTGTCATGATTATCTTTATATTCCCATTCATCTGTTTCATGTCTGGTCCCCTTTTCATGGCTTGAATTTTGAATGCAAACCAACCTTCTATCTCTCTTTCACACACACTCTTATCTCTTTCCCACACTCACACACTGTGGAAACCAAGGAGATGCCTATTGTTTTCTTTCTCCTGCTATCTTTCATTGTGTCTGAAAACATAAGACATGTCAAGTAGTCTCTCTCTCTCTCACTCTCTCTCTCTCTCTCTCTCTCTATATATATATATATATATATATATATATGTGGAAAATTTCTCTGTAACCCTCATTTTTCAGGAGACCTAAGGATTTAAACTATTTCTTGCGGCAAAAACTCTCTATATTTTCTATCCTCTAACCCCAGGACCCCTTTGACCATGTATTATTGACCTAAATAATTTGTGAAATGACTCCTATTTACCAAATTAATATCTCCATCTCTCTCTAAACTCTCTCTCTCTCTCTCTCTCTCTCTCTCTCTTAAATACCCAAAGTCAGTTGCAGAAACCCTTTTTTAAGATTTGAGAGCCAAATTCTGCATTCCAATGGGGTATGAGAAACCTAGATTCACATCAGATTTCCGTGGAAGGCGTGCCTTTCCCTTCTCTTCTCCACCAATTTCTTCTACAAATCCTGCTTCATTAGAGCCTCCGCTCAATCGAGCTCCGCCTCCTCCAAGCTTTAATGGCATCCCACGCAAAACCCACAATTTGTTTCTCCAAATTCAGTGCTTAGTTGACCTCCAATCATGGCTCTACCTCCAATTCTCACTTCCTCTGCAGCTGTTTCGGAGTTTCTTTTCGTGGAAATCCTCAACCTGGGGTCTTTGGACAAAACCCACAATTCATTTATTCAGTTTCAGGCTTCAATCGACCTCCTCCATTTATTCAGTTTCAGGCTTCAATCAACCTCCTCCATTTATTCAGTTTCAGGCTTCAATTGACCTCCTCCTGTTGCCCCCCTCCTGTTATTACACCATCTTCTATGGGTTCAGAGCCCTCTTTTCATGGAAATTCTCGGGTCGACCAGCCATGTCCCAAGCTTTTGCCCCTTCTGGCCTGCCAACCATGACTGATTCGCGATTTCAACCTTCAAGTCCCCTTCGCGCTCAATCTCAGATGCTTTTTGTTCCTTTGGGCCCTCTACCTCAAGGTCTATCAAGCTTCATGGCTCAAAGACCAGTGAACCCACCACGTCCATCGTTTCAAAACCCTAGTCTTCAATCTAATGCACCTGTTTCTCAGCCATCGATGCAAGCTTTCTGTGGTCTACAAGCTAGTGCACCAGTTTCAGCGCCCCCAACCTTTCAAGCCGCAAGCTAGTGTTTGAGAGAGAGAGAGAGGTGCGAGAGAGAGACAGAGAGGTGATCTTGGTAAAAGGGAGTTATTTCACAAATTGTTTAGGTCAATAGTATGTGGTCAAAGGGATCCTGTGGGTTGAAGGATAGAAAAGATAGAGACCTTATGCCTCAAGAAATAGTTAAATCCTCGGGTCTCCTGGGAAATGGGTACAAAAAATGGGGGTTACAGAGAAATTTTCCCATATATATATATATATATATATACATCTTCCCCCTCCCCCCCATCTTTTTCTTTCTGAGGCTTGACAAGCTAATCTTTCCCTCTGTTGACTGAAACTGATGACACGATCATCTTTTGCATATGCCATTTTTCTTTATGAGGCTTGAAAAGCAAAGCTCTCCCTCTCTTCACTCAAACTGATGACACAAATCATCTTTTGCAGATGCCATCGAAGAGCAAAGGCGCATGTCAACCGCAGATCCAACAGCAGGTGAGGCAGAGTCCACACCGCAACCGCGCACCATGTCTACTGTCCAAGAGAATGTAGAGCAAATCAACATGGAAGGAAACACGAGCTCTCACATGCAAAACACACAGGAGCAATCTACTGATGTTGAGCATCAATTAATCAAGAACTTTGGCACCTTGTCGCCTCGAAGGCTACCTGAAAATTGTGAGGGAGAAGAGGTCTTTACAGGCCTGAGATTGGGTGGTCGAGAGCCGAAAAGATTACGCTCTGATCAGTGATGCCACATGAGAGATCAAATGAACCTCTCGTCAATGGCCATCATGGATTGTATGTATGTAAAAGATACGTGTCCTTTCTCAGTTTTGGTTGATATTTATGGTGTAGTATGGTTCTTTTCGAAACATGAGGTGGCTTCCTTATCTATCTTTCATGTATTCGGATACAATTAAGGGCAGGGATATATAGCATTCAACTAGATTGGGATCTTTATCTCTAGAAAAAGGTTTTAATGTAGCATATCCCATCGAGAGTGCCTATCAAAGTGCGAGTTTAAGGTGACCTACGTCTGTATTCATTTACAATCCTCTCTCTTCCTATTTTACATACTTATCTTGGTATTTCATTGAAAGTCCATATAGAATATTTTCCTTGAATAATTTGGTTTGTTCACCAGGTTTCAAGAATGTTTATGGGGCTTGCAACAATCCGGAAAGCCTAGATCCTCGACCTATTTAATTTCACACTACCACGAGCAATTTGGTTCTTGCAAGCTCAAAATATCTGGTTCACACTTGGATAAAAACAAGATCACTCCCTTATTATACGAATGCCCCCGTGTTCCTTGATAAAAAATTTCAGGGATCGAGTTTGTGGATGTGCTTGCTTGCCTTGCACTTTTCCATTTGCGTTTAGGCGAAGTTCAAATCCTACCACCGAACTAACTACTGAATGTTACTTTAAAAGGATGTTGAAATTGATGATGGCAAGACAATAAGGGATAGGATTTGAAATGAATACATTCGAGAGAGTTTGCGTGACACTAGTAGACAATATGATGAAATAAAAAAGGTTTAGGTAATAGGCGATAAGATGATATAAAGTAGACTTAAATGGGCTGGCTATGTATGGCGTAGATCCAGTACAATACGTGTTAGGTGGTGTGAGTTAGTTCAAGTGGAAGGTTAAAAAAAAATAATGAGTAGACTTAAAAAGACATGATTGAAATTAGTGAAAAAACATATAGAAATTTATGGCCATACTGAGAGTATGATCTTTAATATAACAGAATAATGCATGTAGTTGACCCTTGAGTTTTAGAGCAGTATATTTCCTCATCCTTAGGAAATATACCATACACTTTTGGAGTGGTGGCTTCTTTTTTTTAAAGGGAATAAAAGAAGCCGGCCAATCATTCATAACAAGTCTTAAAGAATATAGTAGCAAAAGTTATTTACTTTTAAGGATTATACTAAAGCATTTCGCTTTCTACTGTCTCTTTTAGTCAAAAGATCAGTGCATTGCAAATCAGCCGTTGAATGATTCATTTCAAAGTTTCAAACACTCTATCCACTACTCTTTGCTTAAATGAAAAATTTTATGTTAGAAGCAAGAATAGCAGGTAGTAAATTCATTGTTTTAAAATTCGTCAATTTTCAAAATTGTTGATCCAAATTGAAATCGGTACGGATCGAGCCGATTCTAGGATATTATTGGTTCCAGCCCGATTCCTCTCAAAACCCACTTCTATATTATTTTTCATTTTTTTAGGGTTATCTAAAATTTTAAGAGGTCTCCTCTATAAGTCCGCACATTGTAAACCCCAATTTTTATTTTTATTTTTAATATTTTTACATTACTTATTTTAACCTATTACCTAAATTGCGAATCCAAGGATCGTACACATCCATGGGTGTGAAGTGTGAACTATCCACCTTACCCATTCGGGTTTTGAAACACTTAGTAGAACACACACTCTTTCTCTATTATGAATCTTAACGCTGAGGGAAACTCTTCGAGAATTTAACAGCGTATATCCTGAGAATAAAAAGGAGATCTTCAAAAGAACTGGCTTCTGTATCATGGACGCGTGTTAGGTGACTTTGTGAAGCAAAGGAAAATTATAAAAAAAAGTCCCATGAAAACACTTTCTATGCAATTTAATTTTTTCTCACTTTTTTTCTTCTATGCTAATACCCCAACCAAAAGAATATAAAAAATGCATAAATTATTCTTCTTTACTTTTACCTTACCCATGTCCCAACCAAAAGAATAAAAAAATACATAAATTATGCTTCTTTACTTTTACTTTACCCATGCTTTTTTTCTTCGTCATTGGGTAAGTGTGGTATGGCAGTAAGGCTCCAGCACTAGTACTCTCATACTGCAAAGGGGGTTCGATAGTAGATATTATTGGATTTCAGGGGCTTCGGTATTACATAAAAGGCGGTCCGACCGTATTCAGTTTATGTTTGATAGTTGTCTTAGGGTGGTTCGGCACTTGTGCGCTTCAAAGAAATGTTTGATAGTTGTCTTAGGGTAGTTCGGCACTTGTGCGCTCCAAGAATATGGTAGTATGCTTGTGCCCTTGGGTCATAAAGTCAACATCAGATATGACTAAAATGTTTGTTTTATATAAAAAAAATATTTTTGTATAAAAAAAATGAACTTTTTTGCTTTTGAAAGTACATACATAAAAAGTTTGTTTTCGAAAAATAAGTGAGAGAAAAAATTATATTAGGGTAAGTTGATTAGAAAGGGTGGTGTTGAGGTTTTTTTTGTAATTCTCGAAAAGAAAACAACTGAACCGAAGACTCTTCCCGAAAGATTACATGGTCTCGCCGGAGCATGATTCATTTTTGCTCTTTATTCAAAGGCTGAATCGGTATACTTACATGTACATGTGCGCCAACGCCCCTGCGCTATTCCTCCCTTTTACGCCCCTAAAATCCATATGTAAATAAGCTATGGTTTATGAAGGGTGCCCTCTTTTTTCAACGCCCATCTTTAAGATGGACGTTTAGATGGGTTAGGAGATACATGCCACCCTTGAATCACAAACAACTTTTCCTTGTATAAACTCCCATCTAGTGTCCACGAGTACTACTAATGAAACTCTAGATGTCATATGTTGTAGGGCTCTTCCACCCTGCCCACCGAGGATAGAGGCTATTTCCCCTATTTAATAGTATTATGAGGACCCTGATTTTGGGGATATTATTTCTTCAACTTTAAATAAAAAATATATGGGATCGACAATTTATTTTTGTTATAAGGAGGATTACAATCACTTTTAACCAATATACGTGAAATCCAATAGATAAAAATGTACGATATTCAAAAAACAATGACACATCGTCAACTACCCAATTTCAAATCTAATAGCCAATGATTGGGATTTCTTTGTTTCATAAATAAATGGTTTCATTATTTACGTTTCCTCTAATATTTCTTCCTAGAATTTTATTTGATTATCATGATGACTTGCTCAACATGAAATAAACAATATATCCATGCCTTACAAAAAATAATCTCATAAGAATTAATAGATAGGCTGCCAATACGGATGACTAGATCTAACTCTGAGGTCCTTTTTCTTTTTGAAATCTCCTGTTTCCTTCTTTTTATAGGGAGGGCTTTGTATAGGGCTTAGGCTCTAAATAATCAAATTAGAGCCTACCTTCAAATAGAGTCAAAAAATGTTGTTTCAACATTGGAAATCTTTGTGATAGCTTTAAAATATATTTTCATCTTTATTTATAAAGTTTAAAGCTTAAAAAATAGTGTAGATCAACATGTCAATGAAAACTTGAAAATCTTGAAACTTGACGGTCAAAAAATGTCTTACAAAATACACTATTTCTAAAACTTGAAATCCAATTTTTTCTCATGTTCATGTATCTTGATGTCAAGATGATCAATTTGAGGATATTTGAGCATCAAAACAACCTCTCCTAGTGAAAATTTTGAGATAGGCTCCAATTTGATGGTTTAGGGCCTCGGCTCTATATAAACTTTTCCTTTGGTTCAAAATCCCAAAATTTGTCCGAGGGTGTAAATATAGAGTTTTGATCCACAGGACTATTCTACACAAACGAGTCTATATGGTGCATGAAGAGTAAACGGCCACCGGGCTAGGTTGTCCTTGGTCACGAAGACCTCCAATTTGTGACCTGTACCAGCCAGTAAAGCCGGTAACCGGACGATCTTTTATAAAGTTGGAGAGAGAAATTGCAGCTACTTGATGAGAGACAAAAACGGCGACTAAGTTATCTGGTCATTTAGCTTTTTTACAGGGAAGATGCAGGGGCGGGAACGGCGAATTTGATACGCGTCTTCGCCGCTTTGCCGGTAAGATAACGCAACCTCTTTCTCTCTCTAAACCTCCTCTTAACCTGGCCCTTATCTCTCTTCCTGTCTGCTTGAATTTCTCCCTCTCTCTTTCTGTTTGGGTTTTGGTGTAATATATTGTGACGGATTTCCCTGAGATAATTTTGTTCCCTTTCTGGCTCTTCGAAAAAAGGAATGCACTTTCTCTCTCGGTATCAATTCCCTTCTCTTTCTCTCTCTAGGTTTAGTTCTCCATTATTGTAATTTTTCAGAGATTTTCTAGTTTCTTCACCCATCAAGTGATCACATCGTTTGTCTTCAGGGAATTAACCTTTCAGTCTCTTGCTCTCTAGGGTTAGGTTTTCATTTTCTTCTAATGGATCTCTTTTTTGTGCTTGAAAATTTCAAGTTCGCTTGCCTGTTCGATGTCGCTTGCCTGTTTGATGTCGTGATTTCATCTGTACTGTTAGGCTCATGCAGCTCCTTTTTGGTTGTTCAACTCTCCTCCATTAAAACTTCATCTTGCCTGCATTTTCGTGCTATCCAGGAGTTCTCAAGGCTTTTCTTCATTTAGACGACAACAATCTTTCAATTCCAGTTAAAATAAGTTGGATCATGCTCTCTCTCTTGATTTTAAGCTCTGGAACTCATTTCATATTTTTGTATAACATTTACTTAAATGCTGGTTTCAATTAAGACAACAAGCAACTAATTTGAAAAAAATAAATAAAATAATACAAAGCAGCTGATTGATACTATCCTGCTGATTTAGTGTCTTGTTATTCTTATTTAATGCTATTATTTCATTTTATCCACTATCTGTTTTTTGCAAACTAGTATGCTTTATGATACTGAAATTGAACCTGGGATGCAGTATTTTCTAACTTCATTCCATTCTATCTCATTTTTATTCTTCATCTGCTATTTTGCAGAGAAGTATACCTTCATGAGATTAATTGAGCTTGGGATACAGTGTTACTGTGTAGTCAGTATCGTATAAGATGTCAAAAGTTGAGGAGAATTGGGAGCGCCTTGTGCGTGCTGCTCTCAAAAGGGAGCACAGTAGGGGTCCTGATGTTCCTGGTCAAGTCTCTGATGGAATTGCTGGGAATGTCCCATCTTCTCTTGCAAATAGTCGGCACATTGATGCTATTCTCAGAGCAGCTGATGAGCTTCAAGAAGAAGATCCCAATATTTCTCGCATTTGTATGCTATTTGTTCTCTCACTTCTTTTGCACAACCTTTTTTTTTGGTTAATGGTGCTCCTTTTTGTGCAAGCCTTTTTCTACTAGGTAAGAAACTGGGATAAATTTGGCATATGGTATAGTATGATATATTGTCTCATTATGAGTTTACATTTCATAGGGTTACCTGAGCATTTGTATGGTATGGTGAAGGAGCCTTTGATGACTAGTCTTTTTACACATTGAAAGCTGTTTCTTGCCTCATTTGGCTGCTATATTTCTTATACTTTATTTGCAGTTTGTGAACTTATGCACACCTTGAAATAGGTATTGCCATCTGTATGTATTGTGTCAATAATTCTATGCTAAATACCTACAAGTATCTGAGTACTGTAGGCTGTAGGAACTATTTATTTTCCTCCTCTCTTTCTTGATAAGCTAGAATGAACTATTTCTTACAGTTCGAGCCAGAAGATTACATTGTTAGTTACTATTGCGAGTTACCGTAAAGTATTGGTGCTGCCTTAAATCTCTAGATTTACAGTTTTTCCATATGAAAGGCATAGCTGCATAGAATGATTCAGTCCCATTGACATATCTTGAAATACGTAAACATGGTTTTGAGTGATTGGTGCAACTAGAATGTGTTTATAGGCTGGCAAGTGAAGGGCGCCCTAAACGAATGAATTCAGGCTAGGCAGCTTGACTGGTGGATGTGGGAGAAGAGAACTACTCGACTGGACTTCAAGGCTAGGCAGCTAGATAGCTGTTTTCGTTACCTTACATAATAGGGGGCAGCAAGCACATCATGCCAAGTCAAAGCTTCAAAGCCAAGCTTCAAAAGAAGGCGTTGCGCACGAGCTAGCGCGCAATGGAGCAAGCACTTGGGCATAGTAAAGTCAAGCCATTTCGTGCTAGCACTGCCTTGGCTTTTACTGGTTTTTCTCTTTTTCGAAACATTGTAGCCAACATATCTTTGCACACATTCAGTTTTGTGGTTCTATGCCAACCATATTGATCTGTTATATATCTTCAGTGAATAGCATGTGTTAACTGTGCCCTCCGTAAATGAGGATATTCAGGCCAAATATATTTGTTAGTTACAACTCTTTTGTGTATTTCATGTGATGATCATGTTCTTTTTAATTAGCTTATTCCATGTTCTTTTGATTACATCTGATGCTGACTGAATATTATATTTCTTTCTGGGTATGGGTCTCAATATCTAATGTAATTTATTGGTTCCTTGTTCTTTGTTGTTGCAGTATGTGAACATGCTTACTCGTTGGCACAGAACCTGGATCCTTTTAGTGAGGGAAGAGGTGTTTTGCAATTTAAAACTGGCCTGATGTCAGTTATTAAGGTACTTCCTATGGCTTATGTTGATGTTTTGTCCTGAATGAAGAGTGATATAAATAAATGGAAGTTGCAGTTTTTATTTCTGTACAGAACATGGTACCATTACAGGTTTTTTCATATATATTATCATATCTACTTTAGCATCGTTACTTGATATATGAAGCTGAACTGATTTATTTTGATTCTCGAGTTCCTTTTGAGTAATTTTTGCTATTGTTTGGTTTGTGACCTTTTTCCAGCAAAAACTCGCCAAGAGGGAGGGTGGAATGATAGATAGGACCCAGGATATTGCCCGCTTACGGGAGTTTTATAAGATGTATAGAGGAAAGCATAAAGTTGACGAGTTACGGGAGGATGAAAGGAAGCTGAGAGAATCTGGTGGTTTCAGTGGAAACTTTGGGGAGTAAGTTCTTTGAGTATTCTAATCTGTGCAAGACAGTTTGACCAGCATATCATCATTAGTAATTGAATCCTTTTTATGGCCAGCCGTCAGTGGCTTGAATAAACAAGTGGATGGAATGGTTTTTCATGCATTTTGCGCAGAGTTCTTTCTGATCTTTAGATATTTTTAACTTTTAGTTTCTAATTTTACTTTTTTATGTTTTAATATAATTTTTAATTCATTTTTGTATGCTTTTCCTGGAATTTTTTATGCATAGTTTGGAAGCAATTTGTAAAGTTTCGGTGAGTTGACTTGGGACTCGTCCGAGTTGACTTGCCTTAGGATCACTGCAAGTCCCATGGAAATATAATTGGACTTGCCTGAGTCTTCCACTTTCCAGGCCTTTCAGGTGTTCTTATCCAAAGACTTAATCCAAAGACTCACCTGAGATTTGTTGAGACTTGGCTTACTCAGGTTTGGGACTCCAGCGTGTCTTGACATGAGTTTGAGTTTTCAAATCATTGGTTGGAAGGATAAACCTTCTTTGTTGTTCTATCTGCCTTCTCCTGTGTATGCATACTTTGCTTCATTCGGGCTGCCTTTTCAGCTGTTTATTACTTAATGGTCGCAAGCGGCATCATTGTTGTTTTCCTGAGATAGAAAACTACCCTTTACATTGTGACTTTCATTTGAGTTCTTATTGTGAACATTGTTTGTATATTGCCTTAGCTGGGTGTATATTTCCAGGTGTTTTCTGCTGTTCAATTCATACTGGAGTTTAGTTTGTGAGACAAAGAGTCTGTTTGGTTTACTATTTTCCTTTATTATCCTTTATGATTTTATTTGCATGTGGCTAAATTTTTTCTTAGATTGTCTCCTTCAGTATCTCTTAGAAGTTAACTCACCAGATTCCTATAATTGACTGCCGCATACAGATTGGAACGCAGGACTGTGAAAAGAAAGAGGATTTTTGCAACGTTGAATGTCTTAAGAACAGTAGTTGAGGAACTTTCCCAGCAAGTATCTCCTGAAGAGGCAGATAAATTGATTCCTGAGGAGGTGATTGCTTAGTGTCTTTAGTGTGGGTGTGGGTGTGGGTGTGGGTGTTGGAGGTGGGTTGCACGTGCGTGTGTGCACACACACATTTTTGTTTATATAGTCAGTTGTTTTGATTGTCTTTCAGTGGTATTTTTTATATGATTCTCCTAATTGAGTGCGGCATCTAATATATTTGGCTTTCCATGGGAAGTGGGTAGATTTATTTCTTTGTTTTTGTGCCTTTATGACTCATATGAAGAATGTATATTTACTATTAAGGGGGGAGAGGTTGGGGGGGGGGAAGACGAAAGCTAGAATATAGATGAGTTAGATTTGTGACGTGTTTTATGTTGCTGGCAGTTAAAACGGGTAATGGAGTCTGATGCGGCAATGACAGAAGACTTAATTGCTTATAATATTGTGCCTTTGGATGCTGCGTCTGTTACTAATGTCATCAGTTCTTTACCTGAGGTATTTCTTTTGATTAGTCACAATTTTTTCTGATATTAATTGCTGAATTGTTTTCTGATATAGTCATACTGCATTCATTTTAGGTAAGGGCTGCTGTCTCGGCTTTAAACTTCAGAGGTCTCCCGAAGTTGCCTGGTGATGTTGCTGTACCTCCACAGAGGAATGCAGATGTCCTAGACTTTCTGCAGTATGTTTTTGGGTTCCAGGTATGAATGCAGTGGGCGATACACATATCTTGATGCTTTTAATTGTAAGAAACCTTGAATCCTTTTTTAGCCAGACTTGGTGTTGAGCATTATTAGAAGCTGTTGTTAAAGTAATGTACTCTTTTCTGGCACTTCTGTGGTTGTAAGATATTTTGAAGATAGTGCAGCTTCCTACTGTTATGTGCTTTTTTTGCTTTTTCTCTTATATACTGTTGATTGTTTTTAATTTCTTTCCAGCTTGCTTTGATTGGTTTTCAAAGACATATATTCATTAGTTTAATGGCTGCTAACTTCCTCTGTTGGTTTGTGTAATAAAGGTGGACAATGTAAGCAATCAGCGTGAACATATTGTGCTTCTTCTAGCTAATGCACAATCCCGAGTTGGCATTCCTGAAGGGACTGAACCAGTAGGCTTCTCAAACTTTTTGCAATATAATTTTAGTTCCTGTCTTGGTTTCTATGGTTAAGCTGAGTATGTTCTGCTCATTTGATAGATATCTTGTTCTGTGCAGCATGCCATCGTGCTACCTCTTTTTGAATGAAAATCAAAAAAATTATTTTTGACAAACTGCTGATAGTATGTTATAGCGTTAGTTTTATACTCTCAAAAGATTTATGCTTTCATCTGCTGAATAAATGAGTCCGCTAGTGGTATCCATAATAATTTTCTTTATGGTGCTTGTTGATGTTAAGAGATGGCTCTCTCACTTTCTTGCATGATATGATAAAGCAGATCAAATATCTAGTCATGCTCATATTCATGCTTGATGCATTGCCAGCTGATGGTTGCAAGTTGCAATTGCTCTTTCAAATATGTCTTTAGCATATCATGGTAGTGCATACTTTCCCCGTTGGGTTAAGTCAGCAAATGATGTTAAACTTTCTTTAAAGTTTTCAAGTGAGTGATAGGCTTACTTCAGTGTAAGAACTTTCCCAGATTGGTGGTGGTATCCATAATAATTTTCCCTATGATGCTTGTTGATGTTAAGAGATGGTTAGTTCACTTTCTTGAATGATATAATAAAGCAGATCAAATATCTAGTCATGCTCATATTCATGCTTGTTGCATTACAAGCTGATGGTTGCAAGTTGCAATTGCTCTTTCAAATATGTCTTTAGCATATCATGGTAGTTCGTACTTTCCCAGTTGGTTTAAGTCTGCAAATGATGTTAATTTTTCTTTAAAGTTTTCAAGTGAGCGATAGGCTTACTTCAGTGTAAGAACTTTCCCAGATTGGTGGCTGAAACCTTTGGCAAGTAATTTACAAATAGGAAGGCTCCCGATCATTTATCCTTATTGTGAGGTGTTTTGCTAATGGAATCTGTTTGAAGCATCTTGCATTACATAATGTATTTAATCCATTGGAAGTTAGAGTTGAGTGTTGTTTTGGTTTTATAGTCATTTGTGGATACTCAAATTGCATTATTTGCAATCTTGAAGTTTGGTATTATTATTATTATTATTTTTAGTTTTGGTTTGCATTTCCTTTAGAAATTAGCCTTCTAACTGTTAGGTTACGTTACTAAAGGGGTCTTGGTTTGCATAAGGTGCCAATCGATTTCTACCTGTCCATTCTTTACCATGAATGTCCTGCATTGACTGGCTGAGCATATTATGATATATGTCATATTTTGATATATATTTTTTTATTCAACTCTTACCCCCTTCAGAAAATGGATGAGGGCGCTGTTCAAAAAGTATTTGGGAAGTCGCTCGATAATTACACCAAGTGGTGCAGCTATTTGGGAATTCAGACAGCTTTCAAGTATGGAAAATTTTGATTGGATGTTTTTGGTTCCCTTATTTTTCGAAATTCTTTGTGCTAACCATGAATCTTTTCTCCTTTCTGCTTCTGTCAATGAGAAATTCACATCTAGGGTTTTTAATTAACTCCTGCAGCTTGGATGCACTAAGCAAAGAAAAGAAGCTGCTGTTCGTCTCCTTATATTTTTTGATCTGGGGTGAAGCTGCCAATGTCAGATTTCTGCCAGAATGCATATGCTACATATTTCATCAAGTAAGGCAGTCTGCTATCACTCTCTTTTAGTAATGTGGAGCAAAAACAGCTTGCAGTTTCTTATGCCAATTGGCTTCAGTTTTTGTATGATCTTATTGGATGGTATTTTTCTTTAGTTATGGGTTCTGACATGTCATCTTTTACTAGTAAAATGCATATATATACATATGACATGGAAGCCGTTTGTGCATAGGAATCTAGATCATTTATTCCTGGCTGACTGATTGACCAATAATTCATGGCTCATATGTGCCATCATGAGGAGCTCGTGGATATAATTAGATTAAATAATTGCACGATCACCAGAAAAAAACATCTATGATAAAGTGCGTAATTGCATATGTTTGTTGCACATTCTGGTATAATCATTTTATTTATCTGTTACAGTTAGTGTTTGTTTCGTACTTTTGTACATTAATAAGTCTGTTTTTTGGGAGAAAGTTTGTGAGTCTTCTTGAAACTTAATGAAAACATTTTCCCTGTTGATGATTTTGTAGGGTAGCATGCACATTTTGTAGTCACTGATTACAAAAGGGACTTCTTTATTACAGAATATATTGATGTGGCAAAATCCTGGATGCTATGGTGATTTTTGCGTGGCGGTTTACCAGTTTATTTGGTCAACCTATCTCATTTCAATTCTAAGGGTCTTTTCGTTCTACGATAAGGCACTCCTAACAACACATGAAAACATGACTAGCATGTACATTATCTGGCTTCTGCCAAACATGGAATCTCCCCTTAATTATTAATTGGGAACAGCTGGCATCCTGGTACACTGCCTCTGCCATGCACAGAAACTATGTTCATGGTCATTCGTCTCAGTTACCTGTTTTTTCACAAAGCTTCTTGTGTCATTTGAATTTTGAAGTCTATGCCTCAAGACTTGCACACTGACACCTTTTCCTGATCTCAATTGTTAGTGATAGCGATGATTTTCTTTATGGCATGATCCTTTCCCTTGACTTACTGGAATTGACTTCTCCTCTAGCATTGTAACCCCTTTACACATTGACAGTTTCAAAACATTGAGAAATTATGCAAGCTTCACGTTCCCCCTCGCATCCACCATTTTGCTTCCTGAACATGTAGTTTATCGTTTGTTTCCATTACAAAGATTCAATTTTGAGAATTGATTGATGAGAACAAAATACAACTTACTAGATGCGCTGTTAGTAATTTATTATGGTCTCTTGAAGGACTCAAGATGGTGGATTGAAACATCGAATGAGAGCCTTTTGGATCAGTGTTTTAAAATGTGGCTGCATCGCCGCATATGCGGCCGCATCATGCGGGATGCGCTCGCATCCGCATCCCGTTCAGGCGCATATGCGTTTTTGACAGATGCGGCCGCATATGCACCGCATCAGGCCGCATATGTGCCGCATCAGGCCGCATCATGGCCGCATCCCGCATCATGGCCGCATCAGACCGTGTCTCGCCCGCATTTGTTTTCACGAATTTTTTTTTCGATTTTGCCCCTCGGGGAGGGGCAAAATGGCCTTTTTTTTGTTCCAATGTTTAGGGAAACTGTTTGGGGGGTTACTATACCCTCTAATTCAAGATTTCTTGCCACTTTTGTGGCTTTTTTTGCATCAAATCAAAGGAAAAGAAAAATTTGGCGAAATTTTTTTTTTCATCCAAATCTTAGATTTGGCAATAATTTTGCATGTATGGTCCAGGCAGTTGGGCAATATGGCCCAGGATTTATTCCTCCTTCACTACATGAGGTTAGGGAGCCCTTGTTGAAGGATGTTGTATTTGATGTGAATAAAATTTTGATTTCTCTGAGAGAAGGGTGAGAGAAATATGGGGCCACTATTATGTGTGATGGTTGGTCCGATGGGAAATCAAGGGCATTCATTAATTTTTTGGTTAACTGCCCAACATGTACTTTTTTTGTTAAGTCTATTGATGCATCAGACAAGTCACATGATGTTATATACTTATCTGGCTTGATGGATGAGATTGTCGATTTTGTTGGGGAGCAAAATGTGGTACAAATTATCATTGACAATGGTGCCAACTATGCTGCGGTTGGGCATTTCTTGACTTTGAAAATGAAACATATGTTTTGGACACCTTGTGCAGCTCAATGTGTTAATCTTATGCTTAAAGAAATGGGTACAACATCTTTATTTAGTGGAGTGATTTCAAGAGCTATGTTTGTTGTTGGATTTATTTACAATCACACCATAGTCCTAAGCATGATGAAGTCTTTTACAAAGAAGAGAGAATTAGTGAGACCGGGTGTCACTAGATTTACCACGTCATTTCTCACTCTTCGAAGCCTAGCCAAGCAAAAAAGTGCCTTGAGGACCATGTTTGCTTTAGAGCAATGGAGTCAAAGCAAATTTTCAAAGCATAAGGATGGGAGAAAGGCTGAAAAAATTATTTTGAATACATCTTTTTGGAGTCAAATAATTATTGCATTGGAGGTGGCTCGCCCTTTAGTGAGAGTACTTGGACTGGTTGATGGTGATGCGAAGCCCGCCATGGGCTACATACATGAGGCAATGACTGGGCAAGAACTGAAATAAAAGATGTTTTAAAGGATGATGACAATATGCGTAAGGTTATGCTTGAAATTATTGATAGGAGATGGGATACCCAGCTTCATAGGCACCTCCATTCAGTCGGTTATTTTCTAAACCCATCTCTTCACTACAAGCACCCATCCATTGAGTCAGATCGTGTAATAAATGGTGGGTTCTTAGATGTGTTGGAGAGGTTGGTGCTAGAGAAAGATATCCAGGATAAGATCCACAGCTATGAATTGATTAAGTTCAAGTTAGCCTTGGGAAACTTTGGGAGAGATATTGCCACTCGAAATAGGGACACTACAGATCCAGGTAAAGGCCAAAAGCCCAAAAATAATCTTGCTTGTCTCTTACTTTATGTATAGTTCCATTGCTTATTTTATACCCTTAATTTTTAACTATATTCTAAATTATAAAATATTATACAGCTGCATGGTGGGCATTATATGGAAGCGAGACACCAAATCTACAACGTCTCGCTATTCGAGTGTTGAATCTCACATGTAGCTCATCTGGTTGTGAGTGCAGTTGGAGTGCATTTGAGCATGTAAGCCCTTTACTCCTCATTCCTTAATCCTTATTTCTTGAATTTCAATTTTCTAATCTAAAATCTAATTTATCTGATTTCAAATTTCTACCACAGCTCCATACAAAAAAAAAGAAATAGGTTGGAGCAGAAAAAGTTGAATGATTTGGTTTATGTGCGGTATAACGAGCAGCTTAGGGAGTGGTATGAAAATCGCACGAAGCTCAACCCTATTCAATTATATGAAGCTGATGGTGATTCCATAAGTGAGTGGACCGTGGATCCAAGACAAGAGCGTGTGTTTGAGGGTGAGGATCTTACATGGCTTGATGTCGAGCTAGCAACAGGGATTAATGAAGAAGATCGACCTAACACTAGAGCACTAAGGAGTAGAGGAGCCGCTGGGTCTAGTCACACTCGCACATTAGCTTCAGAGGTCGAGGAGGAAGCTGACTCAGAGGAGACCGATGAAGAAGAATACATGGAGGCCGTCGAGGATGATATTGATGATGCGCATGACGACTCTCAAGATGACTTGTCCGATTGATATTTGAAAAAATGAAGTTCAAATTTCAAAATTGACTCTCAAAATGGATGATTGTATTAAGTTATTAACTATTAACTTCTTCTTGAGCTTGACTTTTGGTTTGTATTTTGTGATATCACTATTTTGTGCTTATGGTTGTACTTATGGTTGTTGATGGTTGTGCTTATGGTTGTTGATGGTTGTGCTTATGGTTGTGCTTATGGTTGTACTTATGGTTGTTGATGGTTGTGCTTATGGTGCAAATTTGTGCTTATGGTTGTTGATTGTTGAATGCTTTATGAAGCTGGTTTCTAGTTTCTAGTTTCTATCAGGGGATAGTGGATATCTGGATACAGAATCTCCGACAGCTAATAGTTTTGAAGTTAATCATTAAACTAAAATACCTACTATCACATATATCACCTTCATATTTTTTTCTATACATTAACTTATTTTTTTAGATTTTTTAGAATTTTTTTACATTTATTGACCGCATCATCACGATGCACCCGCATCCGGGCCGCATCGCCGCATCGGTCCCCCCACCGCATCAGGGCCGCATCCCGCATTTTAAAACATTGTTTTGGATGTATGATATACGTGTTTGAAAACTGAAATCCATGATTTTCCTGGTCATCACATGAGAGGGATTGTATCTCAAAGTTAAGCTTGATAATATTCATTCTCAGTCGAACAGGCTGCAGTGAGATATATTTCCAACCATTTAACCTCTACCTCTGGCTCGAGACCTATTATGGATGACTTGCTTTCCTGTCTCTTTTGCCCAATAAAGCTGCATGGTTGGAAAGCCCTTTCTCGGAGGCTGAAATTCTCTTGGCTTTCAACTATTTGAGCCCCAATCGAGCTCCTAGCCCGGATGGTTGCCCTATAGCTTTCTTCAAAACATTATAGGAAGTTATTTGCCTTGACATCATTGACTTTTTCTCAGAATTCCACTCTAGAGGGGTAATAAACAAAGCCATGAATGTCACCTTCCTTGCCCTCATCCCTGAAATAGAAGGGGTCAAAGAATTAAAGGATTTTTCAGGCCCATCAGTTTGGTAAACAATGCTTGCAAGTTTTCTATCCAAGGTCCTGGCTTCTAGACTAAGTGCCGTTTTGGACTCAGTCATCTCCCCCACCCAAGGTGCTTTTGTCAAGTGTCGGCAAATTCTAGATGGGGGCTTTAATAGCCCATGAGTGCATCCACTCTCGATCATTTCTAACAACTCGAGACTAATAATAAAACTCGACTGGGAGAAAGCATATGATCATGTGGATTGGGAAGTGCTTGATGAAACCCTTTAAAGAATGGCCGTCGGATCTAAGTGAAGTTGGATTAGAGGGTGCATCTCTAGCCCAGTGTTCTCGGTCCTCCTACTAAGGGAGTTTGCTAGGGTGACAATCTATCGCCATTTTGTTCGCCATTATGGCCGAGGTGGATAACACCTCCATCTCGTCACTTTACCAAGCCAGACTCCTGAGGGGCTTTAATTCTAGCAACCATGGCCCATGCATTGTCCACCTTCAATATGCAGAAGACAACCTAGTCTTATGTGATTCCTCAGTGCAACATGTTGACACATCATTGATTTTTCTCAAGTGTTTTGAGATGGCTACCAGGTTAAAGGCAAACCTCTCCAAGTCCAAGATGATGGGGGTGTGTATGGACCCTTCCCTGGTCCATTTCTTAGCCAGCAGGGGGGGCTGCTCTATCGAGATTATGCCCTCTTCGTACCTTTGTCTTCCCCTTTACCTGGGGTTACCTCGACTTTCTCAGTGGAGCCACATTGTAGATAAAAATTTGTGATCGGAGATTCACCGGTTGGAAAGGCAGGTTCCTATCCAAGGCGGGAAGGCTAAAGTATTCGACATGTCTTTATTTTGAATCCCCGCCTCTGTGGCTGCTAGACTAGAGCGCATGATGAGAGATTTTTTTGGTCTGGGGAGCATGGCTGCAAATTCCATCTTGTAGCTTGGTCCAAACTGTGTTTTCCCAAGTCTCAGGGGGGTTTGGGTATGCACAATCTTCGAGTCCACAATAATGCCCTCTTGGGCAAGTGGTGATGGAGGTATGCGACACAACCGAGCCACCTTTGGAGAAAAGTCATCAAGCACAAGTATTTTCATGGTAACGAACAATGGATTCCTGTTTGCAGAAGTAGTGGTCAGACTTCTGGTTTTTGGAAGTCAATTCTTAGGTGTCCTGAATTATTCTTTCACAATATTTGCTTTCGACCTTGGGAGGGGACCAGGGTGATGTTTTGGAATGATATCTGGGTAGGTAGTAGACCCCTTAGGGAGCAGTTCCCTAACCTCTTTCGGTTAGCGCGAGATGCTCAGTCTACAGTAGCAGAAAATTTTGTGCTCTCAGGTCATCTCAGATCATGGTCGCCAAATTTCAGACGACCCCTCAATGATTTCGAGATTAATGAATTTGGGGCTTTGGTTGAACTCCTACGTCCTGTCTTCCTTCCAATTTCTGGTGATGATAAGATTATTTGGGAACCTTCACCCTTGGGGATGTTTTTGGTCTCTTCCTTCTTTCGTACTCTCACCCCCACCACTGCTGGCCCCAATATTTCTTGGCTATCAAGAGCTTGGAATCCCTTTTTACCCCCTAATATCCCGGTTTTTTTTTGGATAGCACTCTATGAGAGTGTTGACGATATATCTTCTTCAAAGAAGAGGAATGCAATGCCCCCAATAGATGTACCTTGTGCATGGAGGATGAAGAATTCAATGCACACTTATTCCTTCACTGCGGCTTCGCAAGAGAATTGTGGACTTATCTGTTGGGTCTATTCCAGTGGACATTGGTCACTCCTGGCTCCATTCCGCAATTGTATCAGGCTTTCCCCTATACTCCCTGGCCAAAGGCAGGAAGAGAACTTTTGAAAGCCTCTGTTTCAGACACACTTTAGGTTCTATGGATTGAAAGGAACCACATAATTTTTAGAGGAGAGAGATCTTTGGTCGGGGCATTGGCCGACAAAGTCGGGAATTTAGTGGCCTTTTGGGCCACGAACCATAGCTTGTTTAAAGGTGTCCCCTTATCTGATTTTTATTGGAACTGGCACAACTTACTCCAGGGGACAAAGGCAACTATCTCAAAATCCTCTCTTTGGAGACCACCCAAAGTAGGCTCCATCAAGCTCAACTTTGACGGTTGCTCCCTTGGGAACCCCGGCCCCTCCGGAGTAGGCAGGCTCTTTCGTTGCAAGCTTATTCCTGCCCCATTGGCCTTGCGGACTCAAATCTTGCAGAAGCCATGGCCCTATTAGAGGGTCTACTCAGATTTCGCGTCGCCCAGGGTCACACCCTGGTGGTGGAAGGGGACTCTAAAAATGTCATCTCTTGGGCATTAGGTCTCTCTCCCTGCCTGTGGCATCTAGGTGACATCTTTGATGAGATATCCCATTTGTCATGAGACATCTCAATCTTATGGTGCCATATTTTTCGGGAGGCCAACTCCGATGCTGATCATCTTGCCAGAGAGGGAGCCTACTCTAATTCCCTGGGGGGGACCTTAGATTTTTGAGGATCTCCCACACCGCGCTTCCGAGTTGTAATTTTGCTTTTGTACCATTTTTTGTACCCTTTGGGGATGTATAGGGTGCCCTCTAAGACGGTCCCATATTGTGTACATTTTATTACTCAGTAATACAATTCTAGTCATCTTTTCTCAAAAAAAAAAAAATCATTCTTCATGCTGTCATATTATGTTTTCACCAATCTGTGGGGTAGTATATTTTTGTGTTCATATGAATTAAGAAACAAAATAAATAGTGTATAGTGCAATGAAGAATATTATACATTGTACATTTGTAAATACATAACTCCTTATCGACATGGTATAACCCATACTTAAATACTGAGTAGGTTTGTTGTGTAGTTTTTGCTTTCAGTGTTTTCTTTTTGTCGAGTATGTGTTTGTAAATCTATGAATGAACTATATTGAATCTTGGTTTGGAACATGTGATTTATCTATTAACCAACCCTAAATATTTAATTGGTGGTTCCAGGCTTATTCCCTTATTCAAAATGTCATTTCCTTTTTAGTTTGATAGCTTGCTATAACTGTAGGCTTGAGGTTGTTCTAATATTGTTTATGTGAAAATTCTATGTTATTGTATGGATTATTCTGTGTTATTTCCATTGCAGAGAGACGTTAGAGCTCCGCTTCTTCTTCAAGGAATCAATACATTGTCTTCATTATGTAATTGCCATGCAATGGATTTATGCTGCAATGGATGTATGCATTTATGCTTGTAGATTGGTCTCTAGGTCTGTGAGGTGCTGCGTGCTAATCGTATAAGATGTTCTTTGGGGATGTTTTAACTTATTGTACATTTTGTTGGAAATTCTTGAATAATTATAAAAGAATGTATAGTTCGAACCCCCCGTAGGTTTCCTTGTTAATTAGGTGTCTTTATCTTTTATTATGTACTTCCTTTTAGTGAGGGCCACAACATTTTTCTGTTTGCAGATGGTGATAGAACTCGATGAGATATTGCGGCAGCAGATTGCTCAGACTGCTAAAAGTTGCATTTCTGAAAATGGAGTGTCATTCCTTGATCAAGTTATCTCTCACTTCTATAAAATATTGGCTGCGGTAATGCACAAAGGCCTTGTTCTCCTTTACTGCAATTTAATGTTGATTTTCAGGTGTTGTATTAGTCCTACATGGTCAAATTGAATGTTCTATCGATTGCTCAATATTATCTGGCTTCATAATAGCTTACTAACTTTGTTTGTCTGTTCCATTTGTATTTGGCTTCTTAACTTTGAACCTTTGTTATTGGACTCATGACGTGGTCTTGTGCATCAGAGAATCTTATGGCAGTTACTTTGCCTTGTTTGCCCTATTTTGGTGTTTTTTTAATATTTTTTGAGTGGTTTCCTCTCCTCTCTCTCAATAATTGTACATCTCAGTCTGCACAGTTCCCAGTTTCGAAGACCAGTTATTTAGAAATTGTCCTATTTCTCTTTTCTCGTTCATGAAGTGAAATGGCTATTTTTTGGTTTGCTGCATGCTGTTCTTAAGTACTGCCAGTTTGTCTTCCCCACTTATTTTAAAAATGCCCTAAAACGTTTCCCTGCCTATTTCAAAAATGAGAAACCTATAGTGGTCGATATTCATTGATTGCTCCAATTCTTAATAGAACTTCGAGAGTGTCCAAACAGGTACTTAGGGTACAAATTGATGTAGTACGTATTCCAATCATTGAACGATCATTGATTGTTAAAAAAAATAGAAAGGAACTTTGGCTAATTTCTTTTGGCAATTCATGTTGGGCATGGCTTAGTAACTTCAAAACATTTACTTACACTCGTACACACATTTTATATAAGCCGACCTTTGCATTAGTATATTTATGTTTTTATATCTATAGATGTACATGCCTACCGGATTGTTTGAATGGTCATTGTCGTATAGTTGGGCTATGTGGTTCTTGTGACTCTTTAGTGGCAGACACCCAAGTGCCGGCATTGCAATCAAGATCTCTTCTCATCTCTTATGAGGTTTTAGTTGGAATTTGCAACGAATTTGAACAGATGGATGTGCTGTGAATTACTTATTCTCGGGAGAATATGCTTCTCTCAGTTTAATATGTGCTTGTCAATAGCAATGACCAATGATTGGGATGCTCACTGGGTTATGAGTATCAGGAGATCAGGAGCAGATAAACAAGCACCTTTATTTTTCAAAAATCTCTAGAAGTTTCCACTTTCTAAAATATATCTTGAATAATGTTGTGTATATCTTCACTCCTTTTTATATAGAAGTTAAAAAATATAAGAAACCAATATTTTATAAATGCTTAAAAATATAGGAAACTTATTATGGGACCAGTGTACCACAAAATGCTGGGCCATGCCTAGGCAGATGGGGGGGTCTAGGCCGCCTAGTTCCTAGGCAGGCGCTCAGGGATGTGGCGGCCTAGGTTCAAAAGGGCGCAAGGGGTGTCCTGTAATCTTATTTTTTGTCCAAATTGCATTTTTTATAATCTAAACGAAAAAATACCCCCATGATGGGTATTTTTACACCTAGGCGAGTGCAATCCCTTGAGTGCTGGCCCAAGCGGGGTACTAGGTGGGCGCCTTTGGTCTGCCCAGGCGTAGGCTATGCGCCCAGGGGGGTGGACCGCTTTTTGAATCCATGTATATGAAACTTAATTTTGGACAAACATTTTTTTGTATTGCTAACTGGTTTATAGGAAATACAACTTGCCTTTCGCTTTCGTATTTGATCCAACTTATATGTATGTATGTATGTTAATTCTGCTCTTCAATTGCTCATGCGACTCAAATCTGAGCCTCCCTATAAATCAACACATTGAGAAATCACTGAGAGGGCTTTGAATGACTCCTCTAAAAAAGATGAAGCTGTTCATATGTACTTCGTAGGAAACTTACGATCCATTTGTTTCTGATGCATTTTGTGCCACAATAAGTTTCACTCTTCGCTTTGCCTTTTCTTCCCTCTTTAATTACAAATCCTCTTCTTTATTCTTTTCTTCTCTTATTTTGGCAGACATATTGGGTTTCATTCTGATTTAGACTCTTGTGTTTGGTATGCCTCAGTGTGTTAGAATCAATGTTTAAGAAGGCGGACATGGCTGCCAAGCCCGGTGGCCGGATATCTCGACGACCAACGTATTTTTTATTTTTTAGGGGGGGGGGGGGGAACCATTGCAGATTATTTGAAACCCCTGTTTTTGAGAGTATCATTTTTTTTGTTTAATAAACATTGTTCTATAGTTTTTTGTATATAATTTATTGTTTGTTTAGAATTATAGATCAAACTTAAACATCATCATCATCCGAGCCTTATCCCAACTATTTGGGGTTCACTAAATGAATCTTATTTCGTCATCATGTTCTATCAAAGGTCATGCCCTTAGTTAGACCATAAGTCGCAAATATCTCTTCTCACTAGTCACTACCTCCATCCATTTCCTTTTGGACTTTCCCTTTACACCCAAAATCTTGATATCCATTACAACTCGCAAAATCGCAACTGATAATTGATAAAAAAAAAGAAGTCACAACTCACAATTGAAAAGGCCATAAACTAGAAAAAATAGTCTTCTTCATTCCACAAATATGATGAACTCAATTATGAGGTTGAGTTTCATCATTGCTGGCCACATCACATCCATGTCCATGGCCAACGTGAAATTCACCTGAACCTAATGATGATTCCAAGACATCATCATCTGAGCCACCCTTCTCACCCCTCTCCTCGGAGTCTGTGTCTTCCTCCTCCATTATTGTCCTCCTCATTTTCCGCTTCACCCTTTCCGTCCTTTGCCATCGCCTTCCCTTTACTCTGAGTTTGAGATCTAGTATTTCTAATGGGGCTCGATGCCGTACTAGCCACCTCTTATACTTGGTTCCATGTCAGGCTCTCCCCCTCGAAAACATGCTCATCCGCAACATCCTCCTTGACCAACCATTCGTTTGATTCATCCAAATCTCTTGCAGCTATGGGGTCAAGAATTTGATTTTGCTCTATATGGCGCTTCTTCAGCTTTTGATTTTACTGAACAAAAATAAGGTCGTGTAGTCTCTTCTGCTCAAGTTTATTTCTCTTCTTTGTATGTACTTGTTTCATTGTGCATCATTGTACAATTAGAATTTGTTACTTAAAAAAATTATCAAGAAATTAGTGTAGTATTCTAATATGAGATGAGGATAAATATTAAATTTACGATCTCGAACGTGCTGAAATGCACTCGCATCTGGATGTAGAAGTCAGGCTCAAAATTCGTTGTGCCATCCTTCGTAATTTAGGGGTACTTTTTCCATGGTTGGCCCACCATGAAGCTACAATACATTGAAAATATATAGAGTAGATATATATGCGTAAATTTAATTGCTTCCATGAAACAACCCCGATTCTCTATCTCAGAATCAATGTATTAATAAAGAGGGTTGAGATAGTGCCTTTCTAGTTGTAGGGGTCTCAACAAATGTAAATCCCATGTGTGATCTATAATTTTCAAAATGGGGCCATATTTATTTTCATATTTCTTCAATTTTATCTTGATTTCTTCTCTTGTGACCTCCATTGACTTGTAAATATGCCCCATTGCCAATTACTTTTTAGTATCCACAAGGCTCATTATTTTTACAAGTGGCTCAAAATGATAGATACAATACTGAACCCCAATCCAAAACCTGGGTGTCATAACCATATCATACACAATTTTTCCCTTTGCCTCCTTGGACCACTTGCTTTCCTTCCAATCTGAGGAGACAAACATGGTTTGAATCTTGTCTTTTTGACCATTATCCAAAGACAAGGATGAAGTTGCAAACCATGTGATCCTTGGCCTCGCAAAGTCAGCCCCTTGTTTATACTTCCTCATGATGGCTAAAACATTGGTGTGGCTGTAAATGAAAACTGTTATAGCTTTTGCAGTATCTATTATCCCCTTCACCACTTTCTTCTTACCAATTGCCTTGAGCATGAGGTCAATGCAATGCAGCACGCAAGGCGTCCAGAAAATGCGCACCCTCCTCATCTCCAACAATTTAGCAGCCGTTATATTGGCCTTAGCCATATTGGTGACAACTTGCACAACATGTGCCTCCTTCACCTCCTCAATGCACTTATCCACAACTCCAAATATGAAACCTGCATCATGATCTTATCAAATGTGTTAGTGGACCTCCAAAAAGTTGTTCCCATCTGACGATTAACCAATGAATTCATAATACGTGTTGATCTCTTATGGCTCCAAGTATCTGTCATGATGGTCACCCCGCACCTACCCATATATCCTTGTTGGTCTTTAGGTAGTCATTTGTGAGCTTCACCTCTTTTTTCAAGCAAAGGAACCTTGAGCTCATAAGATGTAGGGGCCTTATATCCTTGGCCAAACTGCCACGTTGCCTCCAATAGAGCTTAGAAGCTCTTCAAACTGGCAATATTAAACGATAGACCTGCTTGATAATACCATCGTGCTAAATGCTAATTGACCCGATCCCTATCCTACTTCTTCAATTGACTCGTTCAATACTTCCACCCGTTCTCGACCTACCACCTTAGAATTGAGAGGGGAAGAATGTATCAATAGATCCACTTCTTTGAGGTCTCTTGTACCCAAAAGTGCTTGGTCTAGATACCGGAGCCCCCTTCCGCTTCATGTTCTACTCCATAGATATTTACAGATATCCTAATGTCTTCGTATTGTTTCCTAGTCTCTTCTCTCTTCTTTTGGATCCTTTGTAGAAGTTCCAACATCTCTTTCCTAACATCTCCAGGGACTTGAGTACATAGTACTACGCCTTCTCTGATGCCGTCCAATGCTTCTTCAATCAATGAATGCCAGAATTGTACTCCTTTTTACGGAATTGACAAGCTACCTTGTTTTTTTCCTTAGGATTGAGACAAAATACATATTTCCAACCTTGATCGACTTGTTTATTTGAACTCAAGGAAGACGTTGTCACCTACAACCACTAGTTATCAACTTATTACCTAATCCTGTAAATTGCATAAAGCCACCAAAGTCAGACTTATATATATTTATAAGAAGTTCAATGCATAGATAAATTCACAAGAGCAAGATTAATCTACAAGTATGTAGTATAAATATTTAAAATTTAAAATTTAAAATTGATCATCCAAAGAATATTAAAAAAAGATCATCTGAAAAATCACACTTGCATAACGAAGTAGAAAGAATTAAATATGTTGCCCCTTCTCAATTTATTAACTATCCAAGGAAGAAGTAAAGCTACCATGCTCAAGAAAAGAAGATAAAATAATATGATGGCCCAAAAAAAAACTCATGTTAAATTTACACATCAAATTGCAATGATTTAAAGCATAAAATTGAAAAACGTCAATTACAAATCACGCTAGTAAACTAACTGATGCAGCAAAAAGATATTAAATTGGTTTGGGAGCAATGGACTTTCCAATTGATTTAGTTTCTTGTTCTAAAAATCACAAATAATATCAAAGTAAGACCTACTCATCAATAAGGCAATGATCTAGAAATGGGTAAAAAAAATCGTGAATCATGCAAGTCAACTAACTCATGCCAAAGAAAAAAAAAAAGGTCATTTGGTTTGGGGCAATAGACTTTTTCCATTGATTTCTTTCACAAATTAAAAATCAAAATGGGAGAATAATCTAAATACAAACTAATATAAGTATCGAAAAGACAAAAACAAAAAAGAAGGAATAACATATGATAATGCATTCTGCATAAAAAATACACAACCCTAATTGAAAATATTGTAACACACCAACCTTCTCAAAATGGAATCAATAATGGGCAAATTCGGCAACTTTTGGTTGCCAAAAGTCATCTTTTGCAACCACTCCAAGCTCCAAAAAGATTCGGGATGAATGTATTTCGTGAGGTTTCGAGGAGGTTGAATTTTTTTTCGGTCTTTTGAAAAATCTAGAAATGTATGTTTTTTGAGAGTTTATCTCTCTCTAAAACTCACTACAAGTTCTTGGGGGGACATTGTTGCCCCCCAAAATCCTTTCCCCCCCTTTTAAGGGTATAAATTACAAAAAAGCCCTTGGCCGTGGGCCATTTTCCTCCCTCAGCCAAGGGTATGCGAGACGCTGCCTAGATGCCTTGACATGCCCCCCCCCTAGGGCCCGCCACCTAGGATACGCCTAGGCTGTATGTCGGCGAGGCTGCCTAGGTACAACCTAATGTTAACTTTAGTTTGTGATGATTTATAACTTATTCATGAAAGTGCAAAGAGAGGTTGTCTACTGTGAGGCAGGTTCCGTCCTTGTGACGGTGTATTGGTGGGCTTTGTTTCAATTGGGGCCCCTTTATGCGTCTTGGACCTTTTATTCCAATGTAGCGTTTTTCTTTTAGGTTATTTCCCTTCAGTTGCATTTCTTTTGCTACTTACTGTAACCTTCTTCTTGTAATTTGTCAAAAAAACTGAAGTTTATGCCTTTAGCTCGAAATTGTTAAGCTATCAAATTTTCAGTCTTCATAGATTTTGCTTCCTATCCATTTCCTGTATAATATGAGTTTATTTTCATCATATTCATAGTATGGGTTGTATTGTATATGTTTTGATATGTATTTCCTTTCAGGAAGCCATTAGCAATGACAATGGACGAGCACCTCATTCTGCATGGAGAAATTATGATGATTTTAATGAGTATTTTTGGTGAGTCCTTTGTTTCTGCATTTATTCAATTTTGCAGGTTATATCGTTATTGTTATGTTTGCTTATCCATGGTTTGCAGGTCTCGTGAGTGTTTTGATCTTAGGTGGCCCTTGCAGACTAATTCCTTATTCTTTTGCGAGCCCCCAAAAGTCAAAAAGGTTAGGGATTTTTATTGGCTAAAGGATACTTTGTCCTTGATTTTACTCATGTTGTTGTTTATGTCTCTGTTAGATGTTATTGATAGTTATTCCTTGCAGGTTTTGCTATCCTTGTGCAATATCATGTGCGTAACTGATAACTTTAATAGGGGATTGACATATTAATATAGAAACTTACCTGCTATTATTGAATTTGTAACCTATGAATGGTGAAATTTTCCTCGAATTTGTGCTTGTTAAACAAAAAGCTAAACCTAGTTGATATGGCTTCATTTGCATCCAAACCTGATTCCTGATGCCAGGACCCAATGGGCCTCCTATTGCATTTTTTCTGTCCCTAGTATAGATGGTGGTAAAGCTCACTGAATTTACACCACCTATTTCTTAGTTTTCTCTTGTTCTTACACTCGTACTGAATTTCCAAACCGTTCCTTTCCTGCATAACATCTGATTCAGTCTCCCACCCACCTTCTCTCTCCAAGATCCTAGAAATTTGTGACAGCATAGACCTTTATCAATCATTATTTTGGAGGTGCTTAATTTGTTTTGTCTTGGGATTCATAGCCATTACTCTTGAACTTGTCAAAGGTGGGGAAGCCTTACCCTCTCTGCCTTGTGCGTCTTGTATGCTGGGAATTTTTAGCTGCCTAGGTGGCATTGAAAATTCCTGGCTTCATCCTCTTTCCTCATCCCTATTTCCGTCTTCCCTTGTTATAATTATTTTCTCCATTTCTCTTCTTCTTGTCCTCTCTTTCTTCTGGAGTCTTTCTCTTCTTGTTTATCATAGTTCTTATTTCAATGCCAGTGTAGTACCATTTGTTAGCCGTTTCGAGAACCCCTACCCTCATATCATGGTCATGATAATACAACTATGGACAATTTAAAACTGTAGTTCATATGAATCGTGAAGTCAACTTGGCGCTCATTCTTGCTCGATTGTTCACAACTCTGGGCAAAGTTTTTGTGATGTTTCTAGTTCTTTGATTAAAGGGGATGTTGCTAGGAGACTGCCTTTCTTGACTAGACCATGGCTTACTGGATTTAAACCCAATTTACGTATGTACATGAAGTTGTTCATTCCTAGATACTGTTGAAGCACATTGTTTTTGGGGGTCTTATTCATTGCTTTGCCTCTTTTGTTAAATAATTTTTAGTTTGATCTAATAATTTTTACCCTGTTTGTCATCACTATGGCTTCCTTGACAGTCTATGCATTTGCCTGGAGGGAACAAACGTAGAGGAAAGACCTCTTTTGTGGAGCACAGAACATTTCTTCATCTTTACCATAGTTTCCCACGACTTTGGATATTCCTTATCATGATGTTCCAGGTTTGGGATTCGCCTACTATCTCTTCTTTTGATTGTCTCATCTATGTCTGTGTTTCACTTTAGTTCTCGTTTAGACTTACACGAAAATATTGCTTTTATATGTATGATAACATTGTTGCAGCTGAGATGTTCCATGGATGCATTATGTAGGTTGAAAATTTGCAGTTTCTAGTTGATGAACTTGTGAGTCCATATAGCAAATGATGTCGTATAAGTACACCATTGTGAACCTTTGTAATGAATGATATGAAATTTATGCTACGGCTCTTAGCATAGAGACTCAAGAGAGGGTGGTTGTCAATTTGAAATCGAATTAAATTATCAATCAGTGTCATGTTTTTCTTGTCAAAAGCGCTTTGTAGGTGTGTATCATTATTAACTGTTTGGTATTTTCTTCATTGTTGATTGCATTTCATTGTGTCTAAGAAAGATGGGGAAAATGGTACAATCTGGAGAGGATTTAAAAAGATGTCTATACACAAAACCAAAGATGTATATTACAAATATAGTGACCAGGGATTTTTTGTATACCCGCATTGGCTAAATAACCCGCTTAAGTGTTAGCTTCCCTTAATGTGTGGTTGAAAATCTGCTGCTACTATAAATATGTTGGCAAAATACCATGGGCAGTTGGGACTATCCTGGCCCTATGAGATGACATTACTAGAGTCCCCTTAAACTAGGAGGGACCCTGACTCAGATCAACATTGTGAATGCCATCAACAGAGCTAGTGGTGTCACTTTGTTGGCATCACATATTATAGCAAATGCTGGTCCGGAGAAGGATAACAGAATGGAGGCATCATGGTTCGGGACAAGTCCCCCAAGCACAGCCCCCTAACGCACCTGTGGTCCAGGATTGCCTATAGAAATTTGATCAAAGTTCGAGACCTCGATGGTTGAATGCTCCTTTTCTTTGAACATTGTGGTGTAATATACCTATTATTTCTTCTAAGCCTTCCCACTAAATTGTATGAGAGATATCGACTTTCTTTGCTACTCAGGCAGGCATTTTGAATACAAGACATGAAATAGATTGGGTGGTTCGACAAATATTTCTTTGATGATTGTAATCCTTGCCCCCGATATTTTATAAATTAGACTTGTGGGTCAAACTTGTCACCACAGATTCCAAGCCGGATCAGCCTACTTGGCAAGCCAGCTTGGCCAACTCGCGATATTTATGAAAAAGCAAACAAAAAATGTAAATGTAAATCTTGGTTGTTTAAAATTATAAACAATGTTTAGGATTCTCAAATATTCTAAAAACAGTGTTTTTATCATTTTTTTAACAATACTTGTAGAAAAACTCACAATGCGTGAGATCAACAGCAATGGGTGCTCAGGTTACATGAAATGTCAAAAAGCATCCCACAGGTTGGCTGCTCTAGATATACAATTCAAAGCTAGTGTAGAGGTTGTAGGCAGCCACATGATATTGGGTACTTGACAAAGGAGAATGCAAAAAAATGGACGATATAGGGTGTGATGGATTGGGAATAGAAGGTGATAGAGGGGGAGGAGAGATGAGGTTAGAGGCAGAAAGTAAGAGAAGAAAATGGAAGTAGAGGGAGGAGGGACATAGGGGTGAAACGGAGAAAAAGATGAATGGAGAGAAGTTTTTTTAAGGTGACAAAACGAAAGACAAAAGGCAAGAGACAAGAAACAAGAAACAAGGGTAACAAGAAGTTCTTCATTAGCTATCCTGGTTGCTGCTTCCTTCGTGGGCTCCTTGTCTAGTGAAGAAAAAAGTAGTCAGAGCAGGTAGAGGAGGTAGAGAAGAAGAGGAGAAAAGATGAAGTCTGGTTTTGTTCATATTTTTTCGGGGAGGGGGGAGGGTCGGACCAGTTGGCCATTGATTCCGTGCATGTTTGATTTGTGATTTTTTTTTTTTAATTTATATGACTCCATTTCAAAGGCGAATAAACCAGAGCAAACACACGAAAGGTAAACAACATCAATTCATTAAAATGAAAGTACATTCACAAGTGTTTGGGGGTTCATTGCACTCATGGGTCCAGAATATAGCCGGCCCCTCTTAGACCACCGATTTATATGTCTACTGGGGATGCCCTCGCTTGTGTCGAAATTTTTGATCAGCAATTGGAAGGAGGATTCAACACTGTTCGTTCCTATATGGAATATAGCCTTGCCTTGCTCGCTCTTTGCAAGAAATGAGGTGGTTGGGAACGGGATAGACAAGAGCTCCGGAATTGGGAGCGAGCGCACGGAGCAAGGTAGGCTTGAAGATTTGTGGTCGGGGGAGTGAGGTTCATTCATGATCAGGTATAGGGATCGAAAACCCTGATTATAAGGGAGCGCATTCCATATGAGCGAATTCCTTACTACGAGATCATGCACCATTGTGTTTAGGATCGAGGTTCTCGAAGTTTACTTATCCACTGTACTGTAATTTGGGAGCGAATCACATTGAACAACAATTAAAAAGAAAAGATACTGCCTTATATAATTGCCAATAGCTCTCCGTCGTCGAGGATGGCTAAGGGCTCCATAACATTTGTATGAGAGAGACCTCACATTTTCGAACTATACACGTTATTTCATCACGAATAAGGCAAACCCATGAGTGGCCCAATTTGGTTGACCAACACTCAAGCGATAGACGCCCTTTGGGAGGTGAGGAATGGGGTTGAGGTCAAGGTGGTAGCACCACCTGTAACTTAGCTACTGTCCTAGTTTCCATTCCTACCATTGCTAACCCCTTTTGAAAACTACTAATGATTTCAAAAACTTCCTAACCCACTACTAACCGTTAACATTTAAAAGAAAAAAAAAAAAGGTCCTTTGTGCGGTGGACAAGACCCAATGAAGTAGCCCCAAGGAAGTTGAGTGTATTGTTCGCGCCCTCATTCCTCACTGAAACCACAACATGATTAACTTTTGTATCTCCTTCCAACTAGTTCCTTCTCTCTCCTTGTTCACTCTTGTTGCCTTTCTTTGAAACTAGATACAAGTCACATTTCACAAGGCATGTAAATTTGTGCATTGTAAAATATGTAGGAAATCATGATATTCAGAAAGTTTGTTGGTGACAAAAATTGCAGACCCACACTTCATTGTATACAAATTGAAAAATATGCAGTGAAACTTGATCCAAAAGTAGAGGATACTCAATACCAAGTTGCTGGAATCGCGGTTCCACTTAATCATGGAACCTTGGTTTTAGTCATGGGGATCTGGATCCCATTATATGGGTTGAGTTCCCTAATTTCCCGAATCAAGATCCCAAAATTAAGGAATCGCCTAGGATTGAGATCCCTTATTTCAGAGCGCGGGATTGAGCTTCCAGAATGGAAGTGACCCCCTCCTTAAGCTTTTGGTAACTGAGGGTGTGCCATGATGCTATGTTTGGTGGACTTTCTGATACAAAAGTTTGATCCACTATAAATGGGTTTCTTGAGCCTAATTTCTAGATTTTTTTTGCTGGAAATTTGGGGTTAATTCGTGCATTTCGAATTTGGAGTATTGGTAATTTGGAAATTTTGGAAATTTTTGGCTAATCTTGGAACTCGGATATTTGGCTACGGTTAATTTGGGAACTTTGTTTTGTTTCTCACAGTAGGGTTAGGATATAAGAGAGTTTGGGCTCCCGAGTTTCTCAATCTAGGTTTCCCTCTAAACTTGCTAACCTATGATCTCTAACCCTTTGAAAATGAGGGTTCATGGGTTTATATAGAAGGTTTTAGGAAACATGGGTGGAAAATCTATAACATAGGAGGGTGGATTATTATAATTGGCTCAGGCATGACAAAAAATGACCATTTTGGATGGTTCAATTTTGGAAAATAACAAGCATTTGCCCTTGGACAGCTTCTCTCTCATTCCTTTATCTAATATCTCTTGTTTGATGCACTTTTTTTATTTATTTTTGCTCTACTTTATTTCATAATTTTGTAGAGCATCTTGCTATGATCATTCTCCAGCAAAGTTGAATAAAAAACTCCTAGATTTGGAGTATGATCAAATTTGTGGGTTTGGCATCAAATCTTGAAGAACTTTCATGCTTCTCTCAAATTGCTTCCAATTCCACCCTTTATTGGCTGTTAATTCGACGATTTGTCACCACAAAGCTATGACGAATCATCCGTGAAGTACTTGAGGATAAAAAACTCCAAGAATCTAGGAGCAATGATTGTTTTACTGGCCTTTTTTACAAAATTCAGCTGTCTCCCAATTTTCGGGCCACTTTTCTCTATAATCTGACTACCAATTTGGTTTTAAACTGCACAACAAATTATATCAGATGTTAGGAGGTTGAGTGAATATCGTATCTGCAAAATTTCTGCTCAAAACGCTTTACAGATCGAGAGATATGAGTCAAAAGGTGGATCAAGGTCATGAGGACTGCTACACATGAACCCACTTTTGTTCTCTTAACTTTTTTCTTCAATCTAGTTATGACCTGTTTTAGGAACCCAATAGATATCTATCGATGAAAAGCTTTTTGGATGGATAACAATACATTAAAATTTAAGCTTATTTGGCCATGGGGATCATGAGATATGATCGAATCTTTGGTAGAACGAAAACTTGTCGCTTGCAGTAAATTGCTCTTGAACTGCTAGACCACAGGTACATTGTTCCCTTTGCTGCAAAAGTATGGTGGCCTTTGATGTTCCGCCAAGAAAGCGGCATTTCCTGATGTTAATTGAGCTCAAATTTGGTATTTAAGCTTTTTATGAGAATGCCTTTCTTTCATAAAAATTTCAGGTCATTTTGCCACAAGTTTCTTAGGGTTCCTTTGTAAATTTAGGGCCATTTTGGGCTTGGACTACTCTACCTCAATGGTCTTCAACTTTGCAAGCCCATATCTTGGTCATTTGATATTGTAATGATTTGGTTTTTGGAGGAGACCCTCAGGGTGCCTTAGTTTAGAGTTTAGAACTTTTGGATAACCATTTAGGGCAGGTTTGACCAAAGTTTAGCATGCTCTATTCTGGACCATTTATTCAGTAGTTCGACCATGTAACTAGCTGTTATCCTCTTTTTTTTTGCTTGGGATTTATTTTTCCTCATTTCATGGGGGTTTGCAAAGTTAGGGTCTGATCTGAGTTTGTTTTCATTGACTATACCGTGTTTTGGTGATTCCTTTGATTTTCTAGCGGTTACCGAGTCAGGGGCTTATTTAGCTAGTCGACCCTGCACATTGCGATTTTCGAGCTACCTTTTGGACCTATTATCATATTTCATTCACTTATATGTCCCTTAAGGTCCGAAATTCATGATTTCACCTGCGTGGGACTGTAACCTGGTTCTTTGCTCCATAACCACAGTGACTATCCCTTGGGTGAATTTATTTGAATCAAAACACTTCATGACGCTAGTTTACTCTTGAAGTGTTCTTATTTGTTGGTCGACTGACGCAGACAGGAAGGTTAGTTAATTTGTTAGGAAGGATGTCCATGTCACGGCCTAATAGTTTAAGGCTGTCAGATCTGATGAAGTCACCATGATTACCATGAAGTTTGTTTTTATCCTATTGATGTGCAGGCCATCTACCACTTCAAAGCATCCTAGTAACAATCGTTAATTGTCCGTCTTTGTGGCTGTTGATTTGAAAAAGATTAAGGTATCCTCTATGAAATGGAGAGATATGATAGGACCACCTTCAGCCTCCGGAAGACACTGGGAAAAGCCTTAGGTATTGATCCTATCCGCCATTAGGATAAGTTTGTCTACCAAAAAAGGCATGTTGCTGCAGGGTCATCTGGTTGAAGCCCTCTAGAGCTGGAGAAAAGGCCGCAAGGTACTCCATTAATGAGGACCATAAAGGATGTTGTTGATATGCAACCATGTATCCATTTTCTCCACTACCAAAACAACAAAACATTACCAAATATTGAAAGGCCCAATTTACATGGTTAATGGCCTTATCCATGTTCCGCCTGCAAATTACTCCCATCTTCTGACTTACTATGTCTTACCTTCTACACACTCATGGATGATTAGGTAGGCACTTATGGATGATTAGGGGGGGCCATATTGGTATCATGTCTTGGGGTACGACATCCCCAAGTGCATTAATTTCCAGGTCATAATTTCACCTTCTTAACTTCTTCCTTTTCCCAAATCATGAGCATGGCTTTCTTTATTTCATTTTAATAAAATTAGATTCTTTTTGTGGGATATGTTTTTGATAATGGGACCTCAAAATGGTAGTAGCGTTGAGAATGCAGCTTGTCATGTTAGCTTTAAGCAGTGACCTAGATAGACTATATGATACATAGATAGTAGATATATGGTAATAATTATATTCATATTACATATTTGTACTATTCTTAAGAAATATTTTCTTTCGGAAATTACCGCCTTTTTGGAATTTTGGGTGCTCACATGGTGCTTCTTGCTGACATACCCATAAATGCTTGGGGCGGTGCTGCACTTTGATTGCCATTGTACTTTGAATATGATGTATATGTATCTATTTGGTGGATAGGTTCATGGAAAAGAATTGACTTGTCAGATAAGGTATCTGTGTCCCCAATTTTAGGAATGCCGGTTCATGTCCCCAGCTTCTCATATATGCCTGTTCATTATAGTCAATTGGCTTGCACAATTTGTATGTGCAAATAAAATTTAACTGAGAGCATAAACTATGGTAAACCATGTAAAGTAATGTAATTTTGTGTGGGACAGCTGATTTTTGGCTGGATAATCTTGAAAGGGAAAATCTCTTATCCCTGGAATTGTTCTGGTATGATAAAGAGGTGAGATGGATTGAGCATGCATACTGAGCTGGACTGAAAATCTTAATTCATTTAAAGAAACCGTCCATTAAATTGCCCCTCCCCTCCCCAGAAAAAAAACAAAAAAATAAACGGTCCATTAGTTTTTCCTACCAAAGAAACAATTTTGTGTTTAAAGTTGAAACTCAAACACTACAATGTGAGCTTACAGTCCTCTGATATCCCTTCCTTGATGGGCATGCCTCATGTTCTCTCTTGAAATTGACTATAATTATGATCACTTATTGGAATTTGTCTATGGTTGGCAGTCTTCACCATCTAAGGGAAACTAAACATCTAATGGATGATATAATCGCCTCAGGGGTACTGGAATTATTGACACCGGCTGTTTTTTCCAGAGGCCGCCTAAGAAACTATGCTAATTTGTCCGATGTTTCAATTGTTACTCTTTATTTCTAGTTTGAGATGGCTTTAAAGGATGTTTCAGTGGTTCTTCCTACTCATATCATCTAAAATCATTGTAGGCATTTGCTGTTTCAAGGTTTCTGGTATGTGTTTTTTCTAATTGCAAAGTTTTCCTATATGCAGGGCTTGGCAATTGTTGCTTTCAATGATGGGAAGCTTCGGATGAAAACGCTGAAAGAAGTTCTCAGTTTGGGTCCTACATTTGTCATAATGAAGTTTTTTGAAAGTACGTTGGTTGATCATTTACATCTCCTCGTCACCTTGAATACATTGCTAGTTAGTATCATGAGTACTAATTGATGCTCGACTTTGTTGAATTTTTCTCGAGGTTTATTAGTCAAATGTTTTTCTGAGATATTGGCAGCATAGACGGTTATTTTATTTCCATTTTCCTATTATGCTCCTTTTTTTTTAATTTCATAGGCGTTTTGGACATTCTTATGATGTTTGGGGCCTATTCCACAACTCGTCGTTTGGCTATTACAAGGATATTTGTCCGCTTTCTTTGGTTTGGCTGTGCCTCAGTGCTTATTTCGTATCTCTACATGTGAGTTTCATTATTTTGCATTATGTTCCCTTTGAAATTCTTCCTAGTCATGATGTTTCTTTTATTATCTATTATTCCCAAATAAATCATAACCTCATTAAGTAATTTTTTTTCTTCCATCTTCAGAAAGGGCCTTCAGGAGCCAAGTAGAACAAATGGGACTTCAGCCATATTCAAAATATACATCTTTGTTTTGGGCATATATGCAGCAGCACAGTTATTAGTTAGTTTTCTCATGCGAATACCTGCTTGTCGGAAGGTGACCGACCAATGTGATCATTGGCCGGTGATACGGTTTTTTAAATGGATGCATCAGGTTTCACTTTCTTTTGCTCCATATGTATACAGTTTCCTTGTTTTCCTTCATCCTTCTACCACGGTATTGTGAATTATGCATTTATGGACCTTATTTGTTTTTCTCTGTTACTTGTTTGAAGGAGAGATACTACGTTGGGCGTGGAATGTACGAGGGAACATTTGACTTTCTCAAGTAAAGCTCTGCCTATTATTATTCTTGTTATTGTAGAATGTATGTGACATTTTATGTTGTGATCACCTATCCATGGAATGGTTGACCCCCGTGTGATATAAGGGTAGTATTTAATGTTAATGAATATTTACTCAATGTTATTGAAACTAAGGTTACAAGAAATCATGCGAGTGGCACAGCATGAACCATTTTGCATGTTTTCCTATTTGTGTTTTGCATGGTCAACTATCTCTTCTTTTCTTTTTGTTCTTACAAGTGGCATAGCATGAACCATTGTTGTAACTTACTCTTTTGAATCTCTCATCATTTTCCTTCACTCCAATGAATTGAGGTTGACATTGCTTCTTGCTATTTCATCTCGTTTGACAGTTTGAGATACGTTCTTCTCAAGTGCTTATACCTTGGGTTTTCTAGAAGGGAATCCTGTTTAGTGCTGTGCAATAATTTTGTAGACAATGCTTGGCTCTCTAGTAATTAATTCTGTTTAGCCTTTGATTTTGAATTTGGGGCATTTAAAACGGTGCAATATGTGCCATGAGGCAGATACTGGTGTTTGACATCCTTTCAGGTTTTGAGCATATAATTAATTCACTATTTTCTTATTTCACTATGTGATGAGTTATTAAAGGGAGATGGTAATAGACATCGTAGTCATTGTTGAGGATGTTCTGCTAGCAAGTACATATTAACATCTTAAGGTTCGACCAGGAATATAGGGAAGGAATCTTATTTGTCAAAAAATAAAATGTATATTGGGAATTATATGAACGCACAGGTTCATTGGAGGGTGACAGTGTCGTTTGATCCTAATTGCAGATTTCCTGATGTCCATGAGGAAACAGTAACATCACATCACAAATTGTGTAAATCTCATTGCTTTTTTGAGCGTTCAACTCAAATTTGTTAAGTCCGTTATAAATTTACAACTATACGCAGCAAAATTTTGTTATTAGAAAAAGTTGGCAGGACATTTGCGCAATGAAAACATGCGAGCCCTTGCCAATATCTCTTAATTTGAGCTTTCATTTGAACTGGGATGGAGATTTGGATGTAATCGATACATTAACGTAACTTCAGTTTGGACCTGAATACTGTGAAATGAAGTATCTTATCCCTTTTGGTGGTGTTGATTGTCTGTTCTGCTTATATACAGAATGGACGAAATGGTTCTCAATTTGGCAGTCCTTGTGGGCGATAAGAGTGTTGGCTTTGCCATATTGGAGTTCTGTCAGACATGGTATTTTGGTTTTCTAGTTATAGCACTTTTCAGAGGGAGAAGGGTCTCAAGTTCACTTTTTGATCATTGCCCTTTTCCTAGGTCATTTGAAGGTTTTAACTTAGCCCTTTTTGACAATTCTTGTGTTATGGGCTGCTAGTTCTAGGTCCCTTTGGTGTTAAGAAGGTCATATTTAGAGGATGATCCCTTGGTGTTTAATAGCATTTGGAAGGAAAAGATGTGCAAGATTTTCATCATATAAGTTTTGAGAAATGAGGTTGAGAGAATTTTTGTGATATTATGGTTTATTGTGGTTTTTTTAGGAGAATTTTCTGGCAGAGGGTTTTGTTATTTCAAGCCTGAACTATATGACCTCTGTCTCAAGGTTTCGTTGAGCTTAACATTTATGACAGCTGCTTTGGGAATCTTAGTTTGAAGAGGGTTTATTTTCATTGGATAGCTCTACCGAGCTTCTTATGACTTCCACTGTGTGTATATAGCATGGGGTCATACTACATTTGTGGTGGCAAAGGCACTTTTGACTAGACTCAAGGGTATTTTCTCCAACTTCTCCACAAGTCCTCTTGGGTTTGGAAACTCTCTTAATGTTATCAAAAGGATCTCCCAACTGCCTTGAAGTGATCTACTTTGAAAGGTGTAGCTATGTGGAACTCAAGGTATCAAATTCAATTTTTTTTGTTTTTACTTTTATTCCAAATACCTAAATTCCACTTACATGGGCCACAATATATTGCTGGAAAATTCGAACAATACCCTAGATACAACCTAGGATCTTTATTTTTAGTGCTAAGAGAAATAGAAATTATCTAGGAACTTTAAACTAACTTTTATTACAATTTTTAATACAATATACGCTCCTGAAAATTTTCAGAAAAAGTAATAAAAACTAATGGGAAGACTTATTGGAAGATATTTGGAGTTACTCAACCAGGACTTGGTACACCCCACACCCGATTTCCTGACCAATGGCGGACCTTTTCTCCTTAAGGTGTTACTAGAAATTCTAAGCTAGGAAAGCTTTGCAGGCAATCCTTCTTGGGTTTTAGAGAGCTCAAAATAAACTAAGATTTATACAAACCCCATGGGAACAAAATATGACTGATCTTGGGAGTTGATCTCTCTATAGTGGGCTTCTCTCTTCTTCCTTTAAAAAAATACAGCAAGCTCTAGTCCTAGGGTTTCACATGCCACATTATTTTTCTTTCACATAGAATAGAAAAATAGAGGAGAGAGAAGGTGGCATGAGAGAGGCGTGAGGGCAAGAGAGAGGTGTGGCGAGAGACAAGGTGCATGGGGTGCCACTTGTGGGGCTCGATCCTTGGTTCTACATGTGTTATTTTTAAAGTTTTGTAATTTTTAGAAATGCCCTTTTATGAAAATTTATAGTAGAAATAATATTTTAAAATTCAAAAAAAAAAAAAAAAAATTAATAATACCAAAATAAAATATAATAGTAATGGAGTGGTACTGATGGGTCAAGATAACCGACATAAGGGCACTCCACTCGGCCTAGAAATCATGATCTAGAACTGTTCTCTTATCCAACCCAACAAAGTCCCATGACCCACAGTCTCTTTGCAGGGGCTCATGATTAGCTTGTCAAAGTTGGATAATTAAACATTGGGATTATGATCCTCGAATGTGGATTATAGTTCTCCTTTTAAGAGCAAGTCTTGCATTTGTCACCATAGTGCAAAGGGGGCTCTCTCAATGCACATATGCACTTGTCCCTCTAAAAGAGTTGCTTCCCATGTGGCTGTCGTGTGTTCATGGGGTGCGAAAGTTTGTTGAGGATTTGACTTTTGCTCTCACAGGCCTACAACCGCACACAAGAGACCACACATTTTTTTTTTCCTACAAATATGATCCTTGGGCATCTTTTCGACCTCAACAACAGATGACCCATTTCAAACCCTTCTCGGTTATACCACATGCCCAGAGCCAAGGGTTTTAGACATGACCAGAGCGATAAAACCGCCCAACTCTTGGTCAGTCAACACATACATTCCCATTGAATTGTATATTCCACTATACATCATATTTACAAGCTCTCTAGGCCTTTAAAAGCCACAAAACCCAATATACTCATGGGTGATTGTTGACTCTATGGAGGAGATATTCTCTCTCTGCTGTATTGTGGAGATTTCATTCTATTAAATTGTTTGGTAAACTTTGGTTTGTGAATAAGCTGCTAATTCTCTGTCTACAAGTAATGTTGGTAGAGATCCTTATAGATTGGGGTCCCAGTTTGACTAACATTGGGCTAATGTCCCTTTGTTGTTCTGATTATCTTCACCCCACATGCAACTTGATGCGAATATTTCAAAAATTGAAACTTGTGAAATAGAACTTGAGAGCCAAAAACTCATGCATGTCAATGTAAAATGATCAGATTTGTCTCTAATATTGCATATACCATGTAATATATATATAGATAAGATCATAGGTTTATATCATCTGCATTTGTATCTCAATATTTAGGGTTCTTTTCTGCATATGTTTTGATGACTTTTTCTAGACTTTCCAAGTTTGAGTGAGTCCTGAGTTGTCACCGTGGACGTTGACTGAATCTTGGCGCAGGTCTGGGTTCACATTTTCTTAATTATGTGGAAAAGAAGAATCTCAGTAGTTCTGCCATTCTGCTAGCACAACGAGTATGTGTGCTAATATTATATGGCATGCCAACATTGGTTGATAATTAATTAATTAAGTATTTTTTCGGAATCATATGATTGCATTTCTTGGTTCCAAGAGTAACATTGAGGATTGATCATTGTTCAGTGAAAAGCCAAAACTTTCCATGACAGTGGAACATGCCTCTTGTTGCAAACTTCTTTGTATAGTATACATCCTGTTGAGTGCACATGTCTGTGTTCAACATGATGCTTCATGTCAGTTTCGTGAAATCTATGTGAAGTATTTCCATATTCATGAGCGTTTTTATTCATCCTGCTTCCTTTCCTATAAAATCATGCTTCAAATGGAAAATGCTCTCAATAGCAATACAAAAGTTCCACAGAATCCTTATTTGAGTATATGCTCTTTGGCAGCTGTCATAGTTTATGATCATGCTTATTTTCTTTTTCCACTTCTGCATTTTCTTTTCTTTAGTTTTGCATCTCCTTTAGTGTGTTTTGATTCTGAGTTTTATTGTTCTTTCATCCTTTCTTTATTCTGGTTGATTATATCCCATGCTTGGTTTATCCATTGTTACAAAGTTCCTTTTGTTTCTCACTAACTTATATGATGTAATGTTAGATTCCACCCCCACCCCCTCCCCCCCCCGCCGTCCCCCAGGATGTGTTTTTTCTTTTTTCCAGTTTACTGAAAGAGTGTTTGTAGATTGTGATGATTGTATGGCTATGCGCTTTATATCTGATGTATCCTACCTTTTGTTGTTTTAATGTGGGTGATTGGTTGATTGATATATTTATGATATTGACACCCAGATATATGACTTTTTGGCTTGTGGTTTTTGGTGCGAAGTTCTCCTTTGCATACTTTCTCCAGGAAAGTTACCTACTCTAAGCCATTTTGCATTTAGCTTGATTCTTTTCATGCTACTTTTATTCTTATTTTTTTTCACGATGTATCTTCCGTATTTCATGCAGATCAGGCCCTTGGTGGAACCTACCAAATTTATATCTGGGTTTAAGATAGTACGGTATTCGTGGCATGATTTAGTCTCTAAAAGTGAGCTCCTACTACATTGTGTATATCTACTCTCTTTGTGGAATTATTGGGAAACTTTTTTATGATTTGTGTGTATTATTGTTTGACGCGCACTTTCAATTTGACTCTGTCGGTTTTGAGAACCTCATTGAGATTTTTCATGAGGAGATGATTCAAGGGGTCTTCTGCTTCAAATTTTCATCATATAAAGCTCTTAATTGAAACACCCTTGTTCCTAAGGGACACTAAGCAAGACATTACCTGGACCCCTTATGTATTACCTTGAGTTTGTTATTAGTGAAGTGGCTGTCTTACCCATGTCTACTTGTAGTAGAAAGTCTCATAATATTGACCTGGGTCATTAGGTCGATAGCGACATATAGGCTTGTGCTATGTGTTTTGCCGCATGCTTTTTTTTGGAGCATCGGATCAAATGTGTTTTTTATATTATCGGTAATTTTTTCATTGTGGTTAAGTAACATGGATCAAAATAATTCCCATCTTGACTTCTGCTTAAGGAGAATAAAAGTAAAAATTTGTACGAAATTTCATGTTCTAGATTTTGTCTGCAGCGATGATTGACCACTGGTTTAGGGTGTGGACTATTTGTCACATCTAAAATCCGATACATATTACTGAAATGTGTGATGTGTATTTCATATTTGCTGGTGTATCAACTTTGGATGGTACCTCACTCTTGGGCTGTTGATTTGAAAGCATTACCACTTTGTATCTACTTTGATGGTAAATACTGGTCGACACCATTTTATTAGGTATAGAGCAGCAAAGAATCTTCTGCCTATCTCCACCATATCCAGCAAACACTTTCTGGAGTTGGATTCTACTATTGGAACTGTTTACCAGTTAACATGCTCAGAGGGGATGAAATACATTATCTATCTCAGCAATCTGACAAAAAAACAAAACATGATGAATCAGTTCCTTGTTTCTGTTTTTTTCTGTGATTGTCTGATCGGTACTTAAAAAGCGGTTTTGCATTTTGTTCTGTTTGCATTCATATTTAATTGAAAGCCAATTTTCAATTTACGTAGTTTATGGAAACCCATATACTGTTTTTTAAGATTTTGCTCTCCTGTGTTCCAATCTTATTGAAATGGAACTTGTCCCTTGACATTCCTACCCTTTGTGTGTAATTTGAACAAAATTGATTGTTGTTTCTCTTTTTTTTGCCCTTTTTGTATTTTGTGGGTTGTCTTTTTAGCTTTATTCTTTTGTTTGGATTGGGAGAAGTCTTATGTAGTGCTTTTCTCATTATATGTGTTTATTTTGTTGCTGCCTGCAGATAATCATAATGCTCTGACCATTGCTAGCTTGTGGGCCCCTGTTTTTACTGTGAGTTCTCTTCTTAGTTCTGAAGTAGGGACAATTCTCTTCTCCTATTTAGACAGGGCGTAATGCTTCTTACTTGGGTGGTGTTTTTTTTTGGGAATTATCCTTTCAGTTCCTTATTGTATGGGATCTAGAAAAATTGTAAATTAACATATGATGATAATGTCAATCAGACTAGATTGAATAGTTTAAGCAGTTCTGTTCCAAGTCCGGAATGGTGTAGGTTTTGACCCATTTTTTGTCACTGGGTCCATCAAACCCAGTGGTTTCCAGCATTGTCCTCTGTTGGACTACACTGGACATTGCGATGTCCCACTTTTGATGTGTCCATGTTCTCATATTTTTGCTTTGAAGAAAGAAGCTCTTCAGGGAAAGAGATCTGTTTTCCTTTTTACCATTTGAAAAACTTAAACAAAAAGTATTTAAAGCACTGAGAAACAAAATGGACATATTACAACATGGGATATTTTGAAATGGAATAATACTTTGCAAAAACTATAATCGTTGACACATGTAGGAGTAGGATAATGACAGTTAATGCCACTAACCTGCTATTACAGTTAAAAAGATTCGCAGGCTTCTGTAACCTTTCAGAATTTTGCATTTACATTATTGGATCTTGGCAATGTGGCCCCCTTTGAATGCCCCCCAAAAACACACTTTGTGCTGTTGGGTGGCCTTTTACATGAGGGACCATTTGAGTGCCTCTTTAGGGACCCTAATAGCAGTCTGAGCTCACACAAAATGCTGAGCACTGCTTGACCCAAATATGTACGAGTGTCCAAACTGAGGGGGTGATCTTACAGAAACTGGGGATATGATGCAGTACCAAATTGGTGGTAATTATAACCTTCATAATGTTATATATTTGTTTCATCTTCAAAAGTCAAAATAAAATTAAGTTCTTATGACTGTCAATTTTGGAATATATCAAAGTTGGTAAAGTTGATACTTATACTTCTGATATCAGCATTTCTCAGTCTTCACCACCCTAGTTCATCCTGCTCGTTGCATTTCACGCTGTCATTCTTCTGCTCTTACTCTTTCTTCTCATCTGGTTGTGTCAGTCACATCATCTTTGGCATCTTTGGCTTTCTCCCCTGAGGGCTTCTACTTTCTTTGTGACCTGCTATTCTTTAATATCAACTCGTCGCATTTCACACTGTTATTCTTCTGCTCTTCCTCTTTCTTCTCCTCTGGTTGTGTCAGTCACATAATATTTGGCTTTCTCCCTTGAGGGCCCCTACTTTCTTTGTGGCCTGCTATTCTATAATATCAATAGTTTAAAGCTGCTAGGGTTTGTGGTCATCACTTGCTACTTCTTTCTTAGTTGCCGATACAGAAACTGTTTTTGAGTTTAGAACTACAGTTCACAGTTTAAAAAAATAATGCGCATGGAAACTGTGGCAGAATTTTTTTTCTTACATTACAATTTCTTGTGGTTTATGACCACATATTGAACAGATTGTATTATGGTGCTTCAGTTCAATTTTTCTTTATTGCGATTTTGGGTCTTCTGAACAAGATGACTGGAGGAAACTAAAAAGAACTAAAGGTGGAGTGTGTAGTTTGAAGTTCCTAAAAATCATTCAACTGACATATCTGTCTCTTCTCTTTATTGTGTAAGATGAAGCAGAAAACCTGTAAACTATATTCTATTAACAGAAAAAATTATAAATTACATCAAGTTTTGTGTGATTTCCATACTACTGGGGCTCTCTTTCCTTGTTGCCTTTATGAATGCTTGAAGTACCATGTACACAGACATGCTGATTTTTAAAGGTTGTCATTAGTGTTTGGGTAACTTTGATATGTTCGGCTGGCACCTACTAGGCAGGAATGTATAGAGTTTGTTTGAGTTTCATTGATTTACTGTAATAATTGATAGCATGAGGATGCATATTAACTAAATAAAAACTTGCATTTGAGACTTGTCACTACATCTATAAATTGAGGCGACATATTGCATGGAATTAATAAAATTGGGGTCAATCTTCTAGGAAATTTGGTTCTCTCAGGTGTTTCTATGATGCAAATTGAAGTGTGCCTATTATTTCTGGTTACATAGTACCGATAACTATCAAGAAGAGGGGTAATCTCATTGTTTTGATTTTGACTCTCTTGCAGATATATCTTTTAGATTTTCACGTGTTCTACACGCTTATTTCTGCTGTTGTTGGTTTCTTACTTGGAGCTAGAGATCGACTAGGAGAGGTAGGTTATTTTCATTGTGGTTCAAAACTCTGCTGATTAGGATTGAAAGTCTGAGGAACACACTTAAATGCTATTTTCCTTGGTGTTTGGTCCAAGCTGTTAAGTAGCTTTATTCAATGTAGAATCAGTTTTTCAATCACCTCTCTAACTTCAGTGTCTCCTTTTTTGGCTTCTAAAGATACGATCATTAGAAGCAGTCCATCAGTTCTTTGAGAAATTCCCTGAAGCTTTTATGAGTCGCCTCTATGCTTCTCCAACTAAAAGGTGATATTCTGATTGCTGATTGGCAGCACTTGTTTCCTTCATGTGCTATAGTTATTTTTAGTTTCACAATAAGCCCTTTTTATATGCTTTTGACAATCATTTCATCCATGCAGGCCTGCCACCGAAGCTACTGAGGTATGTTTGATTTTAGGAACTATTAGATAGGAGTTGCATGGCATAACTACGAGTAAATACTTGAATTACTTAAATGTTTGATCAACACTAAAGCACCATTGGAGATTGGATTGGAGGATGTTAGAACTTGCGCATCTTAAGGGCCCTTGCATACTTTTGAGACATTATAAGTTTGGTATGAGCTGGTGATGTTAGGAGTTTTCCCTTATTGTGCCATTATTTGTTTTTTTTGCTTAAGTTTGATTGCATTGTTTAGTTCATATTTGTGGATTCGTTTTTGGAAAATTTTGCTTTGTTTTCAATTTTTCTAGGACTTGATTAAGTTGATTGAGCAGGTTCAATGGGTTTGAGTCCATTCCATGTTTTTTGTTTCTATAAATGACTGATGGAATTAGTCAACCTAGTGAAAGCAAGGGTACAAAAGAAAAATATCGACAAGAGTGTAGAAAGATATTAAGAAAACATATCACTTTTTTAGTACAGTTCCCTTGGTCTTCTTTTTAAGCTCAAGAGTCTGCAATAACATAGCTATTAATCTGCCTTTTAGTCTCCTGAGGATGCAGGAAATCCACACACTGAGATAAAAAGTACTGTTTGTGTTTTCTTTCTCGCACGTCATGATTCTGGGAATTTTCAACAAGCCCCAAATCTTTTCCAATGAACTAAGATGGCTGTTCTTCATATCACTAGGTAAGGCATTTGCCTGCACTACTTTGGAATTGCAGCACCCCCCGTGGTCCCAAAAGGGTCCTACCTTTGTTATTCCCAATGATACTCCCAAAAATCTGCAGGGTTCAGGTTGCCCCTAAAGCCTTCTTTAATGTTGGCTTCAAGCAGCTTGTAGGGGGTGGTCTCCATCTTGACTGTGGTTGATGGGCTGGGCAATAGCTACTTTCATGAATTATATAAGTTTGTGTGCATGTCTATTTGATTATGTGCATGCTTTTGTATTATATGTCTGAGATTGCCCTGAACTACTAGACCACAATGATCATGTTTGACAAGTGCTTTGGAGCTATGCCTTCTTGTGCAAGAACTTCGCAAGGACTTGTGTGACCTATCAGGAAGTCGCTGCATTGCTACCATCCCTCCCTGTCAGTTGCATTATTTGTGTTCATGCATCTGTATGTCTACCTAGCACTTTGAATACTTAACCTCATGGAAATTCCTCTTCTCATTGATTTTGACTAAGGCCCCGCATCTACCAAATTGCTTGTTGTATATATCCTTGTATGCTCATCTATGCTGTGTTAGTATTTATTAAGCCCTACTTGCCCTTATCCCTGTAGCATAACCAAATATAGATCTCTATTTTGGTCAATCAATGTTATATGTAGGTTGCATTAGAGATTGTAATAGTTTGTTCTTTGCCTAGTTTGTTATGTCTCTGGATGACGTTCTTACTAGAAAACACTAATGGGCTGTCTGAAGGTTCGCATTGAATTGAAAAAGGCAAATGCTGCTAAGTTTGCTCCATTTTGGAATGAAATAGTGAGAAATTTGCGTGATGAAGATTATATCGCGGACAGGTGAATTACAAATTGATTAACTTCCTTAAATTTGAAGGCTTAATCTGTAGAGAAGCTTTTAAGAGATCTGTGTATTTGCTTTTGACACTTTCTAACAATTTTTCAGAGAGATGGAATTACTTTTTATTCCGAGTAATACAGGCACTCTTCCCCTGGTTCAATGGCCTCTCTTCCTTCTTGCTAGCAAGGTCAAATTCCAATATTCCTTTTTCATTGCAATCAATGGCGGAGTATTTCCTTTTTCGGTGATGTGTATTTCTTTAGTTCTGATGATGCATTTTTCTACTGAGTCTTGCTGTGTCAGGTGATGTGTGCTGAGATATAGGTTTCCTTACTTTTAAATCTGCAACTTTTTCAGATATTTGTGGCTCGAGACATTGCAGTTGAAAATAGGGAGACACAATCTGATCTCTGGGAAAGAATCTCAAGGGATGATTACATGAAATATGCTGTTGAGGAATGCTACCACATTACTAAATTCATCTTGCTAGCTGTACTAGAGGGTGTTGGAAGGTTATGGTAAGCAATGGTGTTCTGCAGTGATCTCTCTCTCTCTCTCTCGCGCGCTCTCTCTCTCTCTATCTCTCTCTCTCGATACACACACAAACACATATGTATATATATACTCTCTCTTGATATACGCACAAATACTTATATGTAGATGTATCGATCAATGTCACTCCCGTCAGTATTGTTCTAAAGGGAACTACCACTCCCTCTCTCTGTCTCTCTCTCAATACACACGCAAACTCTAATATATATATGTCTCTCCCTTCAGTATTGTTCTAAAGGGGACTACCACTCCCTATAATGCCTGTGTAACAGGGTTGAGCGCATATTTGAGGATATTAGAGAAAGTTTAATCAAGGGATCTATTCAGTCTGAATTTCAATTAAGCAAGCTACCTCTTGTGCTATCCAGAATTGCTGCATTGATGGGAATATTGGTATGTACTTGTCTAGTTTCTATCAGTTGCATAAACTGTTGATTGAGTGAATTTCCTGTTGTGCGACATAGCTCTGTTCAACCCTTTTTTTATTTATTTTTGGTGAGCTTTATGCAATGTCATTTTGCTGAAATTGCGTTGATAGCAGCTATTGAGCATCGCTATTGTTTTTTTACCATACTTGTATTTCTTATTTGTTCATTTTATTTTATCTTTTTCATCTCTTATATTGAAGAGATGAGAGGTGATTGTTAGTCTGTTGGTGTTGCATGAAGTATTTATTGTTGAACTCGAGAACAGCACGCTTTCAAGGCAGAATTATCTGCTCTTACATTGATGATATGATTGGTTCATTGTTCATTTCTTAGAGTTGAATGGAATATTTATTGTTGACCTTGAAAGCAGCTCACTTTGAATTCATTGTTACTGGTAACTTAATTTTGTTTTCAAGTTCTCATTTTTCTTTCAGCTAATCCTCTTTCTTAAATTTATAAAATGTTTTTCTTATTTTTGTGAATTCTACATGACCTCAATGATGAAAAGCATAATCACGAAACCTGGAAAATGGCTAGTTTCATGAATCAAGTTCTCAACTTGTTATGCTAGAATGTGAAATGTTACTGCAGTATGTGCTATAATTTATGCAGTAGTTCTTTTTTGCAAACTAACTGGTCTCTTGTTGGCTCTTTTGATGTCCTTTGTGAAAGAAGTGGCTATGTGGAACTCAAAGTTTTAATTTTTTTTTTTTTCTTTTATTCAATACACCTGAATTCCACTTACAAAGGCCACTAAATATTGCTGTAAATATAAAAATAATACCCTAGATACAACCTAGGATCTTTATTTTTATTGCCAAAGCAAATAAAAAACATCCAAGAGCAATGAACAATCTTCCACTATGATTTTTAATACAATATGCGCTTCCAGGAGCAATAGACAATCTTCCAGTATGATTTTTAATGCAATGTGTTCCTGACGTTACCCTCACAAGTCTTGATCCACCCCACACATAATTCCCTGACTGATGACGCACTTTTAGTCGTTTTAGGTGTTGCTCAAAATTCTGAGATGGGAAGCTTTTCAGGCCATACCATTCAACCTAGGGGTTTAGAGATCTCAATTCTAGGTTTTGTAGAAACCCTATAGGAACAAACTAGGGTAAGGCTTGAGGGTTTATTTCTCTCTTGGCTAACTATACATCTCTTCTTAAAAAATGAGTAAACCTCACTTAGGGTTTGACCGTGTAACCTTTCTCTTTTTGTTTTCTTTGATAGAAGTCACTCAAATAAGATGAGAGAGAGGGTGGTGTGACTCTCTCTAAGGCAAAAAGTGGGGATCACTCGATTTTAAACTTTGATAAAGAGAGAGAAAAATATGGCGTGAGAGAGTGAGAACATGACATGATAGAGAGAGAGAACTTGGGGCATGAAAGAGAGGAATCTTGTTGTAATGAGAGAGGGGGCTCAAATCTTGTTTAAATAGAAACAAGATCTATGTCCTACTTTAAGTAGGATTCTAATCTAGGTATACTTTATTCTAATTTCCAACTCGACCTTTAGGATAATTAAGAAATCTATGCAGTGAGAAATTTAATCAAAGCCATCCATCCCACAAATCAGCCATCATGATTTTGGGTGGAAAAATAAGAATTTTATCCCCATATATTTTGACCTAAATCCAACTCCTATTTAAATTTGAAATATAACCACTATCGTCATTATCTAATTCTTCCATAATCTTGAAGAAGCCAAAGATAATGCTTTATTTTAAAACTCCCACTTGAATCGGAAACCAAAATCGGATTTGCGCTTGAGTCAAGACGGTAGAGTCTGGGTTTTTAATGTCTCAAGTTCCATTCCTATGTAGCCTTGTCAAAAAAAAAAAAAATAGAAGAAAAAACAAGGAAACCAAATTTATTTTAAAATTAGAAGATTCCCTATCTAACTAACTTCAACTAAAAGTGACACATTTAAATTTAAATAAGTGGGTCATACCATATTTTGTTTTAAAGAAAATGGAGCACGTGGGCCTCACATGGGTGGTACAACATGTTGGGAGCTGGATCCTTGGTCCCCACACGTGCTTTGTCATGGTCTAAAAATTTTAAAAATGCCTTTTTGATGAATATTACAACAGAAATAAAATTTTAAAATTCTGAAAAAATTAAAAAATTATAAAAACGTTTTTAATATCAAAATAAAATATACCAGGAGTGGATTGGTACCAATTGGTCAAAATTAATGATAATAAGGGCACTTGACCCAAGAACCATCATCCACCACCGTTTTCTTATCCCAACCCTATAAAGACCCATGACCCACACTCTCAAAGCAGGGACCTATGATTGGCTTTCCAAGTTGGATAATAAACAATGAAACCATGACTCTGGAATGTGGATTACTATTACCCCCCATTTAAGAGCAAGTCTAGCACTTGACACCAGATTGCAAAGGGGGCTCTCTCTATGCACATGCACACGTGTCCCTCTAAAACTTCCCAGTAATCTGGATGTCATGTGTTCATATCGTGTGAAAGTTTGTTGAGGCTTTGGCCCTTGTTCTCACTAGCTTACAACCGCATACAGGAGCCCACACAGTTTTCCTAGCATGCAAAAGAACATCCATGGGCATCTCTCTGACCTTAATAAGGGATGACCCACTGTAAAACCTTCTCAGTAGTGCCATACACCCAAAGGTAAGGGTTTTGGATATAACTAAGCTATAAACCGCCCAAACCTTAGTCAGTCAACACACACACTCCCACTTAAATACATATTCTACTATAAAATATCATATTTGCAAGCTCTCTAGGCCTTTAAAGACCACAAAACCCAACACTCTGAGCATCTTTATCAGTGAGGATAATCTGAAATTTTGATGTGCTTACATGCCTAGACTTTTGGCCTAAGTATTTGGAATATATTTCAGTGTTTGGGGCATTGTGATGTTAATTTCTGGTGATGATATGCTTTTCATATTCTGTCTTTCTAAATACGATTTAAAGTTCCTTTCTCTATGAAAGTGCAAAGCAAGTTGGAACTGAGCATTTGTCATGTGTTTCTCTTAGTACTGTTGGATGGTAGTCTATATTCTTAGGAGTGCAGCTTCTAAGTTTTTGAGTTGTGCATTGAATCCTTGGAGTGAAATTAATTTTTTGAGGGGCCAAAATAAGGGTTCTTGTGATACCTAACAACTACCATCTCCAAAGGTTGCTTTGGATGCACGATTATGTGGTCACTGACAGTCATGTCAGTGCCTAACATGACAAATAGCTATTCTTGTTTTCAGTTATTTAAATTTGTGATTCTCATATGATTCTTGTATGATTCTTGGTTGGTTTGGTTATATCAATGACTCAAGTTTGTGTGTACCCTAGTTTGTTCTTTAGCAAGTAGCAGTTTTATGCTGTTTTAGCCTTTGTTCCTCTGTGATACTCAACCATGTAGATCTTCTTGGTCAACTGGTTTGTCAGTGCATTGGATTTACAGTTGGTAGGTTTTGCTAGTTCTTTCTTTCACAAGTACAATTAACTTCAGAGTTCTCATGGATAACTCCATCCATAATCATATACTGTGCTCATTTTGTGACGTATCTGAACTGCTTTTAATTTTGCTTTTCACTCAGGATTAAAGACAACCGTATGGCCTATGTTTCCTTTTAGTAGTACTTGATTCTATTTCTACTTGAATGGGACTGACGTGCTTTAGTTGAGTATGGATTTATATTGAACTATCTCTTTGACAGTTTCCTGCAAAAGAATTTTTCAACTAGATGAGGATCCTGTGGATGACTACACATCATCTCAAATTGGTCTAGCACAAGACTGTTAAACTCTTTGTTAGGATAGATATCTGTAGAAGGGAGGGCTAATTTGGGGCTGGTAATTTTGGTGTCTATTGAGTAGATTTCTCTGAGGCGAGATCTCCATAGTAGACAGTCACTGATAGTTTGTTGTCTTCCCCGCAATAAAAAAAAAAACTTGTTATATTCTGACTCCTACAGTTCCCAAAATCAAAAAAAAATGTTGGTGTGACATGTATATGAGAGAACTCTTTCTTTCTTAGTATGGATGCTGGACATAATGTGATAACTGAATGAATCAACGAAATATACCGATGCATACTGTATCAAAACAGTTTCTGGTGACTTCCTTCCACAGATACAAGAAAAAACTCCTGATCTGGCGAAGGGGGTTGTGAAAGCTGTCCAAGACCTCTACGATATTGTGCAACACGATATCCTCTCATATGACAAGAAGTACGGTTAAAACCTTGTCATCAATTTAATTATTTTTCCTTAATGCAGTTTGACCTTTCTTTTTGTGTATGTTCTTTTTTTTTAAGCATTCTTTTTGTGTATGTTCAAGAGAGCACTACAATACATGGAGCATCTTGGCAAAAGCGAGGACTGAGGGAACCCTTTTCTCTGAGCTGGCCTGGCCGAATGATTTGGAATTGGTAAGTACCATTTCTTAATCCGTGGGGACTTGTTTTAGAAATCATTCATTTGAAGTTGTGTACTAGATCAGATTGTCTTTTATTATGCAAAGACCTCCTTTATGTTAGACTGAGTAAAATCAAATGAAATGCAGAAGTCACAAGTGAAAAGGTTGCATCGCTTATTGACTATTAATGAGTCTGCTGCAAATATTCCCAAAAACTTAGAGGCCAGGAGGAGGCTTGAGTTTTTCACCAATTCGTTATTTATGAACATGCCTGTGGCTAGGCCTGTGAGAGGGATGGTTTCCTTTAGGTAAGCTCTCCAACTCCCTCTCTCTCTGAGGGGCAGCTCCTCAAAGTTTTTGTACACTTTTGTGCAGTGTTTTTACTCCGTATTACTCAGAGGTAGTGCTGTATAGCAAGGATGAACTTCAAAAGAAAAATGAGGATGGAATTTCTATTTTGTTCTACCTCCAAAAGATATTTCCAGGTATTCCCTACTGTTCTACTGTGTTTCCTTTACTTACCCCACAGAATGAGTAGTCAACATCTACATTCGTTTCTCTTTGGGTGTTTGCTTTCTAGTGGTGTAGATCACACTTGTTGAGCATTTAAATAACTTAGTTACCCTGATTATTATCACATGTGTGTTCTCTACTTGATGTAATAGAGGGAGATAACTCATATGTAGGGGTCTTTTCTCTTTTAGTATGTAGGTGTGGCAATCGGATCTGGTCGACCTGAACTGGGTTCAACACATTGGACCCAGCAGGTCGGGTCTAAGTCGTCCCAGTATTCCCTATTGTTGTATTGTGTTTCCCTTTACTTAACCTCTTTACTTATTGTCAAGTATTTTTTTAATGATGTTAAATTGGTTGTAAAAAGCTTGCGATTGTTGTTTTAATTCTATAAACCATTGGTCCTTTAGATATTGAAGTACTTCTTTTTTTAAAAAAAATTGTTAAAGTTTAAAATTTTATTTCAATTGAAGTATTAACCCCATCCGTGGTGGCAACTACTAATTTTATTAACATGAGACGTTTGGCTTATATCAGATGAGTGGAAGAACTTTCTCTCCCGAATAGGCAGAGATGAAAATGTATCTGACTCAAGCTTGTTCAGTAATCCGAATGATTTGCTTGAGCTAAGGTTTTGGGCTTCTTACCGTGGGCAAACTTTGGCTAGAACTGGTAACTGTCTTCTCCTTGAAATAACATGGCAATGTTTCTTATGATTTGGTATGAGGACATTTTACTTCAGCGATGGATTGGGATTCATTTTTCCCTCATATTGATGTCGGCTGTACAGTTCGTGGGATGATGTACTATAGGAAAGCACTTGTGCTACAGAGCTATTTGGAAAGGAATGCCTCTGGAGGTATGACCGAACTCTATCTGTGTATTTTATAATATTAAATTTGTGGATAATCAGTTTATCCTGGTGGTCTCAGATCCTGAAGAAGCACTGGGTGAGGATGATGCATCAAACACCCAAGGTTTTGAGTTATCCCGTGAGGCACGGGCTCAGGCAGATTTGAAGTTTACATATGTTGTAACCTGTCAAATATATGGGAAACAGAAAGAACAACATAAGCCGGAAGCTTCTGATATTGCTTTGTTAATGCAAAGGTTAGGATGATTACTTTATAAGCTCATGAGATTATTACTACTCTCATAAAGAGAGTTGTGAATCTTTGTCTGTATGTACTTTTGGTTTTTGGAGGGGCAGCCTAACCATATATGTGCTAACCTTTGGCTACACCGGTTTGACTTGTAGTATTGTACACAAATGTTCATGGATGGTTGCACACGCTTGACATGTGCATATAAGTTGATTAGCACATGCATTCACATACACTTGGATGCATGCATTGAAAAGCAGTGGCTATGTAGAATTCTAGAGTATAAATTCAAAAATTTCATCTTTTCTTTATTAATAGCTGGAATTCCTACTTATAATTGCTATAATACAATGCAAACTAAACGTACTACAGTCTAGGATCTTTAAATCTTGTTGCAAAAAAGGACTTCTATTCAAAATTGCATTAAAACTTACTACTTGGGGAACAAATATGAATCAGGAACAGCAAAATAAAATAAAAACTAGGAAGACTTACTCAACTTCCTACCTATGGTTGTCCCCTTTGGACTTGGTGCATCTCACACCCGATCACCTGACAGCTGGCGCACTTTATGCTTACATCCTGCTGAATCCACCAATCTGAACTGAGAAGCAACCTTATCAGAAATCTATGGGGCTGAGAGCATGGGTCACAATTAGGGTTTCTTAAGACCCTTTTAAACTTTGGGGTATGCCATAAAAATGGCACCTCCCCCCCCCCCGCCTTGGCATGTGCCACCCCAAAAACCTTATAGGAGGTGGCATGCAACCTAGAGAGAGGAAATGAGAGAGAGAGAGGACAGAAGTGTGTTGAGAATGTGGTGGCTTTCCCTCCTTATATATGCCTCAAGGGCCCTAGGGTGTTCTAATCAGATTAGGATTCGTCATTATCTAAAATTATGTAGGTAATTTGTGGGGTGAAATAAATAATTTGAGTCATCTATCCCTAAAATTAGCCATCATGATTTAGGGAGGATTTTAAAGAACCTTATCGCCTAAATTTAACCCATTATCCACTTCTAATCTCTATAGTTTTTTGACCAGTCAAATATCTCTTGAATTATTTAGAATTCCTTTAACCTTACAAAGGGATATTTACGAATTCAACATAAAATAAAAAATTGGTCAAAATAATCTAGATTCCAAAAATATCTTATAAAATATTTTTCACTAAGATTATCTCAGGATATTTCCAAGTAGGATATTTTTCATTTACTTAAAAAAATTGGCTTCCACAAAGATTCCCAAATTAATGGGAACATGGGAGTCCCACTGTGTGAGGCGTGTGGCCCATGTGGACCCCATGTCCCACACCATGTGGGCCCCACACCAGTGGGAGCTGGACCCTTACCCCCCACGTTGGTCCCACAACTTTTAAACATAATTCCAAAACACTTCCTTGTAAAAAAAATTCAGAAATAACCTTCAAGGGTTTTTTTTATTAATTTAAACTCAATTTCAAAATTTTGAAAATATCCAAAAATCACAGAAACTTAAATATTGTTAAAAATAATATTTTCTGGGTTCTTAAAAAATTTAAAACGCTCAGAAATATCCCTTGAATTGGATTGGTACCAATAGGTCAAATATAAGTGACTGTCAGGGCACTTTACCCATGCTAGAATCCATGATCCACAACTTTATTCTCAAACCAACCAATAGGACCCATGACCCACAATCATGTGGAATGATTCATAATTGGCCTGTCAAAGTTGGCTAATAAACCGTGGAACTGTAGTCCTAGTATGTGGATTACAAGTTTCCCCTTAAGACCAAGTCAGATCACATATCATTATAATACAAAGGGGGCTATCTTTATGCACTGGTACACATATCCCTCTATAGGTTGCTTCCCATAAATGCGGCTATTAGATATACATGTTGTGTTGAAGTTTTGTTGAGGATTTGGCCATCGCTCTTGCAAACCTATATCTGCGCACAGGAGACCAAGAAGCTCTCATGGCTTACAAACATCGTTCCTGGGCATCTCTTCGACTTGACAAGGGATGACCTTCTAAACCCTCAACATAGTGCTTATGTCCAAGGTAGAGGATTTTGGACATGGTCTAGACCATAGATCGCGCAACCCTAAGTCAGCATCATATACTCTTATTGAAGTGCACAATTCACCATCATTTATTATATTTACATACTCTCACGGCCTTTGAAGGCTACAAACCCCAACATGCATCTATGTATGTATCCTTTCGTGCATGGTCAAGTACCTTCTCATTGTCTTTGGCTTGTTATACCTGTTGAAATGGAGAACTTTTTGGACAAGGGAGATGAATTCACAGAATGCTCATTGTCGTTTATTTTGTTGAAAATATGAGTGGTGTAATCTTGGGGATGTGAGAGGCTTTTCTCTTTGTCGTTGACCCATAGCATTCCGTTTTGGCTTTCTTTTCTTGCAGTCACAATTCGAAGTCTTTCGTGACTTATATATTTGGAATTTGGATTAATGTGAAATGCTTATTGGCATACTTAATGTGAAAGAAAGCCGGCAGCAAAATGATGTTTATTGACAGTGCCCAATTGTTATTGCTTCTCTGCTTGCACATGTTTATTTCTATCACACAATTGTGATAAGGTTAAAATGCTGTCTGATAATCTTTCTAAATCATTTTATGCAGTCTTACTATTTGTGAACTTAAATATTTAAATGTTAGAGGAGCACCCTCTGATGTGAATTGTGGACATGGTATTCATGACAAATGCCAACTTGTCTCTTAAGTGTCTCCCCAAGTATTTAAAACTGTTGACTGTCTTCATGCCATGTTAGACCCTCATAACTACACTCATTTAGCATATGGCATATAATTATTTCTTTGATTTTATGTGTATACTGTGTATTTTTTTTTAACTTCACATACCTGTGTTTTGGTTATTCCTTATTATACTGGACAGTCACCTTTTTGTGTTTTTTTGCTCATTATGCTGAAATTTCTTCGATGTATTATTACAATATTTATAGGAATGAGGCCCTAAGGGTTGCCTTCATTGATGAGGTTGAGACATTAAAGGATGGCAAAGTTCAAAGGGAATACTTCTCAAAACTTGTAAAGGCTGATGTGCACGGGAAAGATAAGGTGAATTATTTTTCTATGTTCAGAAATATGTCCTTGATGTTGTTATTATCATGATGCCTTATTCCAAAATTCTTTTTAAGTTGTATTCTCTTTATTGTTACTCCCTTATTTAGTTACTGGAATTAGTGAATGTAATTGAATTTTTCAACATTGTGAAATTGTTGCCAGAGGGGTTTGCTACAACACTACCTTGTAGAAGTGGAACATCTATTAAATTATGGTAGATATGGTACTTTGGCTAATGTAGAGCAACCTTGTGCCCTTATTTGAGAGCCTAAATTCATGGAACTATTTGTAATAAACTTGATATTTATTTTTTATCTTTTATTTTTTGCGTTTGGTTCCATTTTCATGTTACAAATTGTGGGCTGGGGTATCCAAATTTATGATGTGGTACCTAATTTGAATATGAAATGAGAAATCTTCGGGCAGGGGCAGTCAATAAGTGATGTAGAATTGTAATTTCATGAATGTAGTAAAATACTTACAATTTCTCTATATTGTTGACACCATTCTGAAATGGTTTGATTGGATCCATCCTCTCTATTACAGTCCATATGAACTCTGAAAATGGTAAACGCTAAAAACTAGGTTGAACCAGTCAAAATTGGGTCAAACCAGTTGTCAGATCAGATTGTACTGGCATGAAATTTTCTAGTTGGTGAGGTCTTGATTAACTCCATTTGTGTCAACGGTGTGTGAGTATGGTATCGTTTATTTTCTAATATATAACATTTGTTTGATGATAAAAAAATATTGCCAAGATTATGGTAGTGTTGTGATTTGTACAAAGAATTTCTGGTTGGTTAAATAGTCACCCCATTTGTCTCCCTCTGGACATGTGCATTGAGAAACATGAAGTGGGACTTGCCAAAATAAAGAAATGGTTTTTTTCTGATAAAGTTCCAAAATAAGAAATGTTCTCATAAATATGTGGGGTAATGAAGTAGTTGAGATGTGAACAATCAGAAAAAGGAAAGAGTAATTGGAATGGACATGTGCTATACGAGCACTCTAGCTGCTTTATCCGGCCCGGCCCCTTTTGTAGCATGGCTCTCCAGTATATCATGGAAGCTGACAGCAATCAGGTGTATGGAGCTCAAGAGGATTGACATATTACCAAAAAATGGCCTTATTGCATTATACATTAGGAAAAGAAAAAAAATTTCTGTTCCAATTTCTGCCTCTTCCTCTCCCTCTGAATCAGACTTTTCCTTGCCATATGAAGTTCCTATTATTGCCAATGATACGTGTTGGATCCTAGATGTAGAAATATTAAGAAGGTGGATCTCCCCTTCTCCGTCGAAACAAATGAAATTGTTGCTGATACAGGAAGATGCCACCTCTGTTTTTTTAGATCTGACCTTGATCATAAGTCAAGGCCAGGTACAGCTCCTTGTGCCGAGTGCGAGAGTTGGCGATTCCACTGACTGAAGAGAGATTGATTTTGAAAAGGCAGAGTGTCCAGAACAGACTGACCATAGACAGAAAGAGATTGATTTGGTGAATCAACTGACCGAGACAAGGGCAAGTGGAAGGAGAATCCACAGACAGAGGAGAAGGTCATTGGTCAAGTGAAATAGTGCCATAATTCAGAGTCATAATTCAGAGTACCAAGGTACTTTATATGACGGCCTAGCCCTTTTTGTAGCATGGCTATCCAGTATATCATGGAAGTGGACAGCAATCAGGTGTATGGAGCTCAAGAGGATTGACATGTTACCAAAAATGACCTTATTACAGTATACATTAGGAAAGAAAAAAAACCATTGGTCAAGCGAACTAGTGCCACAATTCAGAGTACCAAGGCACTTCATATGATGGCCCGGCCCTTTTTGTAGCACGTCTATCCAGTATATCATGGAAGTGGACAGCAATCAGGTGTATGGAGCTCAAGAGGGTTGACATATTACCAAAAATGACCTTATTACAGTATACATTAGGAAAAGAAAAAAACCATTGGTCAAGCGAACTAGTGCCACAATTCAGAGTACCAAGGCACTTCATATGACAATGAAAATCCCAAAATATCTACCCATTCCACCCTTCGAAACCCCTTAGTCAGACCTGCAAACTAGAAGCCATTATTGCATCACCGATATATCTCTTCCACTTAAACAAGATCATTATAGTCTCTTTATACATGAACCCTCAAATAACCCACTGTGCTTTCTGCACCAGACTGGGGAAGATTAAAAGTGGAAGCCCAAGAAGATGAATATTCTACTGTCAGTTCTTCCTGCTATGACATATTCAAGGCCAGAATTGAAGGAAACACTATCCCCAGAGGCATCTGATGTTGTCTACCAAAAATCCTATTTGGCAACAGTACCCCAACAATCTGGCAATACCAAAGTGGTATCAGGAAGAGAACTCTGCAGTGTGGTCTAAGACCCAAGAGAATAGGCAATAGGTCCCTAAGCCAAAATTACAGTGTCAGGATTCGCAACCTGATGAAGAAAGGATCCCACAAGTGGTGGTATGAATATTTGGATTGGAATGGTGATGCCGGACTTCTATGTGCTTCGCACTTGTGGTGCGGAAATAAACACATCGGCAGTTTATGTACTTTGTATCCTAACTGAGCATGACAGAATAGATCCAAACGTGCAGGTCGCCTAAATGGTCTGTGGATCTATGTTTTGATTTGTCAATATCCATTGAGGGTGGTGCTCCCTCTTGTATTTGAATTCTTTAGAAAATCATTATCAAAAGTGGTTGCTCTTTGTTTTTACTGCTTGTGACACTGTTGAGAATCTAAACATGATATGATAAGCAAATTCTCATACATGTGTTGTACATTGTTCACTGCACATAGCTTCTGTGACATCACACGTATATATTTGCTTTCTGCCCGAGGTAATTTTAGTTATAATTATTCTATGCAGCATTGTAATCTTTATGATTACTAAAATTTTCCGTCAAAACCTAGAGGGTTCCTGCATCTCTTTCATTCTGGAATCCTTTTACATCTTCGATCCACTTAGGGTTGCATTAACCATTTGTATCTGGGTGCTTTTGGGCTTCAAAATCTCATGTGAAAATCTAGAGGGAGGTAGTACTTTTGAGGACATTGATCAGCTTGTGATGAAACATGTTACTACTAAGCATATTCACTTAGCCCTATCGTCACTCTATCAATTGTCCAGGAATTTACAAATTATAATCTGTAGATATTATTTGGATTGGATGTAGTACATGATATTTTCTTTTCCCATGTTATGATTTCTTTGTTGGATCATGTCTTCAAGGTTTCTTTAATGATTAGTGTTGATGCTTGCTTTATTTTTCTGCTTTTGTTTTTACATTAATTTCATGTGTTCCTTTTTCCCAGGAAATTTACTCTGTTAAGCTTCCTGGAAACCCCAAACTTGGGGAGGGGAAGCCAGAAAACCAAAACCATGCAATTATATTTACTCGTGGAAATGCGATGCAGACAATTGACATGAATCAGGTGACATTTTTATCTTGGAATTTTTGCTGCAATAATATTTCTGTTTTTGATGTAGTGTGAATAGAAACACATGTTAAACAAATCAAAAGTTAAAGTTACTTTTGAATGGCCTATAGACGGCACTGTAAAAATCTGGAATCCTTTTCTATCTAGCAAAGAGGATTAGTTTGTACTATTTTGGAAGATTTACTATTGGTGTTAAAGTAATAATTCATTCGTTAGAAGTTAGAAGCATCATGAAGCTTTTGCTTGGTTTCAGGCTTGCAAATATATAATGATCATTGTCATAGCAAAACACAAGATGTGGTTGCTCATGGATGTAATAATGCATTCATTATTTGGAATGAATGATTTAGGCTGCTTATTATATTTAGCTTCATCTTGGAAATGGGTTCATATATGGCTCCTTTTACTTGCGTAATAACATCTAGGACTCATCTCAATGGCCTTCTATATTTGGTCACTTATGGTGGGGTTCATTTGATTGGCCCCTATATTCCATTTCAACTTATATAGCTGTCTAATCTATGGTGATTGTGGAGCATGAATATGATGCATGTTAGTGGTGCAGGTACTATTAATACAGCACAACCCCCTCTTTGTATGTGAGCCAGAATTTGCAATTACCTAAACTGACTTGAATAATCGGCATAGCTCCAATTGTGGACTGGCCAACCAGAATTAGAGGGCTGCCACTTAGCTTACCGAAATGCTCTTTTAATTGTGTTTGACCAATGTACAAAAATTCAGCTGCCTGACTGCCTAGGCGGCAATTTTCTCAAACTGCCTAGGCGGTAGGTCCTAGGCAGGTGTACTAAGGCCCCCGCCTAGGCGGGTATGGACACCCACCTAGTACCACCCTTCTTAAGTACTCGCTCACAGGGCTTCATGTTTTTAAAGTTGTTACTGATAGTGCTTTTTATTTTTTTAACAAGCATGTGTTACTGCTTTTATTAATGCGTGGGTTCATGTGGGACTACCCACCAATGGTTTAATTTTTATTTTTTGACAAGCATGTGTTACTGCTTTTATTAATGCGTGGGTTCATGTGGGACTACCCACCAATGGTTTAATTCCAAGTTCCAACAAGCGAAAATATTTAAGACTTTGCTTTCAAGCAACCTACACATGGAATGCTCTTCTCCTTTTATTGATTATAATTGATAATCACTATCATTTTTCTCTTTCACCTTTATAACTTTTACCACCCGTTCACTTTACACATGGAGCACTCTTGCACTGCCACCTAATCTACTCATCAATCAATGCTTCATTACATATGAGCATTTACTTAATGTACTCAACATTTTTGGACACTAATTACTCTTGTTTTATCATTAATTACCCTTGCTTTGTAGTACAATTTTTTTTTAAACACGAGTATTTTTCATCATTAGGAGGGGGGTAGAATAGATATTTCATAAGAATTTAGTAGCATTTAATACTCTATGTGGGTGATGTCACATCCCATGTGGATGATGTCATTTTGCACTATAATTAATAAATGCTCTTCTTTCTATCATGAATTTCTACTTTGGTCTTAAATAATTACCTAAAATACCCCTAGATAAAAAGTTACTACATTATGGGGTAAGGCTATTACACGTTACCTAAAGTAGCCTCTTACTTCCTTTTGGTACCCCCAAAAATATTGCTACCCAGGTATCTAGGCTCCTGCCCGCCCAACCGCCTAAGCGGTCTAGAACCCTGGCCTCCTAGGCGAATTTGCTTTTGTAAGTTCTTTCATTACTCCCTTTTATAACTAGAACTCTTTTGATAACCCATATTTTTTTTCTTTTAAAACTCTTACAAATAAAAACCATTTCTTTTTTCCTTTTTAAAACTTTTTTTCCCGCCTCTGCATTCTTGAACATTGTGTTGGAGTAATATTTGTTATTTTGTCGTTTTGCCATTTGTCGTGCATCACATTTGCATTGCTTTTGTAAACTTTTGCTTTGTTCAGTTGAAGAAGTTGAAATCTTCGGTTTCTCCTAGATGGCCAAAGTTGAAGAAATAAAGAGTAAAGTCTTAGCAGTTTTTTGGTGGACATGCCCAAAGAGATCCTCTATACCATGATTTTTCTGGAACTATAAGGGCACATTTGTTTCAAGGAAGACAGGGCTGCCAAAGCCCTATCTTCCACCATACTTTAGTAGCCTCAGCTTCCATGGGTTAGCATGAAGTTACCGCTTTGCCAAAACGTGCTTTGCATCACACTTCCTACATGTGAACGTGGGAAGTGCAACAGTGATGGAAATCATGATTTTTCAGTAAATTAATGCATCCAAACTGCTGTAACCAAATTTTCTTTGTTTTTCAAATCCTGGTCACTTTGACCTAAATCTCGGGGTCTGTGAACAACAAGGTCCTGAGTAAGCTTAAAAAAAATTAAAAAAATAAAAGAATAAAAAATTGTGGAAGGCGTATGATTGATTTACCATTATTCATCGTCATCATCATTATCCAATCCTTATCCCAATTATTTGGGATCAGCTATGTTAAATCATGCACCTCCATTCTTCTCTATCAAGGGCTATATCGCCATATCTTTTCTCACTACTTCTATCCATACCCTTTTGGGTCTTCCCCTTGCCCTTATAGAGCCTTCCGCTTGAACCAAATCGCACCTTCTAATTAGAGTTGTATTAGGTCTACGCTGCACATGGCCAGACCACCTAAGTTCACTTTCCCTCATCTTATCACCTATCAAAGCCACACCTAAGTTTCCTCCTATGTATTCATTCTGAATTCTATTGTTTCTTGTCCATCCTGGTTCAGGCCAACAAGTTTCAGCCTATCTACAATGAAGTTCTCATGCCAGGATGTTTTAGAATTAACCTTTTCTCCATAATTTTTTTTGTTTTGTTGTAAATATTGTGTTAAACTTGCTGTTCTAATCAACCAATGCCAACAATAAAGTAATCAAGTGTTTTCATCAGATTCCTCTACTTGAACCTCGTTTTCCATGCAATCACCATTGGAAATATATGCGCGTACATTTATGTCATACCCTGTGTGTATTAAGTACGTTGATTGACTTTGGTATGTTCAAATTAGCAGTGTGCAGAAATTAGTAGATTCATATTTATATAATGATGTTTTGTTGATCTTCGATGCATATATATTGGCAAATTTATGTCTTAATTTCTATCGCATCCCAATGAAGTGTTGACACCAGTATACAAGGCGCATGCTTAGTGACTGACTGTGTCATCAGTCATGAACGCAGGACAATAGAAAGTATATGAGTCATGGTAACATCAAATCAAGTACTCCTTATCCTTTTCCTGTAATGTGACAAAGAAAAGAACTTCTAACATGTAGATGGGATACTGAACGTATATATTCGTTGCTGAGGCATATATAAAAGTTACAGCATACAGAGTGCGTTGGCATGTGATTTCTTGTGGCCATTTACTCCTTTGGCCCTTCGTGATGGAAAAATTTGCTAAAGAATTTTACTTAAAGAAACGGTAGATCCTTGTTGGAGATTTAGCTGCATTCTGGATGAATGTTGCTCAGGTTATCTGCATTATCAAGCCTTGTGGTCATGGAAATCCTCTTCTACTTAACCATTTTTTGTAACTCTTGTGCGATTTTTCATGCTCATTTGGTCTCATTCTCTGGGCATTTACCTATCTAATGCTTTGGCTCTTCTCTTGAAAGGATAATTATTTTGAGGAAGCTTTGAAAATGAGAAATCTTCTTGAAGAATTTGATTCTCCTCATGGAATACGTCCGCCAACAATTCTTGGTGTTCGTGAGCATGTCTTTACGGGAAGGTATGTGGAAAATGGCTCTCGTATTATGCTTTAGTTCTGTATTAATTGTAGTACGATCACCAACTGGTGCTATGCTTAAGTTGACATGTTTTGTTGGAATTGCTCTGTAGTGTGTCCTCATTAGCTTCGTTTATGTCCAACCAAGAGACGAGTTTTGTGACATTGGGTCAGCGTGTTTTGGCTAGCCCTCTTAAGTAAGTTGGCATGGTATATGCTTCGTTTAGTTTGTTTGTGGTTTATTGATTTTCTTAGAGTAATATAAGATGTATGATTTCCTTCCTCTATGTAGGGTCCGCATGCATTATGGTCATCCAGATGTTTTTGATAGAGTTTTCCATATAACGAGAGGTGGTATCAGCAAGGCATCACGAGTAATCAACATAAGTGAAGATATATATGCAGGTATATTGTGGTCATCCCATTTATATATAAGTTTTGTGCTTGTTGCATTTGTACTTAAATTCATCATGGTTATTTCCCTGCATAGAGTCCAATTTTTGCATTTTGATGTCTGTCGATTACAGAAAACTCAGATAGAATGTATGACACTCGAAGCTTTTGTGACTTCTGCATTTGGTTTGTGATTTTGACATTTGTTTTAGACCTCTTTATTTCATGTGTTGTTTTCTCAAGATCCATTTCCATCATCTGTCAGTATTTTGTTGTTCCTCATCCAGGGGTTCAAGTTGGTAGTTTCTTGATCACCAATGATATCTTACCTCAGTTTACTAAAATTTTGTGGCTTCTTGATTATTCGATTTCAAATTATCCAACCACATATTTTCCGATCTACTCATTTCATCTGATGCCATCTGCTTCTAGATTTGCATTCTCTCTAGCTGCACGAATCTTGTCCTGTCATATTACTCTATCAAAGGCAATACCCTCAGTCATACTATAAGTTACCGTATCTCTTCTCACTACATCCATCTATAAGCGATAAGATGCGAGAAAATAGACTTAGGTGTGGCCATGTGTGGCACCGACCAAGTAAAATACAGTACCTGTCAGGAGGTGCAAGTTAGTTTAAGTGGAAGGACTTAAAAGGGCAAGGGGTTGGCCCAAAAGGACGTGATTGGAAGTAGTTCGAAAAGATATGGGGACTTATAGCCTCGCAGTCGGGATATGACCTTTAATAGAGCATAATGGTAGACTATGACTCATGTAGCTGACCCCAATTTAGTTGAGAAAAGGCTATGATGATGATGATGATGATGATGATGATGATGATGGTGATGATGATAATAGCCATCTTGTAGAACTTGCCCATTGGTATGTGACAATTATATTAGACTCCAGAAGCATATCTCCACTCATCCACCCAACTCTAAATCTATGTGTTCCTCAATCTCTCCATTCTCATGGACTATCAACCCAAGATATCGAAAATAATTTCTTTTAGGTACTTGTTCACCATCAGTCTCCTCGTTTCTACTCCTATTATTACTAAACTCGCATTCCATATATTCTGTCTTAGTCTAGCTAATTTTAAACTTTTAGATTAATTGGAGGATCTCTCCAAAGATCTAACTATGCGTTGACATCGTCTCTAGTCTTATCAATCAAAGTTATGTCATATACAAACAATACACAATGGTACTTCTTCTTGTAGATGTCTAGTTAACTCGTCCACAACTAAAGCAAACAGATATGGGGTCAATGCTACCCACTGATATAGGTGTATTGTCACTGAAAATTCACTTGTCTCTCCGCTAATTGCTCTTACACTAGTACATATCTCTCATCAAGTCAATATATCCTTTAGAGACTCCGTTCTTTTCTAGTATCCACCAAACTAGCTCTCTAGTTACTCTATCTTATGCTTTCTCTTAATCAATAAAGACCATTTGGAGGTCTTTTCTTTTATCCCTTGACTTCTCAATCAATTGTCCAAGTAGGAAAATAACCTCAACAGTTGATCTCCCTTGCATAAAACGAAATTGATGTTCTGATATATTCATTTCATATTGTAGCTGTTGTTCAATCACTCTTTCCCACAACTTCATAGTGTGACTCATTAGTTTAATCCCTCGATGTCCGTACAACATTGTTTGTCTCCTTTGTTCTTGTGAATAGGTACCACAACACTTTTTCTCAATTCGTATGCCATTTTCTTTGTTCTCAAAATCTTGTCGAATAGCTTAATTAACCAAAATATGTTGATGTCTCCCATGCACTTTCAAGCCTCTATCGATATACTATCTGGTCCTAAAGCCTTTCTTATCTTCATTTTTCTAAAAGTTGCTTTCACTTCAGGTATCCTAAGCCTACAAATGTGTCAGTGACCTTTGACCTCATTTATGTCAAATGTTCCTCTTAACGTCGTGCTTCTATAGTGTTTGTTATTTAACAATTTTTAAAATAAATTCTCCACCTTTTATTGACCCATTATTCTTCACCAAGACCCTTTGATCCTCACTCTTAGTGCATTTAACATGATCTAGGTCCCTACACATCCTCTCTCTCATTTTTGTTATTTTGGAGGAATCTTTTTCACCTTCTCATCCCCAATTTATTGTATAGATCATTATATGCCTTAACCCTAGCCTTACTATTATCTTTACATTTTCATATGCTTCTAAGTTTTGATATTTCTATTCCATTGCCAAGCTATGTGACATGATTGTCTTTTGCTAATAGCCTTTTGAACCTCGTCACTCTACCACCAAGTCTCCTTATTTGAATGTCTTTTCCCTCTAGATCCTTGGAAAACTTATTTTGCCGCGTTTTTAATACAATCAATCTTCTCATTCCCCATAACATTAACTTCGTCCTTCGAATTCCATTTTAATTCTTTTATCAATTTATTTCTAAATAAGTATATCTTGAAGTATGTCAATATATATATGCAGTAAAAATTTATTGGAATTATTTCTTTGATGAAAATGTAACTCATAAAGTATTTTTGGTAAAACAGATGATGAGTTGAGAAGGATTTCTTTTGAATGAGATGCTTTTATAGAAAAATTATTTATTAAAATGAAGAAAATCAGTAATCGGAAAGCATGAGTGTTACATGCTTTGATCTGAAGTTGGTGTCTGGTAAAGAGGTTGCTGTTAAATCTCCGGGATAATGTTAGTGGTGCTTCTTTGACTTCTTAGAGTGATTCAAGGTTGGGCATTATGTAGATGCAAAATATTTGCTCAGGATCATGGTAAGGCGGAAGGTTGGATTGACCACTGACTGTCTCACCTTTCCACACCACAGCCACACCCACCACCACCACCATCAAGCTACTGACACATGTCTGCTCGAAAAGTGAAATTTTTGGGTTGTACTTGGGAACCCTTCTGGTGTTTTGAGTTCTCTCTTTGAAGCTTCCTTCCTTTTAATCAATGCATTATATCTTACTTGTCTTCTTGTTCTGAGTTCCCACTAAATGATCATTCTGGTGGTGTATATCGCAGTGGCCCATCTAGTGCGATTCTGTTGTGCACATGCTGATCCACTAAGGCACTCTTATGTGGCACCGGCATGCACACCCATGTTTGCTTATTGAACTGGGAACTGTTCCCAATGGAAGAAAAGACATGAAGTTTCTTTAATTTTAAATATGATTATCCACTGTATCTCCACCCCTGTTATTTGGCTGATCCTGGTATTTGATGTTATCACAATTGGGTTTAGGCCTTAAGTAAATTCTTAAAATGATGTGTTCTAATTCCAATATAGACTGATTCTCATTACGGGCATGTATCTTTGCCCAGGACTCCAGAGGCTCATAGGGCTTAAAGTTATGGTTCTTGCTTCTTCTCAAAAAAAAGTTATGGTTCTTGCTAACTGTTCTTCACAAAATGGATCTTATTGTCACCAGTTGATCAATGCCCTCTAGATAGAATCCCTACTATGTTTTTTTTTATTGCTTGTTATTGAGGAGTATAGAGTTGTTTCTGTGATATGGGGATTTGATAGGCTCTCGGAAGAAGAATGAAAGCTCCGCTATGCCTAGGGAGCTTTGGGTGCCATGGGCGTGAAAAGCTCCTGCCCGGGTACGCATCTCTCGCCTATCCCTCCCACCCCTCGATTCTATCCCATCCCTGCCTGCCCAGCCCCTCACCGTTGTCCCTGGGATCGTGCGACGCCACCCCTGCTCTGCCGCTGCAACGGCCCCTTCTCTCTGCCTTGCCCTTCTGTGCTGGTTGGTACTCTTGACCTGGCAATTTCTGCTATGCTGGCAGCGGCTCTCGTCGGTTCATTCTACCCCTGCCGAGACAATCTAAGGGGTATCAAGAGTTGGGCCCAAAGACGTTGGGGCTGTCCCGACCTCAGTTGCAAGAGACTTTTAGCTGGGAAGACTCTCTTCATCTTTCCCTCGGCAAGTTCTGTCCCCATCTACCGAAGACCGACCTTGCAAAGTTTAGAGCAGCCTCACTTTTTCTCTCTCCCTGGCCCTCAGAGGAATGGGCATTCAAACTTCAGAAAGTATGGGTCAGATTTTTTGACATCCCTCTTCACGTGTGGACAGCGGAAACGTTCCGCACCCTGGGTAAGGCGTGTGGCTCATTCATTACGACACACTGGAAATCGATGGAACTGCTCCCTATGGGAGCTATGCAGGTGTTGGTCGAAATCTTGGACCTAGATTTTATTCCTCCAGCCCTTTGGCTAGCGGTGGAAGGTTGTTTCTACAAGGTACGGTGTGCGTGGCAACAACATCAAATTGGATGACTCTATCTCTAAGAATCTAGCCGAGATTCAGAAAGCTTTGATCGACTATTTCCAAAATCTTGTCTCTACCCCTCTCAGCCCTAAACATACCCTAAGTAATCTTTCTTTCCATTCCTCTCCCCTCCGAGATGGCCAGTTGGTTAGAGCAACCTTCTTCCGAAGAGGAAATTGTCAAGGCAATTCACGATCTTGACCAAGACAAAGCCCCCGGCCCTGATGGTTTTCTGGTCACCATCTTTAGTACTTTTTGGCATGTCGTGTGACAAGATGTCATTGCTTTCTTTGAGGAGTTCCATGGTAGGGGCATCGTCCATAAAGCTCTCAATGCTTTGTTCATCACTCTTATAACCAAGATTGAAGGGCCAGACGAACTGAAGGAATTCCGATCTATAAGCCTCCTAAATAACTGGTATAAGATTTTGGCCAAGGTGTTGGCATCTCGAATAAGAAAAGTCCTCAGTCTTGTTATTTCTCGTCAACGGGGTGCTTTTGTGAAAGACCGCCAGATTCTTGATGGTGCTCTAGTAGCCCAAGTCTTCTGGCCTTATTGTGAAACATATCTGGGCCAAAGCCTATGATCACATGGATTGGGGGGTTCTTGATGAAACTCTTCACAGGTTGAGCTTTGGAATGAAGTGGAGGATGTGGATTACGGGTTGTATCTCGAGCCCCCACTTTTCATTGTTAGTCAATAGCTCACCTAGGGGCTTCTTCCCTTCTTCTAGAGGTTTGCACCAGGTGATCCGCTGTCCCCTTTTCTATTATAGCGGAAGTCTTTAGCCAATCCATTTCCCGCCTCTTCAATGTTGGCACGCTTAACGGCTTTAAGTGTGGGCCCAATGGTCCTCCATCCTTCACCAGTTCCTTCAGATCTTTGAGTGGGCCATGGGACTCAAGATCAACTTTGGGAAGTCTAAAATGATTAGGATTGCTCTTGATCCCATTTTCACTCGTGATCAACTTTGCCGAGAGTTGGGGATGCGCATCGAGAACCTTCCTTCGTCATATCTCGGACTCCCCCCTTGCTATGCCTAGTGCTTGGGCATTCATCATCGACAAGTTCGATCGTAGGCTTGCACCTTGGAAAGGCCACTTCCTATCACCAACCGGTAGAACTACTCTCATTAAGGCAACCATCTCGGGCATTCCAATTTTTCAAATGTCTCTCTTTAGAATGCCGGTGACAGTCATCAATCGGCTCAATCCTTCTTGAAGAGGTTTCTTTGGGAAGGTAATAGTGACAAACGCAAATTTCACCTTTTATCTTGGGACAAAGTGTGCTTCCCTACACAACAAGGAGGGCTTGGCATCTGCAATCTTAAGCTTACTAACATTGCCCTCATGGGTAAATGGTGGTGGCGCTTTGCCACGCAATCCAATCACCAATGGCAGTCGGTCCTCTAGCAGAAGTACCACCTTCCATCTGCCTCTTGGCTACCCACCTTGGTCTTATAATACGGCGTCACAGATTTGGGCTATATTGCAAAGCATTCTCAAGATCTTCAATCCTAACATGCATGCGCGTGCGCGCGTGCCTGCGGACGATATTTTGGTGTGACCTGTGGTTAGGTCCCTCTCCCCTCTCTAACCGCTTCCCTTCTCTCTTTCAGCTGACGCTTATTAGGCAGGAGTTAGTGTCGGATGTATTCCAAGTACTCGGTCATAGGCAACTGTGGACTCCAATCTTCAGAAGGTCGCCCTCCTTGGATGAAATGCTTGAGTGCCTCGAGCTTTCCTCGCTCATGGATTCAACCTTTATGCCTTTTAGGTGCAGTGACAGGCTCATTTGGTGCCCTTCTCCTCTCCCTTGGGAGTATTCTTGGTCTCCTCCTTCTATCGCAAGCTCATTCAGCCACCACCTTTCCCCTTAATCCCCCCATCCGTTGCTGCCAAGGCTTAGTTTCCATTAATTCAGTTTTTCAATTGCTTGGTCTTCCATCAAAGAGCACTCACGGTCAACCAACTTCAGAGAAGAGGGATCCCGATGCCCAATCGTTGCACAATGTGCTTTGAAGCAGAGGAAACTAATGACCACCTGTTTATTCATTGCCCACTTGCCGCTGCTCTGTGGAGTCGCCTCCTCATCCTTTTCCACAGGCAGTGAGTCATACCACAGTTTATCCCTCTCCTTTTTTCCTCGCTTCAGTCGTACCCCTGGCCGAAGTCGGGCATTCTCCTTTGGAACTCTTCCACCCTGGCTCTTATTTGGACGGTCTGGATAGAGTGCAATAACCTAATCTTCCAAGGCCAATTCAGGTCCACCGATTCTCACTTCCATAAAATCAAATCCCTGGTCTCCTTTTGGGCAGCCAATCGTAAGCACTTCAAAGGGGTCCAGTCAGCGGCTTTTCTTCGCGATTGGCAACACCTATGCTATCTCTTGCAGTACAGGGTACCTCGGTCCTCCTTCTGGACGCCACCCAGCCCAAGGACGATCAAGTTAAACTTTGACAGGTGTTCTCTGTGAAAACCTGGACCGGCTGGTATTGGTGGTCTCTCCGGAACAATGAAGGCCAGATTTTGGGCTCCTTTTCCAAGTCTATTGGCCATGATGATGCACAATCCGCAGAAGTGCTCGCCCTCCTTGAAGGGATTCGGCTATTGCTCATTGCTGGTCCCTACCTTTGGTAGCTGAAGGAGACTCACACAATGTCATTCGGTGGACCTCCTCGGCCCACTCCTACCCGTTAACCCTCGCTCATATCTTTAAGGAAATAGCCCAGCTGTGCTCGGGGATTTCTGTCTCTTGAACCATTTCTGGCAAGAGAGCAACTCGCTTGCGGATGCCCTGGCCAAAGAGGGAGCCGCAATCCCGTTGCCCTAGTAATTTGTGGCTTTCTTAGGCTCCCATTGTAGATGGGAGCATTCTGTTTTTGTTCTCGCTTCCTCTTGATTGTACTATTCCCCTTCTTAGGGGCCACAACTTGTAACAACAAAAAAAAAGATATGCAGATTTGATAGCTTGAAAGAATTCAAGTTTCACCATTTGTTGGTTCATTCACTTAACTATGGTTACTTGCAGGTTTCAACTCAACATTGCGCCAAGGCAATGTGACCCATCATGAATACATTCAGGTAAAATTGATGAACTTTTTCGTTTCCCTAATAAACATGATGTAGCTTTTTAATGCACTAAAACGATTTAAATGTATTGATATTCTTATTCAATAATGCAAGGTTGGCAAAGGGAGAGATGTTGGGCTAAATCAAATTGCTTTATTTGAAGGAAAAGTGGCTGGTGGGAATGGTGAACAAGTTCTTAGTAGGGATGTGTATAGACTTGGGCAACTCTTTGATTTCTTCCGCATGCTTTCCTTCTACTATACCACAGTTGGCTTTTACTTTTGTACAATGGTATGATGCTTTTCAACACTAAGCAGAAAAGTGTCTTTGTTGCGCTTTTTTGTGATTGAGTATGCAATGGCCAATGTTAACCCTCATCCTCAATATTTTGCAGTTGACTGTGCTGACTGTATATATATTTCTATATGGGAAGATATATTTGGTAAGTTGTTTTTTATTTTATGCAAAATTTTCAGATAGGTAGTTTGTAATCTCCGAACCAAACGTAAAAGCACATGTACATATATTCTCTGATTGTTTTCCTTGAAACTAATACTTATTTTGTCAGGCACTATCTGGAGTTGGCGAACGTCTTGTGGTTGAAGCTGGTGTGCTACGCAACACTGCTTTGACAGCCGCCCTCAACACGCAGTTCTTGTTCCAGATTGGTATCTTTACAGCAGTTCCCATGATTTTGGGTTTCATTTTGGAGCAGGGTTTTTTTAAGGTAAATGCTCTCCCTCTCCCTTGCTCCCTCTGTCATGCTCGCACGCAAGTTAGCCAAAGCCTTTTTTTAGTTTTTTTTTGGAGTACACACACACACACAACCGCAAGCAAGCCCAAGTTCATCAGAATGCCTAAGTCTAGACATGCATATATGAATTTTTAGCCTTGTAAGAATCACACTGAATGCTTGGGATCATAGATTTATCCAATGGACAACCATTTAAGAAAACAAAAGACCTGCCATCTGCTGCTTTTCATTGAATATGCTTTGAAATGTAAACTTTCTTTTTAACCAACTTGGCTTTGTCAAGAAAATGATGGTGGATAATGGGGACACTGGGTAACCACCTTTGGAAGTGGTGGCCAGCAAGGCATGGGATTAATTGATGTCGAAACAAGTTCGTTTAACACATCAGATATCAAGTTGGGGATGGGAAGAAGAATCATGTTTTGGTTTGACCCTTGGCTATGGTCCCCTGCTATTAAGGAACAATACCGTGTCCTGATCCCATCAGCTGGAAACCCTGAAAGCAAAATCAACTAAGTGGTGAAGGAAGTTTGGTTTTGGACAGTATGGACCCCATGCCTAGAACGGCCTCTCGACAACAAATTCCAATACCTGTTGGAATTACTTTAAGCACTTCAGGAACATTACCATACATCTAAATCGGAAGGCAAAATGATTGGTTACCAAAAAACAATGGTATTTTTTCAGCAAAGTCTATGTAGTACGTCCTGACACGATGTGTGGTTCCAAACTCCGTTGCTCCCAAAGTCTGGCTTGTCCCTGGCCCCACTAAAGACTCAGTTGTTCACTTGGGTAGTCATTCTCGACGAGGTTCGCGTTATGGATCATCTTATCAAGTGTGGTATGGTTATCCCTATTGCATATTTGTTATGTAAACAGGCATTAGAATCAGTCAACCACCTGTTTTTACATTTTAGCGCGGTGTGTGTGATGCGGGGTTTGTCCTAAAATATTCGGCCTTTGCTGGGTCATTCCAGATAGGTTGGACCTTTGATGGGCTTAATCCGATGTGTAATGTCATAGCTGTAATATGGCTTTCCTGGTTAGAGCACAATAATAGTCAATAATAAGCAAGCAGGAGGAACAATGAAAACACATATCAAAATTACTTGCTTCCTAAGCTAAATCTTAAAAACAATTGTGGGGCTGCTCTAGGGTACGGCGTTGAGACTAAATGGCAGGACATTGTGACCAGTAAGCTACCGAGAGGGAGATTGCCAATTGGTTGCCACCTCCTAATGGCTTTGTGAAATTAAACTCCAATGGAAGTCTTAGAGGCAACAAGGGGGAGCAGGATTGGGTGCTGGTAAAAGACCATCAAGAAAAACTCATGCTTGCTCAGGACTGAGTGTACCTCAAATGTAGCAGAGGGTAGTAAAAGACCATCAAGAAAAACTCGTGCTGCCAGAGTATTTTGTGTATGGATCAGTGACTGTTAACATTCAAAGAAAGAAGAAATGAAGTAGCATCTAAAAACCAGCTTGTGTTCATTTCCTCAAGGTTATATTGCTATTGAGGTTGTACCCCCCTTACTGTTTTTTGCGGTATTTGGCTGGGAGAAGCAAAAGAATTTTTGAAGATGGAATCTCCTTTCATTAGCGGATTAAAGATTCAACCATTGCATACCCCCTCATTTCTCTAGGAGTTTTGGGCATCTCTTCCCTGGATCAAAATCGTAGATGGAAGGTGGTGGTAGGCAGATTTCTCCATGACGGTACCTTCCATTTTGTCCAATATCCTCCCCTTATGGAACACCTTAAACTTAGCTACATCCACAGATTTTTGGGCTATCTAGAACCTTCTAATGTCAAGGCTGGTTAGACATGAATCTGACAGCTTCTAGCTCGCTTTTGCAAGCCCAGCTAGTTTGACTTTGTATCCATTGGATGTCCATCATATAGGTAGCTCAGGTTTGATAATCTTCCTAATATAACTCATACAGGCAATTATGGATTCATTAAGGCTTCTATAATTTGTGAGTAGCAACTAGGTAGAGGTCATGGGAAACGTTCGTCTAGTTTCTGTGTTGTGAAGAGGATCTGTTTTCTTAGGGACATTTACGTCCATTTTTTTTTTTTGGATTTGAATCTTGGATAAATGTTGTAATCTGGGTATGATTGTTGCACTTGGAAGGAAGTGGAAGGATACTTGTTTTCACTTCATGGTCACATGGTTCTTTTTAATATACCATGACTATTAGAAGCATATTAAAATGATTTTTTTACAACATTTCTCATTAGTGGGTTCACTAGAGGGGAAAAGGAAATTTTTGTTATCATGGTAGCTTGGCATTTTCCAGATCCATATGGGATGGAATCATCTGGTCAACCCTTATTTTTAGTCCACATTGTGGATGGAATAGACATTTACTCATGTGGGAATATTTGTTAGTGGTTTGCATGAGAACACATGAGCATAAGTTGCACCCCCCACACCGGACCACTTCCTATCATATAAAATCCCGAGTCACCTCTTTTTGAAGTAACATGACTATCCATGACACACCATAATCAGAATGGTTCATTATAGAAAGTAAATTGTCTGGTTGTAGGACAATCCATCATGGTAGAGCTTCTCTGTTAATTCTCTATAAATCATATATAAACCAGATCCCCACTTTTGGTGGTACCCTTCTTAGGCTAGCCATGTCTAAATTTTGTGGTGCACGCTGGAATGGATTTTTACTGTTTACTCATTTGTTTCGATTGCTCTGTGAACTTGTTCATGTGGTTTTGCAGGCCATTGTCAGCTTTCTTACTATGCAGTTTCAGCTTTGTTCTGTCTTTTTCACATTTTCCCTTGGTACAAGGACTCACTACTTTGGTCGAACAATTCTCCATGGTGGTGCGAGGGTTAGTGCTTATGGTTCTTTCCAAATTTTCTTTTGTCGTAATAATGTATTTGTTCTGACACATGATTTCTACGTTTCCATGTATTCAGTATCAAGCAACTGGAAGAGGGTTTGTCGTGCGTCACATAAAATTTGCTGAGAATTACAGACTGTACTCCCGTAGTCACTTTGTGAAAGCGTCAGTTCTATTCCTTAACTGCTTTCAACAGGCTCTTCTAAATTTTGTTAAATGCAGCTCTTAACCTGCTGTTGTGTATTTTCTGGTTGAAGGCTGTAGTCTTGATGTTATATTTTATATTTTCTGGTTGTAGATTTGAGGTTGCGTTCTTGCTAGTTGTATACCTTGCATATGAATATAATGAAGGTGGTACCTTAGCTTATATCCTTCTCACAGTGAGCAGTTGGTACATGGCACTATCATGGCTTTTTGGTCCCTATCTATTCAATCCTTCTGGTTTTGAATGGAAGAAGTAAGTATATAATTTGTATTCATGGAGTTCCTGTTACATGACATCATGACGACTATAACATATTAAATTATTCCAGGGTGGTTGAGGATTTTGAGGACTGGACGAACTGGCTCTTTTACCGAGGTGGTGTTGGAGTAAAGGGTGAGGAAAGCTGGGAAGCATGGTGGGATGAAGAACAGGTATTTGGTTTTTTAAAATTGTTCACTCTCTGGTTGAGAGTTGAAACACAGTCCCTTTTCGCTCTGCTGTAGCTACCTGTCACATGTGAAAGGAACTGTTGTGTGTGCCATTGTTGTTGACATAACAGTGTTTGCTATGTAGAACAAATCCTAACATGCTATTTACTGGTATCTACAGTTAAGTGGTAGGGTGCTTCATTGCCAGTGTTTTTTTGTTGATTTTCAGTGAGATAAGAGCATGATTTATTCATTGTCTATGACCTAAATCCACCGAGGAACTGCGACAATGCAAGACTTTGCATGTTTGTGGCACTTACTGAGGTTTTGAGCAGGAACTAGATCGCTATAGGATTGCATTGTTGTGGCCAAAGTGCTAAAATTGACTTGCATATTTGTAATTCATTGCTTGCCCTTGGAGCCCATCACTAGATGTTTCTATCCTTTGGTTCTTATGTGTTGTTAGAACTTTCTTTTGCTAGACCATGGCAGGCAAAGGTCTGTTGGTTGATATATATTCCATAGATCTGGGCTTTGTCTTGGTGTTATTTTCACGAGTATATACTTATTGTTTGACTCCATGCTGGTACAAAATAATCTATTGCATTGTAAAACACTCATGAACAGATTCTTTAGTATATTTCATTGAAGGTTAAACACATTCATGGATAATTTCTCTTTCGAGGATAAACTAATTGATGGCATTATAGGGTTCAAACCCTGCCAGGAACATTCTCTCTCTTTTTTTTTCCTTTTTTTTTTTTTTTGTTGCTCTCGGTTCCCGCTTTTATGGCTTCTTCTTTTTTCTTCTTTCTTCATGTGATGGATGTATAGCGATTTTTTATTCCAGTCCCCCTCTTAGTGGTTTTGCATAGAGCTCTCGAGCTGTGGGTAGCCTATTTTGATACTTGTACATCTTCTTAATACAATTGTTAACAATCTCAAGAAAGAAAGAAAAAAACCTAGTTGATGGCATTACCTATCTACCATCTCAATAATTAGAAATACATATTTGGAAGTACAATTTTATTTTATTTTTATTTTTATTTTTATTTTTCTTGAAGTTTAGAATGTGGAAAAAGGGGCTGAGAATGAAAAACAGGCACGTAATTACATTCTTCTGCAATCCGATTTTCCTCTAGTGCGGACTTGGATTAGAAGTTTCTTCGCTAAGACTACATGGCATGTGATTTAGACTTAAGATTGAGAAAACATGATATTCAAATACAGATGCCAGCCATCTGACATAACTAGGGGACTTTTGTGTTAGACTTCAAACTGGAAAAAACTTCCGTTAATTATTCTACAAGGTTTATGATTTATCGAATAGGTTTCTGCTTGAAGTCCTTTATTGTTCTATGCAACTTCCTTTAGATTAACGATATATGATGTGGGACGTCTTGGTCTTATTATACTCAATTACATGAGAAGAAATGGGCATGCTCTCCAATTTATTTGGGCTATTATTTTCAGTATATTCTGTGATGTTGATGCATGTTGACCGTAAGCTTGTGAGAATTGCTTTTGTTTCAGGCTCATATCCGTACCTTAAGGGGGAGAATTCTTGAGACCATCCTAAGTTTGCGGTTTTTTATATTTCAATATGGTATCGTCTACAAGTTGCATTTAACTGGAAATAATACTTCATTGTCGGTAAGCACCTTCTGTTTATTATGGTGCTTTCCTTTTTCATATGAAACTATCACTTGGGATTGAACTTGTTTCTTTATATGTTCTTTTTCTCACTTATAATTAGTATCCCCACTTCTGAATCTATTATTCGCATCTGATGATCCTTGAGAGTTATTGTTGTCTGTGGCCATCCATCAGCTGTCTACGTTTTTTTAAGTGTAGCTCTTCTACTTTTGAGAATGGTAAAACTATTAGCTTTCCGGAATCACTATCAAATTTACAAAACATGATGGTTCCTATAAAATAAATAGGAGTTCTTTCTCCTCTAGACTCCAGAACTAGAAGAGGAAAATGTTGTATTCCACTCTTCGAAAACTGGGATAAAGAATCTATTTCCCCATTCTTCTATTTACTAAAATTTTCATTTTTGCTTTCTTTATTCACCCACACATTCATCTGTAACTAAAATTATCCAGACAATGGACTTGTATTTTCTGACGATAAAGTCTTAAAGTTCTATCCCCAAATCTGTGGGTATGATAAATCTCGCCCAAATGCTTTGGATGCCATCAATAATCTTTATTTTGTTTGTTTGGAGCTGAATTGCAGTTGTTATAGTTTTGTTTTCTTTTTGGTATATCTAAGGTTTGACATGCCAAAAGAGTGGATGTTTTACTGATGAATGTAGTATTAATAGTTTCTAACTTTAAATATTATATTTGTATGTTATAAAGTGTTGCTTCATTAGTAATGTTGGTCTTCTATTTGTTATCTCAGCGCATTTTGTTGTAACTTTTGTACTGTAGATATATGGTCTGTCTTGGGCTGTCTTTGCCGTCTTGATCGTACTTTTCAAGGTATGCTGTCCGATGCCACTCATGATCATAAATTCAGCTTGAGCGCTCTCTCTCCCCTCCCTCCCCCCTGGCCCCATGCATAAACACACACCCATACACATTGAAATCTTGATGACTTTTCAGGTGTCAACCTTCAGCCAAAAGGCTACAGTAAATTTTCAGCTATTCTTGCGGCTCCTCCAAGGCATTGCATTCATGTTGGCCTTAGCAGGTCTAAGCGTAGCTGTTCGTTTAACGAACCTGTCGCTCCCAGATGTTTTTGCTTCAATCCTGGCATTTGTACCCACTGGCTGGGGCCTCCTCTCTGTAAGTCTGAATCCCAATTTTCACTTGTGAGATTCTCGTTGGTATCCAAGAATGGCACTAGGGTAGTAGGATCAGATTCACGCGAACCTCAGAGTGAGAGCACTTGAGCATAAAAAATATGCAGTGTATTCACTAATCAGGAAAAAAAATATGCAGTATAATCTTTTATGCTTATTCCAAAGAGTCTCCAAAACACACATGCACATGCGGGCGCGAACACAAACAAAAAAAAGGTAGTAGACCATAGGTTCAATTGGAAGCCTTTGTAGTTACATGATGTTGAAAGTTCACACAGTATTTGCAAGAAAGCCTGTTCAAGCCTGTAGAGAACAGGTTTTTGTATTTTGGACCTCATATGCAAGACCCCTAAGTATTAAAGCATCACTTGTATGTGTGAGAGAGAGAGGGATTGCTGAACCGATGTCTGGTTATATGGTTGATGCAGATTGCTATAGCGTGGAGGCCAGTGATGAAGAGGCTACACCTTTGGAAATCTGTGCGTTCCATTGCTAGGCTCTACGATGCTGGGATGGGAATGCTAATATTTGTGCCCTTGGCCATGTGTGCATGGTTTCCATTCATATCCACGTTTCAGACCCGTCTCTTATTCAATCAGGCTTTCAGCCGAGGTTTGGAGATCTCTCTCATCCTTGCTGGTAACGATCCCAATCCTGGGGCTTGAGACCATGTCTCATTGTTCCCTGCCTTCTTTCTGTTGTTGATTGATCATTGTTAATTATTGTCATTGTGGTAACTATATGTTGACTGGAATTGAATTTTGCAGAGTTGGGTTGTTTGTGGCCCTCGTTATTGGAAATTGGTTTTGATGATTATTGATCTAGTCGTGTATATATTGATGTGCACTTGAAGGGACACTTGTTGCATCTCTCTCTCTCTCTCTCTCTCTCTCTCTCACCCAACCTGGGTCATTGAACTTGTTTATTATTTGATCCAGGAGTACTCTCTCTCCCTCTTGCATCAAACCTGGGTCTTCTTGATTATTAATCGAAGTAGTGTGTATATACTTTTCTCGTAACCGTGCAGTTCCAATGCATTACTGTGTACTCGATGTGCCAACTATACTATTTTTGTCATAGATAAGCAGCCCCTGGGGCCTGGTTTTCAGTTCCAATTGGAACTGAGAGAAGCTTTAGGATGCAATTTGATACTGAAAGGGGTTAAAATTACTCAGAGACTGTCTTTTGCTGTGCTCCTAAACCAGTTTCACTTTTGCCCACCAAATTTGTGCCTTCGTAATAGGGGGGATTGTAGACTATTAAGACCATTTACTTTTAGTCATCAGATATGAAATATAACAACTTGGTTGTGAAGCTCATAAAATTTCTTTTAAACTTCTGAGTTGAGTCCATGAGATATCCCCAACCTCCTAATTACCCGGTAAGATTGATTATGATCTCTGTTGAAAAATGGTCTTAGATATTCTTTTCCTTCTCAATAATGTACAGCTTGTTCAACATCTACACCAGCAGTATACAATCCATGAATCGTATGCCCAAGTATGTTCATATTCTGCAAGTAAATAATTACTCTAAATTGTGACACTTATATTAGAAATGTTTGTTACACTTCACAAAACTGGTTTTATACAATTGCTTCAGTAAATAACTTGCAAGAAACGGGCTTTTATCTCTAAGATAGTTGACTGATTGGTGGGGGGATTGAACTTTGAATGATGTGGTTGACACCTCAACCAACCCGATTGGGTGACTTTGTCATGCGCAAGACAGCTTTGAGTGCTTGCTATCTAGAAGTTTGAATACCCTCTTCATCATTGAATACCTCGTAAATGCATTCAGAATTAAGATCATTCGGTTTCTTCCAATCTACCCCCCCCCCCCCCCCCTAATGAATGTGCGGCCAGTGTTTCAAAAATTGCTGCTGGCTGTGCCAACTCGTGACTCACCCTATCCAACTTCGATCAGAACCCTGGCAAGTCTGGAGGTGAAACCTCAAGACTCAAACCTAAACATTAGAAGATCAGTCCCAGGTGAGATCCACAAGCTAATTGAGTCCCACAGCTGGGTGGTAATAGCCAGAGTCCAGGACCAAGGCTATGGTTTTAGATACTGGTGATTATTGTTTAATGTGAGAATGATTAAACTTAATGCACCATCTCTAGGAAGCAAAGAGATGACCCCCAATTGCCATCACTTCTTGGGACAAATGAGTTAAAGGTCCCCAAAATCCATTTTGAACTGCCTTGTTATTTCTTTCATAAAAGACCTAAAGAGAGCGTTTACACCAGCTTTTAAAACTTTTAAAACATGCATCTGACAATAAAGAAACTTCTAAACAAGAATTACATTTCCTTTGGATGGCAAAACCTCTGGAGAGAGAGAGAGAGAGAGAGAGAGAAGTGGTTGCCTCAAAGGAATGCAATAGCAATTACATATCATCCATGGTGTCCACTACTTCAACTCTTCAAATAATGAAAAAATGGGCTGCAGATTCCCACTCGAAATCTTGCCATATTATATTGTCATCTGACGACATTAAGAAACAAGAGATATAGAGAGAAACACAAAAGCAAGCAGCACATTTGAAATACTCTCCTCCACTCTAGAAACACTTCCTGTGCACAATTGAAGGCCCAGATTCATCATACTCGGCCTTTGCAATCCACATCTGCACACACCAAAAAATATGCCATAAATTCCAGTCCATTTAATCATTAACCTTTTTTTTTTTTTTACATAACCAAAATCAATACTCTTTAGTCATGACAATTTCAGAATTTTATCTCACAAGTTCTCCAACCATTCATTAAGAATTGTGTGCTTCCAAAATGGGTATCAGACAAACAAAACTTTCATGTAAATGAAGCATTGTGGATCCCTTTCAACTGATTGGAGTTTCCACATTATGAGCAGAGATACCCACATATACAGATTAAAACACCCTTAAACTAATAAAAAGATATTATGGGACCATAGACTCTTCAACAAGTACCTCTCCATAGGTACACAGCATTTAGATTTTGGAGAAACATACCAAAGGTCAGCAACTCAACTAATGTCCAAGGTTTGACGCTTATTTGTCCCTTATTTGTCCCATAGGTCACCAAATCACTTTTATTGTTTTTTTTTTCCTTGTCTGGGAAAGAGTGATCACTTTTGTTATGTTAAGAGCACATCAGTTACTTAACCAAGGTGCCCCCAAGACATCAAAAGAACCGACGGTTATGCCTAAATGGAATCGTCTTAGCATAGGACCTGCAAACTAAGATCGAAATTTCAAATCCCATTTTAACCAATTAGAAGAATCCATCAATTACTATGAAATTATTTAGCAGTTAAGGGAGGAAGGGCTACAACAATAAAATCCAAGATATGACCCCATTTTGACCATTAGAATCCATTAATGAACGTAACTAATGGGAAAGCAATCAGGGTATACAACAACCCATGTGGTCATGGTAGCAATATGGGTCAGAAATAAGAAAAGAGCAACATGGTCATAGGAGTGACAGTGACTACACATCACTGGTTCAGTTCTACGCCCAACTCTTCACCATTCAACCCATAGATTAGATGATGAACAATATGCGTCCAACTCTTCACCATTCAACCCATAGATTAAATGATGAACAATATGCGTCCAACTCTTCACCATTCAACCCATAGATTAGATAATGAACCATATGACAATAACGCTACCATGGTCATGTTATACTTCCCCTAACTTAATAGGTTTCAGCACCCCGGCACAGCCATTAGGGCATAAGGACCACTAACACTAACATCCAAGGTTCATTTCCTAGGATAAACACTTAAAAAAAAAGCAACCAATTTAAGAGTGAGGGAAGAAAAGTCAGGTACCTGTTGGAAGGTGCTAAGAGAGGCTAGGATAGACCCTCCAATCCAAACACTGTACTTCCTCTCTGGTGGAGCAACAACCTTAATCTTCATGCTACTAGGCGCAAGTGCGGTGATCTCCTTGCTCATACGGTCTGCTATACCAGGGAACATGGTTGACCCACCACTGAGCACTATGTTCCCATAGAGATCCTTCCTTATATCAACATCACACTTCATGATTGAATTATAAGTGGTTTCATGAATGCCAGCCGCTTCCATTCCAATCATGGACGGTTGGAAGAGAACTTCGGGGCATCGGAATCGCTCAGCCCCAATAGTTATTACCTGACCATCAGGTAATTCATAACTCTTTTCAACAGTTGAGCTTGTTCGGGCAGTCTCAAGCTCTTGTTCATAATCGAGGGCAATGTATGCAAGCTTCTCTTTCATATCTCTGACAATTTCACGCTCGGCAGTGGTGGTGAAAGAGTATCCACGCTCAGTAAGGATCTTCATGAGTGCGTCGGTAAGGTCACGACCGGCAAGGTCGAGACGGAGGATAGCATGTGGGAGGGCGTACCCCTCATAGATGGGCACTGTGTGGCTTACACCGTCCCCAGAGTCCAGCACAATCCCTGGTCATGGCTCATGGTGCCTCATCATCATCAACATGAAACACATGCTCACGCATAATGAACACACACTACCCTTGCTCTCTCTCTCTCTCTCTCTCTCTCTCTGCTAACATGCCAACACAAATATTAACACACACTCTCTCACTTGCACACACATGCCAACACAAATATTAACACCACTCTCTCACTTGCACACACATGCCAACACAAATATTAACACTACACTCTCACTTGCACACACACACATGTTGGCCTTCTCAAACAGATTAAGGGAAATCTTGTTAATCAACAACAAACACAATGACATACACTAGTACAAACACAGATATGAGAAAACCTGTAGTGATGTTAAAGCACAGCATTGCAGCTAATGATATGTTGATCATTTCCTAAGGTACATGTGCACTGTTTCTTTCGATAAGTAAAAATATATGGTCACTAAAGAATTTCGCCTTCAAAAATACATTCAATCTTATCATTCTATCAATGCCAAAGTTCTGGCAATTACTAGATGTAAAAGTAACAGACGATTTAAGACTTTTCATCAATTGGGTAGGTATAAGTAGGCTTTAAATAAGCAAATCCAATGCTTGAATAGTGAAATTCCACGCCACTAGGCTTCAAGCAAGAAACACCTATTTTCCTTCTTAAGTTTTGTCTAATAAAAAGCTATACTCATTATCAGAATTAGGAATTGTGAGGTGGTCTTTCTTTTAAATGTGAAGAGTGTTGGTCCTTTCCCATTCCTTTCATAAATGATACAGATTTTTTCAGTCTTTTATAGAAACATAAGAATACTGCAGTAGTTCAGCTCACTTCTGATTTCAATGAATAGTTTTCAACAATTAATCTTGTACATCTCAGAGACAAAGCGTATATTATGATTACCAAACAAAGTTTACGAAGCCCAAAACTGTTTAAAGGTATACCTAGCTCAGAGATTCACACCCTTTTTCCAAAGAGAGGTTCTCAGTTTCAATTATTGCAGATGTGGCTGCTACGAACCTCACCAGGATCATAACAATCCAAAAAGAGAGGAGGCAGAGACTGGCTCGTCATGGAAAATTTATTTGAAATTATTTTATATTTAAGAAGCTATTATTAGATGCTAACCCACTGGTTCAGAAGCCCAGACATACCATAACCGTCCATTTGCAACAATAGAGATAAACAGCTACCCTATCAAGACTTAGGAGGCTCATGTCTACCATAGAGATAAACAGCTACCCCTATCAAGACTCAGGAGGCTCATGTCTACCATAAAGCTTACTAGCAATTAAAAAACCTCCAAAAGAAAAAGAAGAGAAGGTTCAGATCAACTCTTAAACTTTAAAAATAATTTTATCTCAAAAAAAAACTTTAAAAATGAATTAAAGCTAGGAACAATGAACACCAATACACCATTCACAAAACCCTACGTCAAGATTGAAGTAATGCAAGTGCCCCTAATTTTTGTGCTGGTTAATTCAAAATTGAGTAAAACACTAACAAAGGCAGAGCTCTAAGATAAAACAATAATAATATTTGGGGTTGCAGAATAATAACGAGAATATAAATGAAAACGAAAAACGAAGTAGGGTCTAAAACAAGGAACTACTCATTAGCTACTGACAATGCACGCATGAATATGACACAAATTTGGTTATTCACAATAAAGAGAGAATGCGGGTCAGCATTTTTGAAAAGCAGTGTTTGACAATAGAAACAGGATCAATTTGCTTACCAGTGGTACGACCACTAGCATAGAGTGACAGCACGGCTTGAATGGCAACATACATGGCAGGGGTGTTGAACGTCTCAAACATAATCTGAGTCATCTTCTCTCTGTTGGCCTTTGGGTTAAGTGGGGCCTCTGTAAGGAGAACTGGATGCTCTTCTGGTGCAACTCGAAGCTCATTATAGAAGGTGTGGTGCCAGATTTTCTCCATGTCATCCCAGTTGCTAACAATGCCATGCTCAATTGGGTACTTCAGGGTTAAGATACCACGCTTGGATTGAGCCTCATCTCCAACATATGCATCCTTTTGGCCCATGCCCACCATCACTCCTGTGTGGCGAGGTCGTCCTACAATACTTGGGAAGACGGCCCTTGGAGCATCATCTCCTGCGAATCCAGCCTACAATGAAGAAAGACAGAAGCAGATCTTAGTCAATACACAAGCCAATAAGCATTTCCTGAACAACAACTGTGATATTGTTAATCAGAAACAAGATTTCATGAACTGTAAGTGCACTGCTAGACCGTAAGTATGTCAGAAGGGTAATGTCATTGTAACACAAATGCCAGAAAAATTGAAAACCAAAAAAAAAACAAAAAAGTAATGTTTTGGTTCAAGGATTATCTTTCAAATAAAAGTTCTCGGGATTTCCCCTTTTCTTGAAGAACCAAAAAAGAGTATCAAGAGTCACATGTTATCCCAGTATGAGAAAGTTATCAACAATTCATGAAACACTGACGCAATCTGTTGAGGACTGGAGAAATAACGTGCAAGGAAGGTACATCTTTTTGTAGGGAGATATATTCCGATCCTAAAAGAGGGTAGGGGTCAGAATTAGGGTACTTCCCATTTTCCTGGACATTATTAAAGAATATAAGAGGCAAATAAGTAGGTGCGAATCGACTAAATACTACCAAAGAGGATGGAGAGCTTTTACATTACTTCAGATATAATAAGAGATACAAAATTTGCACCAGTGTAAAACCAACCTAATATCTGTACACTGACTGTTGCACATATAAATGATAAATTACCTTGACCATTCCAGTTCCATTGTCGCAAACAAGGGGCTGGATATCCTCGGTTTCAGCCATCTTATACAACCTGCAAGAGTTATAAGTCCAACAACTTAGCCATGCCAACCCAAACGTGGCAGGAAGCAGATGATAGATTAAAATTTCCATTTCCAACATTTTTTCAAAATTTTCTTTTTTTTCCCATGCAAAGGAACTCAATCATAGTGTTACATCAAATCCATGAAAGCCACAAGCATTATAATGTAGAAAAACTAGCTAATCCACAAAGTGACTCAATTACAAAACCAAAACAGATCAAAACCTGAATCACAGATATAGCCACCGATATAACTACATTGTTTTTTGCTTTACACATGTATTTGGAAAATTGGAGATAGATCTTAGATCATGATATAAATTAATCAGGTGGTAAAGCAAACCAGAGAGAGAAGAAATATGGGAATACCCCTTTTAATATTAGAGATATCCAAACTTCCAGATACAGATCTCTAATTTACCACAATGATGACAATATACTAGCAACAACAACGACCAATATTGATCCAGACATATATTCATTGATTGATCCAACCAATGATATAAGATGTCAAGCCAAAGAAAGTACAAAAGATCAAAGGTTTTGATAAACAGTGGTCAATGCCCAACACAGTATCTCGATGCCCAAAGATGAAATCTGGGAGTAAATCATATGTCAATTCCTCTCTTGAGACTGTGACCATGGATCTTCTTTTTTTTTGAAACTGTGACCATGGATCACAGTTCAGTAAAATGGAAGAAAGTGAGATAAACAAACAATGCATGCAATCTGACACCATGAGAAAAGCTCAATGTTGAAAATAACCAAAACATTTGAATCTAGGCAACCCCATTGCATCAGGGATATCTGAATCCAAATCAACCACAAAGCGAGAGGATCAAATAAAGATGAAATAACGATCAGAAATGATAATGTGCACCATGATAATTTAGCAAATAGAGCATACAAATCCACATTATTTAGAACAGATAATATGATAGAATCAAGATTTCCTCGAAAGTCATCAATGATTTAGTAGATTCTATAAAAAGTTTACTCTTTTCAGGTGCTTCAGTGTGGATGATTTGTGGCAATGCAGCTTGTATAACGCGATCAGAGATCTATATCTAGCATCAAGATCACTCAAGAAAACCCAATTAACCATGGAAAATCATAAAATACGAAAGACCAGAGACTCTAACCAGAATTTGGATACCTTTGCAATTTCAATAACCATAATTCCAATATAAACAACGCATGCAAAATCAATCAATTCGTCCACTAAATCGAGATTCACGCCATTAAAAAATGGGAAAAAAATAAAAGCAAGAGTTTAAAAAACAGGAAAATTATTCATCAAAAAACCCAAAAAAAAATCAATAACAGATCGATCCATTGCAGGAGGAGATCGTTCAAACAAGAGCAGGAAATCGGATTAAATAAAAAATAAGGCGACAAAATAAAAATACCTTGAAGAAAAATGCCCTAATTATTGGTTGCTCGAGCTAGAAGCCTAATCTTCTGGTTTACAGAACGCCAAATGAGAGCTCCGCCTCGAAAGAAAACCTCTCTTAAATGAGGCCCTGGCTTTCTGAGAATAAATCGTGACCGTCCACTGGCTGCAATATGTACGGCGTTCTCGGATTCGGGTTCAGATCAACGGCTGAAGCGCCACAAAATGTTTCCAGCGGTGAACCGTCGGATGCAATGACGTGGCGAGGTCGTGTCTAAGTGCGACACTTGTGGATATTCAGACTGCACAGCTCGTTCCGTGACACGTGGCATGGGGTGAGTGGTGGACAGCTATTTCGCTTAAATATGCTGCTCTTTTTCGTCCTGAAAAAAATAGAGTTTGCATTTTAAAAAAAAAAAATGGGTGGTTTTTCTGAGTATTATATATTTGAAATTTTACGCTTTTTTTTTTAGTGATTTTTCTTTTTGAAAGATACAATAAAAAATAAAAATAAATGAAATAATGAAATAATGAAATTAAATTTTCTATTCCAGTGGAACAAGTTATGGTCCTTGATAATTAAATATTTTAAATTTGCATGAGAAATTCAAAGTTATTTCCGTTCTAAAAATAAGCCAGTTGAAACAATTAATTTAATAAATAAAAATAAATATTAATTTGAAATAATTAATTTCAATGGGAATTTGAAGGCATTTTGGCTCCTTTCCCTTTGCTCTTTAAGCCTTTAATTAATAATGTATAAGTGAATTTTTTTTCCCTACCTTTAAGCCTTTGATTAATAATTTAAAATAATCATTTTTGTTTAAAAAAAAGTTGATATAATAAGGCAACGCCAGGTCACACAGGTCAGGATGTGGACCGCTTCTGATGAAGTCACACACGTGTGAGCAGGCACTTGTGAAGCACGCCATGAGAATGGGTCATCCTCCTCGTCTACCGTGCTTCTCCCCTTTTTTTCGCCCACGTAGGCTGTACTCCTACGGGAGCATACTGTTTTCTCTAAGGACGTGTGAGAATTTTTCTGTTTGATATTTTAAGAACCACCTAAGAATTCCTCCATCATTATTTCAAAAGAGAAAAATAAAAATTGAATTTTGAGTTTTTGGCACTTAGATCATGCCCCTCCAAATTGGACAATCTTTATTTTGTCATAGACCGGGCGATCCGCCCCGACTATTTATTTTTATTATTTTTAAGAACTTATTTTATTCTCTATTTTTTATTTTTTCGTATCCAATTCAATCGGCGGAATCGCTGATCATATAGGTTTTTCAGACTGACGATACACTATGCATTTTCTTCAAATATTGCTTATATCCTTGGTAAGAAGAAAACTTCAAACCTTTAAATTAAGAGCTTTGTGGTCCTAACGTGCTCATGGAACCCCGAGAGCCGCCCTTTGGCAGTCGAGAAGGCACTTAGAACCTTTAAAGGCACGAAGTTTCTTATCTTCGTTTCTTATCTTCATAACTTCAAGGTCCTAAATGGCTCCTATACCCTAAGGAGCTACGCTCTGTGGCTCCTAGACCTTTACAGTACCTTAGGAAATTGAAAAAGTAGATGTGAAAGTAAATATTGACTTTGGAAAAGGGCTTTTTAAAATACTAACCATCAAATTTGAACCTGCCTCTAAAATTTCCCTAGAAGAGGTTGTTTTGATGCCCACATATCTTCAAATTGATCACCTCGACATCAAGAAGTATGGACATGAGAAAAAAATGTATTTCAAGTTTTGGAAATAGTGTATTTTATAATGCATTTTTTATCGTCAATTCTCAATATTTTCAAGCATTCATAGATCTGTCGATCTACACTATTTTTGAAGCTTTAAACTTTATAAATGAATATGAAAATATATTTTAAGGCTATCACAAATATTTCCAATATCGAAACCACATTTCTCGATACTATTTGATGGTAGGTTCTAATTTGATTGTTTAGAGCCTAGGCTCTATACAAACGGCACCCTAGAAAAAGTTTATATAGAGCGGAGGCTCTAAACAATCAAATTAGAGCCTACCTCAAAAATTTCACTAGAAGAGGTTGTTTTGATGCTCAAATATCGTCAAATCAATCATCTCGACATCAAGATGCATGGACAAGAGAAAAAATATGGATTTCAAGTTTTAGAAATAATGTATCTTGTAATGCATTTTTTAACTGTCAATTTCCAAATTTTCATAGATCTGCTTGATCTACACTATTTTTTAAGCTTTAAATTTTATAATTAGAGATGAAAATATATTTTAAGGCTATCACGAAGATTTTCAATGTGGAAACCATAATTCTCGATACTATTTAAAAGTGGGCTCTACTTTGATTGTTTAGAGCTTCGGGTCTATGCAAACGGAACCCTTACATAAAATTGTCTAAAATAATGTAAATCTGGTGGATATGTTTTAAGGCTCAATATTCTTTTTTATTTGGTATCCGAGTTCAAAATGTTCAATTTAAGAGTTCTCCAACGCCGAACTGAATTGAAGATTGGAAATGCAACTTTCATCTTTTTCTTTTCACAAATATCAGCCTTATGCTACCTTGCCTTTTTTAAAAGAAGAGATAGGGAAAGAGAGAATAAATAATACCTGTCCCCTAATCGTGAGACCCACCCACCGATCCCAATGCACTTGAATATAGAACTAAGCTCAATGGTGCGTGGTCCCTACTGCATATCCTTGATGGGCTTCATCATTGAAGGTGTGCTTCTTCTTCTTCTTCTTTTTTTTTTTCTTTCTTCTTTACTATTATTATTATTTTTTTATTTTTTATTTTTAATTTTTTATTTTTTATTTGAGAAAATAAGCATTGAATCGAATACCACCGGTATATGTCGGTGAATAGCTACTTTTTTTGTAAATTTTCTTTTATATGGTGTGGTTTGTATAAAGCGGTAGTATTAAACAATTGCATATGGTTTGGATTTTAAAATTTGAGTTTTTGGGTCTGTATAAAGTTGTAATCTTAAACAGTTGAATTAATATGCACCACCAAACATTATCATGAGATGCAATTTTAGTGTCAAAAATTCTTACGATAGTTTGATAATCTTATTTTTATCTCTATTATAAAATTTTGAACACCTTAAATGGTTCAAATCAAGTAAATCTATAAATGCATAGAAATCTAAAAAATAGATAGTTCACATAATATATTGCAAGATGTACTATTTTTAGGATTTAAAATATATTTTTTCTCCATATTTATATTGGTCAATTAGATGTGTCGTCAAGCTTTTTCTTTATTTGAATGTTAAAAAAGAAGGAGAAAGTTTACATAGAGCCTAGGGTCTAAACAATCAAATTAGATCCTACCTCAAAAATTTCACTAGAAGAGGTTATTTCGATACCCAAATATCCTCCAATTGATCATCTCGACATCAAGATGCATGGACATGAAAAAAAAAAAAGGATTTCAAGTTTGGGAAATAGTGCATATTGTAATGTATTTTTGGACCGTCAATTTTCAAGATTTTCAAAATTTCATAAATTTGCTCGATCTACGCTATTTCTTAAGCTTTAAATTTTATAATTAAATATAAAAATATATTTTAAAATTATCACAACTATTTTCAATATTGAAACCACATTTATTGATATTATTTGAAGGTGGGCTCTAATTTGATTGCGTAGAGCCTCGGCTCTATACAAACAGCACCTCAAAAGGAATTCATTAAGAATTTTGAAGTACAAGGAATCGGTGTCCAAATGAGAAAACAAAAATAGACGAAAGAGAAATTCGAGTCAAGAAAAGGGAGGAAGAAGAAGAAGGTGAGGAGACGAGAAAGACGAGATGTTTTTCCAACATCAAAACAACTTTTTTGGCAGGATTTTATATGTGCACATTAATTATACGTTTTAATGCGTCAACCTCATATTAATTTTTCTTTATTTTTATCTATAATCATGAAATTCAAAGTTTATAAAAATAGTGCAAATTGAGCTGACTTCCAAACATTTGAGAATCATGAAAAACTAAACAGTACAAATAACTTGTTAGCAAGATACATTGTTTTTAGGACTCGAAATTATTATCTTTTTTCATATCTATATATCTCGAGGTCATTCAAGACAATAAGGGATAAAGTTCGAAATGAATATATTCAGAATAATTTAGATGTGGCACCAATATGCGATAAGATGAGAAAAAGTAAACTTCTGTGGGCTGGACTTATGTGACGCAAACCCTATACAAATCTTATTAAGAGGTAAAAGTTAGTTCAAATGGAAGGCTAAAAAATAGCAAAGGATATGCCCAAAAGGACATGATTGAAAATAGTGAGAAAAATATAGGGACTTATGAGTCTCACTGAAATTATTATCCTTAATAGAACAGAATGACATACGATAGTCTGTGCAGCTTACTCCAATTAGTTGGAAAAAGGTAATGGAGATGATGGTGATATATATCTCAAGGTCAAGATGATCAATTAGAGATTTTTTCGCCGTCGGAACAACATTTTCAATGGCTTTTAAGGTGCATCATACTTTTATAGTATAAAAATAGTGCATCTTACTTTTATGGTATAAGATTCGTGCATTATATCCGAAATTTATTTTGTATATGTTTAATCGCATTGTAAGTTCTTGAAGTGTAAGCTCCTTCCCGGGCAAAGTTCATAAAAAAGTAACTTTTCCCCCAATAACCAACTAAATAATGATAGGTAGCAAAGAATTAAATGACCAATTCACCTTAGGACTCACCCAAGCCAGACAAAATCGGGAGCAAAGCAATTCCAAGCAAAAAAAACTCTAGAATTACCAGCTCCTCTTTTCTTTTTTCTTCTTTTTTGGGTATTTTTTAACCTGGTTCCGACTCGCCTGACTCAGACTGAGAGACAATGTCATACCCAAATATGCCTTTGTAATCATGGGTGATATGCATCGAAGCCCATGGAATTTCTTTCTCGGCAACTCTAGTTACCAAAATATCACCAAATTACTCTTAACACTAGCAAGATATATTTCATATTTTCTCTGCAAATAGATATAGTTTCTCATTTAGAAGCAGGCGATATCGTAACATAAGCATTATTGTGTTCCAAATTGAGATTAAGAGGTTGCACTAAAATTGAAAATTATATGATAATACTATAACTTTTGGTATAAAGAGGTTATAATGACCCATTGGCTATTGAATACGAAATTGAGTGATCGGATTCACTATTGTCTATGTTCAAGTTCCAAAAAAAATCCCCAAGTTTTGTGAAACTCAAGAAGCTAATTTTGCATCCGACTGTTAGGGTTATAGTGACCTTGCACTAATGGTAAATGATCTCGAATTACACAAGCGCAATTGTATTTAAGCTATGTTTATGTGTGGAATCATCAAGGACCCAAAAACCAATAGATTGAGAAAAAAGAATGCAACAACTTTCACATAAATTGAGACCATCAAATGTAAGGCCAAAACATGTGACTGAAACTGTGATTCAAGGGAAAGAGATCACAAATCTGATTCCTTCAGTGCTATAAGAAGAACCAAAGCCTTTGTAATCTTCACCAATCACAAAATCCATCAAAATTGCCAATTAGCTAGGTTTTTCCTTTATCAATGAACTGCGCCCTAACATGTAGCTAATGAAAGTCTTGGAAATGATTGCTTTTCAATAAGTATTTAAAAAATCGTCGGTTTGACTCATGACTCATTTGAGCTATATGAGATTAGGAACCATGTGATTATAGGGTGCAATACTTTGGAATCACTCGGGGCTCATTTGGGTACCTAGAAATATGTCGTATGTAAAACACATCATTAGTGTAATACATTACTTAAAAATAGATAGTTGTTATTTGGGTAGCATCTTGATGCAACTTGAGAAATACATTGCTAATGTCTGGCTACGTTTGGGTCCAAATATGATAAATGCATTTCTCTTACTTTGGCTTGAAAATATTGCATTAATATTATTAATAGTAAAGTGATTTTTATTTTGCACAATTCCTTTTTTTTTTAATTTTTTTAGGATGAAATATCAATAATCTACTTTATTTTCAAATATGTGAAAGTAATTAGTTTCCTACTGTTTCTGGAATTAGAATTAGAATGCTTCATGGTGTTTCTATAGGCCACATTACACCATTCTACGCTCTAACTTGTACCAAGTTTTGTTTTGTAGTGTATGGCAAGAACGCTAAACTGGAGGACTTTTGTGAGATTGTTGTATCAAAGCAATTAACTCTTCCATATTTCGACAAAGCATTAACACCGTGTAGAGAGATGCTAGTTATTGGAGAGAGAATATATGGTATCTTACATGACCTTACACAATCAAGATGTTCTAGACTAGAGAGTGGGGGGCATGTGCGTTACAAGGTTCTAAGTTAGAGATAGAGAAGGGTTTTCTTGATGGAGGAAGGAGAGAGAGAGCGAAGGATTTTCTTATTCGAGGAAGGAGAGAAAAAGAGAGAGAGGGTTCACAAGAGAGTAGGTTAGAGAGAGAGAGGTGGGGAGGGCTTACTGGTGAGTAGGGTCTTCAAGACCTGCGAGTTGATAGAGGAGGCTTTGTAAGAAAAGAGTTCGCGTGTAATTGATTAGCGGTTGACAATTTACAGCAATACATCCTAAGCTCAATTCCTACCATAGTAAGAGCTTTCGCTTCACTCACCCAAAAAAAAAGAAGAGAGGAGGCTTTGTAAGAAAAGAGTTCGAGTGTAATTGATTAGCGGTTGACAATTTACAGCAATACATCCTAAGCTTAATTCCTATCATAGTAAGGGCTTTCGCTTCACTCACCCGAAAAAAAAAGAAGAGAGGAGGCTTTGTGTGTATGAGAGAGGGAACTAAGGCATTTTACATGGACTTCAAAAGATATGGATAGGTGGATTGAATCATTTCAGTGGGTTCGGGTGAGTTTCCATTATATGTAAAATCCTGTAATGTGTTTCATTACACTCCCCTTGTAAAATGGATTTCATTGATTTTAGAAAAAAAGTTGGATAACATTTTTCATTTCCTACCTTCCTAATACTACCCAAATGCTCGAAATAGCAAATTTCCTTGTAATCAATTTTTATATAATAGAATTACTAGCCCCCAAACTCGATCGAGCCAGACTTGAGCACCTTAGGCTTAAGCGCTTGGCCAGTCGGACCTTCTCAACACTACTTCCAATGAGCCCTATAATGGATTGTAAGATTCCCCACATTCTTAGGAAGCACCTCGAATAATAAAAACTAAAAAATAAAAAATAAATAAATAAATAAAAGGCCTCACAACTTGGTCGAGCATAATTAGGAGGTGCTTCCTAAGAACGTGGGGGGAATTTACAATCCATTATAGGGTTCATTGGAAACAGTGTTGAGAAGGTCAGACTTAAGCTCCAACTGGCCAAGGGAAGCCTTATATGCTCCAGTTTGGCTCGATTTACACAAATAAATAGAGTAAAATGTGTCTAGGTTGATTTTTTTTTTTTAGGAAATGGAAATCACTATAAGGTCACTTGTGTGTGGGCCTAATAGAATGAATATGGTGGTCAGGATAAGCAATATTGCGTTTTATTTTTATTTTTGTAATTTTTTTTTATTTTATATGTATAAGATGTAACCAAAATATGGACATGTTTGCCCACAATTTAGGGCATTGAATGAAAAATTAAAAAATATGTGCTGGAAAGGCCCAAAAATGCGACCACCATGGTCGATAAACCCTTCAAATCGAATGGCATGGTTCAATATAAACCGTCTTGGCATGGTTCAATATGAGCCGTCCTTACTATATTGTTCCATAGGCTGGCCGGCTCATAAAAGTTTTACTCAAAGAGGTTAAGAGGGTAAGGCTGACGCTATATGGGGTGCTCAGCCTGGTTCTTAAAAAACCCAAACCCGGCTCACAGAGTTGGCCAGAGCAGCTGGCTAGGCCCATACCACATCGGTTCGTTGATCTAGTTGTGGCAGGCCAATGTCAGGGTCTATGGCTAGCCCCACATGGCAACTTGGGTTTTCTATTTTCTTTCATGATTTTGCCTCGTCTCGCTTGGCTTGTGAGGCCAGGTTTAGCTTGCCCGAAACAGAGCCAAGGCTGCTTCGAGTGGGCCCAAAGTAAACCAGGCTATGCATGCTAGGTTGGATCTAAGTCATGGGCCTGCCTAGCTTAGCCTAAATAGAGCCAGGGCCACACTGAACTCGGCCACCTAGTCAAGGCCCTAGGACAAGCCTAGGCTAGGGGCCTTTTCAGCCTGGCCCAAGCCGGCAGTCCCTCTAACAACGCCTGTATGCCTGGGCTGGTGCCAATCCTATTAGAGAGCGGGAAGTTGATTCAATCGCTTATTTGTAGGCCCCGCCAAGTTTGCATCGCCCCCACTTCTCATTAATCTGACGTTGATGATTCTCATGACTACATATACCATGTGCTCCTATATTTCAAGGCACTCTCTCCCTAAACCATCAAAGAATTCTGGTACTTAAATTACTATCGTAATCCATATAATAAGGTCTCCCCCAAAAAGAGTTTTAGCCTCAACGCTTTCGCGGTAGGGTTTAAGACTCTAGTCCCCATTAAAACCCCGACTCCAAAACCAGAGGCCACCAGTAACAAAGGCCTTGGCCTTATCTCATCACAAGTCGCCGCCATTTATCGCAACTTTCTCATTCATGAAAGTTATTTGAGCTGGCCCTGGTAAGGTGACCCGCTTTTCCTTTCACTCCTCTTTAATGGACATGAATTTTTCTTTTCCTCATTTAAATCTCCTCTCTCTGAAACCAGAATCCTTTGTTTTTACTTGCTTTCATGGTGTACGTTCAATTTATGTCAAGCTCTCTTTGGGTAACCTGTTGCAATTGTTTTTGCTCCTTTCATGGCCATGAACCTGGTGCCACATTCAAAACTTATGCTATGACGCTTTGAAGCTCACAAATTTCTTATTTGAAGCTATGATGCGTTTCTCTGTATTTTTTTTTCACTCATTTGAGGTGCTTGAAGGTTTTTTTAGTTTATGTTCTCTTCTGTGAAACTCTAGTAGCATTATCTGAACCTTATTGCTTCTTCCTGGTGAGAACTTGGTTTCACATTCAGATTTTTCCTTTTGAACCCTGATTATTTTCCCTTTAGAGCTAACAGTTCCACTTCACTCATTTGATTTTCTTGAAACCCTAATCGTCTTCTATGAAACTTTTTTTTCTCTTGCCTTCTCTCCATCTCGTTTTGTATTTGTGGGGTGGGTAAGCGGGGCCCCAAGGCCATAGCTATTGGACTCTACTGGCAAGAAGCCAAACCCAAAATTCTCTTTTCTTCGTGGCCATGAGTATCAAACCACATTCAAATGTTGTTCTCTGAAACCCTGTCTGTGATGCAGACAAATTCCTATGTTGATTGGCTCTTGGTTTTCTCGGACCTGTACAAAGAGAATACCCCCAAATTGTTCCCATTTGTCATCGGCTCCAGCCTTACGCATAAATTCTTATTCCCCTGATTTCAATTTCAAAGAAACTGAGGAGGAAAGCAGATATCAAACTGTGAAAGGTTCCACATCCTTTGATTCAAAATCATCGAGTAATGGCCTTCCTGAATTGGATAACTCCAATGTTATCAAAGTACTGAATAATCTCATCAGAGAACCACTCCTTGCTTTATCTTTCTTCAACCAAGTGAAGGGTCTAGGTTTTTCCCACAATGTCCACACTTACTCCACAATTATTCAGATTCTATGCAGTTCAGGACTGCACCATAAATTGCGTAAATTGCTTGAGGAACTTGTCTTTGAGACTCAAAACTTTGAAATTTGGAGGCTTTTTTATTCTCTCCCAAAGGATTGTAATGGAAGAGAGGCCATCTCATTTAAGGTTTTTGATGGTCTTATTAAGGCTTATGCTGATCGTGGAATGTTTGATGAAGCAGTGGGCCTTGTTTTACAGGCTGGCAACAATGGTTGTTTACCCCATGTTTGGTCCTGCAACTTCCTTATAAATTATCTGATAGATAATAAGAAGCAGGATACAGCTGAGGCCTTGTTTCATCAGCTGAAGAAATTGGGATTCAATCCGAATGTTTATACTTTCACCATCATTGTGAAATCTCTTTGCAAAGGGGGGAAATTGCAGGATGCACTTGATATGTTGACTGAAATGGAGGAAATGGGAATAGCTCCTGATGCTTTTACTTTTACAACGTTGATTGATGGAATTTGCTTTAATGGAGAATCAAAAATGGGTTACAAACTGCTCAAAACCATCAGAAGCCGAGGAGTTTTGTTGTACACTTTTAGTTATAATATTGTGATTCGTGGATTTTGCGGTGAAATGAAATTGGATGAGGCTGAGCTGGTTTTGAGTGACATGGAGGAACAAGGGATCGCCCCTGATATGTACAGTTACAAAAGCCTCATAACTGGGTATTGTAATGTGGGGAACCTTGTGAAAGCTTTATCTCTCCATGAGGACATGATTTCGAAAGGTGTGAAGACAACTTGCATTATTTTGGGTTACCTCATTCAAAGCCTTCGCAAAAATGGATTAGCCATCGAGGCAATAGAGCTTTTTGAGAGATTCAGGAACTCAGGTCTTTTCCTTGATGAGGTTTTGTATGGAATGGTTATAGATGCATATTGCAAACAAGGAAACACAGAAGTTGCATTGCAATTGATGGATGAAATGAAGGGGCGGAGGTTAGCACCTGACTCACTCCACTATACAAGTTTAATTGATGGGTACTGCAGAAATGGTGATCTTGGTCATGCTTATAAGGTCTTTAAGGACATGGTTGAGACTGGACTAGAACCGAATACTGTTACTTATAATATTCTTGCAAATGGTTTTTGCAGGAAAGGCCTTGTGCAAGAGACCTTTGATCTTCTCGAGTGTATGTTGGATCAGGGGCTGGTGCCAAATCGTGTTACCTATAGTACAGTTATATATGGCCTCTGTAAAGGAGGCAAGTTGAAGGATGCTGAGAGCTTCTTCAAAACATTGGTAGATAAAGGTCTTGGGCATTGTTCAGTTACCTTTAGTGCAATGATCAGTGGTTACTGTGAACAACGTCATACGAAAGAAGCGTATGAACTTTTTAAAAGGTTGGTGAAGAAACGGGTTCTTCCTAGTTCCACTGCATGCTCTAGACTTATCAGTAACCTTTGCAAGGATGAGGATTTGGATAAGGCATTGATGGTGCACGAGATGATGGTTGCTGATGGAGTTATACCAGACGAGATCACTTACAGTACCCTGATTTCTGCCTTTGCTCAATTGGGTAATATGACAAAGGCTCGGGATCTTTATGAAAATTTAATGGTAAGAGGCCTCTCCCCTGATGTTATAACATACACTGCTTTGATAAATGGATATTGCCGAGTGAATCACTTGCAAGAAGCATGTAAATTGTTCAACGACATGAAACAGAAGGGGCCAAGGCCTGATGTTATCACGTTCACAGCTTTATTTGATGGGTATTTCAAGGAAATTTTGCAAGAGGACCTTCGATACAGAGGGAAGAGAAGAGTTCAAGTTGCTACCGAGATTTTCAAGTTGCTTGAAGAAATGAAAGAGATGGGGCTTAAACCTGATCTGATTTGTTACACAGTTTTGATAGATGGTCATTGCAAAATAAACCGTCTTCATGATGCTTTTCAATTATTTCAAGAAATGCTGGGCAGGGGAATAACCCCTGACATTGTGGCATACACAACTTTAATTTCAGGATATTGCAATAGAGGGAATGTTAAGAAGGCAGCAAATCTGGTTGAAGAGATGTTATTCAGGGGTTTGAAGCCTGATAAGCTAACATATTCGGTTCTGGAGCATGGTGTTTTGAAGGCAAGAAAGTTGGAGTTTTCTAGGTGATCTTTTCAACTCTCTGGAAACATGCATTCATTTATTGGCTTCCTAAAGTCCTTGGACTGAAGCATTCCTAAAATAATGCTCCTTATTTATCTTCTGTGTTCATTCCAGTTATTATTGCACATTATGTGCTTTGTATTACGTACTGGATATGTACAATACATCATTTTGATCCTGTTGTTTTCATTTGAAAATATAAGGGGTTATGTACTTCGTAAACATACTTAATGTGTATAATACAACATAAAAAGTTCTGCATTCATATATTATATATAAAAGTTAGCGTTATTAGGTGTGCTTATGTATGTCCAGGAAATGATTCATGGTGGGGGAAATTGGATTAGATTAACTGTGTAATTAGTAGAGCTTGTGGAATATTCTTAGCGTGTTCATATGCACATTAGGTGATGGGAGATTTTATTTGGTGCCAAGTACTGATTATACATTGGATATTAAAATTTTACTAATAAGCAATAAAAGATAGACTTACAGTGGATTGACTGTTGCCTGTACATGATAACTCAAATCACATTATGATTTGCAAAACATGTAATCGTAATTATGGTACCCTTGCAAGTGAATAAATGGAATACAAATGACATTTATCCCTTGGTTGAGACAAATTATTATTCATGAGGATGGTGATGCAAAGTTTTCCTGTAGGGAATGCCAATGCAAGTTACTTTTCACTCTTAGTCCCCCTGAAGCTGAAGCATCTTCCAAAGCATGGAAATCCTGCTAAGGTGTCTTGTTCTTTTGGAACAGACCATGCTAGACGCATCTAGTACATGTTTATGAATGTCTTCGTATTTTCGATTCTCAGTACCTTATTGGTAAGGAAAAGGGTAAAATGGATCTTGTTCTTGAAATTTTTGTCTTATCCTTATTTAATCTCAGTACTAGTGTTGTAAACAAGGACACCATTTGGGACTCTATCGAGTTCCGAGTCCTGGTCGGGTCTGAAAGATTTCGCTGAGTTTGCCAGTGATTGAACCAGTTCAAAAAACAAAAAAGCATGGAAACCATTCAGACTCGGCTGGTATCCGTGAATTTGGTTCCCGCTGCTGAGTCTGAGTAACTCTTGCAAGTCCAACAGTTCCCCTGTGCTGCTTAGTACCCTTTAGTGGATTCTATTTTAGACTAATATGTCAGACTAACGTTTGATATCTCGGGCCAGTCCACTTGTAGTTGCCCGCGCTCTGACTTGATAGAGTGGCAAGTCGAGAACCAATCACATGGGAACAGGCCAAGTTTCCCGGTACCCACTATTTCTTATATTTTTTGGGCAGGGTCTACTGAGTTTCTGATTGATTTAGACTCAGGACCCTTCCGGGTTTGGACCTTAGTTTGTGTTTTCTTTCATTGTGTAGAGACAGAGAAACAGTATGCTGTATCCAGCTTGTGCAAAACAGATTTAAGATTTAGAAGTCAATGTAAAGGTTATTCGTAAGTGCTCTTTGTAATGGATTTGATCATACACTTTAGGTTCAATTCAGAATGCAAGCACCTCTTTGGACAAATATTTAATGGAAATTAAGGAATTTTTCTCCCACTCTTGTGCATTAGGCTATTGTTGGTTTCTTTTTTCTGTAGTCAAAGGAAACATTTGTTGTTGGACTACGTTTAATTTATTCAACAATCCAAATCCCTATTGCTGAGTTCAGTGGCTTAAAACTTGGTGAGTCCGTTGTCAGAGTTGCTAGGAGTTGGCAGGCTGCTGAGTGAGTCCGGATCAAAAACCTTGGGAACTGGCTGAGTCTCACCAGTTCCCAAGGTTTTATTGTTGATTTTCTTAAGAATTGGCTGAGTCTCTGACAGACTCTGCATTGAGTTGCCAACTTGGACTCAGAACCTTAGCGATTCCCCGACCCATTTCCTTGGTTTAAAACACTGGCTGTGGTCATGCCCCTAGCATTTACCCACTTGCAGGGTCCCTTGTGCCATTCTTATTCTTCAATTTCCTGGTTATGCTCAGTTGTACTTTTCGTCTTAGTGAAGCTGTAGCATGGTCTGCAAGCTTTTACCCACTAAGTAGTCACACAATTTTCCCTATCTCCTCCTTAGGTGACACTTTCTTTTGAAACTTTTATACCTCCATGATGTTGTACTCACCTTCTACTATACACAGCATAAAAAAACTGCACATAGCGCAACCTCTTAAACAGTGTTATGGGATTCGGCTTGAATCATTTTCAGTTCTCATTCTCACATAGTAACCTCTGAAATATAAAATTTATTCAATTTTCATTAGTGGCTTGAATCATATTCGGTTTTCATTCTCTTTAGTTGATGGATAGAGACTATTTAGTGTTCGTGCATATTTTTGTGAATCAGTTGTGGTATTTTTAGCTTCAGTTATATAGAGGCCCATGTAAAAAGATCCTAGTGATAGTATTATCTTTTTTCTGTGTGTTGTTTTACTTTTGGGTGTTTCAACTGTGGGATTTGAAACTCGGTGTCGGTGTTGACATTTATCACCCTCATCATCAAGCAAGCTGGGTGATCAATTTCCAGACACTATCAACACATCTGAATTCCATATTTCTTCGTATCTCTCTTTTATTCAATTAATGAGTTGGGGTTGAATGTATCTTTTTGCCAAAGAAGCCGGTTACACAGTAGAAAATGCTATGATGCTTTATGTAAAAGAAATCTTTCTTTTATAATTGAAAAACATGCATCTATTATTGTAAAAGAGTTGCACATTCATCTATATATTGACAGGGGTGTGCTGTTCCTATGTAAAATCTGTTGCATATTTTACTAACTTCTAGCAGAGGAATGACAGACCTCAGCGGTCCCTTGTTGAGATCTGCCACGAGGGGCGCTGCTAACATACTGTAGGAAGCTGAATGATCCTATGCAAAGGTGAAGTCCAAAGTTAATCCATTTTCTTCGTGACAGCAACAATTTGTCAAGATGCACGACCATCTAAGGAAATTACACTCCAGTAACGTCATCCACCAAATAAAGTTAGGCGCCACAGGAATCCCAGGCTCTATATAAAAAACTAAATCACCTAAGAGATGCAAATGCGGACTAAAGAATAGAGTGAACAGCCGGTCCCCAGGGAACATACTATTCACCTACTTCATGTGGTGTTTGTGGAAATGTATACAATGAGAACATTTACTTTGATACAACCGAGTTGCAATCATCATTAAATTTGAGTGGTTGAAGATGTGGTGTTATTTGGATGTAAAGTCCAAAATAAAATTTATCGAAAGTTGACACATTTTCATCTGTTGGACCGGCTAAAAGTGATTGTGCCTTCCCCATATTAAAAATCATTTGTCTAAATACAAATGGTCTCATAGTGTACAATCCATTCGAGCATTTCATCAGTCCTGTTCCCTAGGCTGCAGTATAAATTTGGCAAGGTTCCCCCAAGTTCATCCCAAAAGTTCAAGCAAACAGGTCGAGTTTCTGATTATATCTATTCTACATTATTAAGCTAGAATTAAAGAGTGGACACATAGCTAAAATAAGAAGGGATATAAGAGTGGTAGGAGACATTCCACATGGAGAGCGTACACAAGGGAAGAGAGAGAGAGAGTTGTCAATCTTCTAAAATTAATGTATTTTTTATTTCTCTCTCTTTCCTAAATCTTTAGCCTCTCTCTCTTTAGTTCTATCTCTTTCCTAAGATTTCTAGCCCTCCATCTTTTTTAGTTTTGCTAATATGTCTTATTATTTGGAATAATTATCTTTTCCTTCCCTTTTTCCCATTTTTAGGCAAATTTTTTTAGGTGCCCCTAACCGAAATGAGGCACTCCTTAATGTCTCCCTCTCTATCCTTTTCTACAACCTTCCTTCTCTCTCTCCTCTCTTTTTTTCCGATCTCCCTCTTCAGAACTTCTCTATTTGTTTATTGCTACATCATTTTGTAATTTTTATTTATTGTTTTTTCGTTGGTGTTCAATTTATTGTAGACATCTGAGCATATCATGGGAAATTGAGCAAGAAGACAATAATAAAATATGTTTCAACCCTATCATGTGCTTTTTAAGTTATTGTTCGTCTATTTTCTTTGTTGTTTCCAATGTTAAGGTTTTTATTAGTATTAATAATCTTTAATAATAACATTCAAAAATAAAAAACATCGATAATTATATGTGTGATTCTAGAATCATTGTTATATTAATTTGTTATTTACTTCATTATGATTTGAGTGACTATATGTTTTAAGCTTTTCACGAATGATGATAAAAGCTTTAAATAAATAACATTATCATTGATATAAAACTCATCACTAAAAACTAAAATTTGTAAAAAATATTAGATTATGTATTTCTATGCTCATTAATTTCATTTATGACCATTCGAATTTTTAAAATATAAAATATAAATATTCTTTCACAAGCAATCATTTTTTTTGTGTTTTCCATGTCCCTCCTAATATTTATATTTAAAAAAATTTAATGATTTTCTTTTGTTGTGTGAATTTTTTTTTTTATGTTTTCTCCACTTAAATTTATACTACTAGTAACTATTTATTTTTTACATTTTGAAATTAGTCTTTAGATCGAAAAGGTTAAATTCCTGAATATTAGGGGAAAAAAGAAACAGTGATGGGAGGAGGTTTTCGACTTATGAAGCCTATACCTGCAGTTCGACAAATAAATAAAAAAGAGGTAAATTAAAAATAGGTGTGGTTTTCATAAGGTTCCAACCTTAAGCAATCCAAGTAAAGCGTACTTCCAAATTTCATCATAACAACTAATTTTAGAGTAAAATTCTTAGGATTATCAAAAAATCTATTTTCATATTTAATTATAAAAATTTTAAACTCCAAAAATGGTTAAAATCAAGTAGATCTATAAACATATGAAAATTTTGAAAATTGTCAATTTAGATAATGTTTTGTACGATACACTAATTATGAGACTCAATATATATATATGATACATTTCGTTGTCAAGATGATCAATTAAACAGTTTTTCAACAATAAAACAACATTTTACAATGGATTTTTGAAGTGCATCTTTACTTCTACATTTTCATGTTGTTACCTTTATATAAAGGTTTCCCCATTAAAATTGAGAAGCACAGATGCTCAACTCTTTTATGTATGTTTTTCTACTTTCTGTTTTTCTTTTTTCTTGTTTTTCCTTCAATCTACCCAAATAAAGCGATGCCTCAATTTTGATGCCTTTCATGTTGGCGCAAGATCAACCATTCTACATTTGTTGGTTAAGGATAAATTTTAACAAATCTCAAATAATTGTCAAGTTTTTTTTGGGTAATACATTTGTTGGTTAAGGATAAATTTTTAACAAATTCCCAAATTCAGCGGAATACAATTTTTTGTCTCTTGGGTAAGAAGAAACATTACAACTTTCGCATTAAAGAGAGAGAAAGGACATGATGGAACTGAACATTTTAAATTTTTTTTTTTTTTGGATAATTCAATGGAGAAAACCTGGCGAAATACTTTAAAGTAGTTTTTTTTTTTTTTCTTTTTTTTGAAGGTGCAAAAAATGGCGTCAAATGAAAACCACGTGGCGATTGAGGTATGAGGTGCCAATTCGAGAAAGAAAGTGCAACCAATGAATGGGGGGTGACGCAAGAGCACATTATCCAGAAAAGGAGACGAGTTATGCATATAAGACAAATGATAAAACAGAAGGAAATACAAATTATGGAAGAGCAATGTACAAGAGATAAATAAATGGAAACCGGTCTTTCAAAACCCCGCAATCCGCACCAAAAGATCAAACTGGTTCAAGGCATAAGCAGCCAGCACTTCCCCCACACAATTCTAACCGATTTAGATGACAATCCAAATATGTGAGATTGACAACCCATCCAACCAATTCAGTTTTGAAACACTAACGAAAACGACATACAAGTAGGGTGGTTATGAATATCATTAACCATATATAGAACCGAGCCTCTAAACAAGAACCTAGGTTGTTTTGATGGCCAAATATCCTCAAACTGATCATCTCGACCTCAAGTTGCATTGATATGAACAAAAAATGGATTACAAGTTTTAAAAATAATATATCTTGTAACGCATTTTTTACAATCAATTTTCAAAAAATTTCAAGTTTTTATAGATCTATCGATCTACACTATTTTTTAAGCTTTAAACTTTATAAATAGAGATAAAAAATATATTTTAAAGCTATCACAAGGATTTCCAATATTAAAAGTGCATTTCTCGACACTATTTGATGGTAGGCTCTAATTCGATTATTTAGAGCCTAAGCTCTATACAAACAGTTAACTAAACTCAAATTTAAAAAACTATCAAAACACACCCAAACCCTCTAATTGGACATCTTGCCAACTTCGTGTAATTAAAGTAAATGATCGCATATTATATAATCCTATAACAATGAGGATCGCATATTGGAGAGTAGATGGGTAGAAATGTTTTCTCGCCTCCCCTCACTCTCAATATAAACTCTATAACATTTGCATGACATGGCCTAGTATTAACGAAAAAACAGTGCGTATAGAAGAAATTTATTTTTTAGGTACTACATAAATTTATTTTTGAAGAAATTTGGAAAGATTTAACTTCGGAACATAAAAAAAGTAAAAAACTCAAAGGTCAGAATAAATACAATCAAAATTTTGGGTTTTTTTTTTTACAATAACAATGATTAAAGCGTTACATGCACAAATTTCTTCTAACATTCCAAAAGAGATCCATGGATATTATAAAGAAGTCTTAATAAATGGATATGACGAAAAAGTCTAAGTAATATATTTTCTAACACATTATCTAAATTCCAAACCAAATATTATTTTGATGTTAATTTAACCTCATTTTTAGTTTTAAATTTGTTTACAAATCCAATAAACAGAGCACACCCAAGAAGAACACTACCGAAAGTAGTTCAAAAAGAAATCTGATAAAATGTCCGAAGGTATTTTTTATCCATTTTTATTTAAATTATTATTAAATATTTCTATGAAGGTTCACACCTCATATACCATAAAATAAATAAGTAAGATTCCGAAGTCTTCTCCCGAATCGGCCGAAACTCCGAATTGCTTCGTTTTTCTCACCAAACCGAAGAAGACTCCGACGCGAATAACATTGCTCTAGAGCAATCGGTAATATGAGGCCAATGCTCCTCTTCTCGGCATTCTGCATCATCCTACAGAAAACCACAGTCAATCATATCCTCCAGAAATAGCCATTCACAGAAACTGTGTAAATATATTTGTATATTAATCAGACCATTGCTCTTCAACAAACAGGCCAAGGATCCTGATTTATCTTCCAACTTCACTGCAAATGTCTCCTTCGCCAAACTGCAAGCTTTGGTAATGGAGCTCAATGCTTTGAACCTTCAAAAAGAGAGAACCCCAAACACCACTCACAAAAAATTATAAACATGGTGAACTCCTATCCATGGTACTGAATTCAATCAAATATAAACTCCAAAACCCAACATAGAAAAGGACTAATTTCTCCAATATCATCTGCCAAGACCAATAAGCTGAGCTTCTTAAACTGACTAATATGCAAAACAAAGAATCAGAAGGAATAACTTTCCAAGCAAAGCTCCCCAATTACATCATCAAAGTCATATAAACTAAGCATCTTAAAACTGTAATTACAAAAAAAATGTGCTAACACAAGCATCATATAGGAAGGCAAGAGAGAAGAGGAAGAAGTACCAAGATTCATGGCTAATAAGCATAACATGAGAGAGAGAGAGAGAGAAGACGAAGAAGGAAGTGGGCTCAGCTCTGCAAAATACAGAACTGCAAATTAATAAGCATAATATGAGAGACAGAGAAAAGGAGATGCAGTGGGCTCAGCTCTACAAAATACAGAATAAGCATTGACTGATAACACCATTCATTAGTTGATGAACATGATTGCAAATTGTCTGAGTCTTTAGCTACACAAGATTGCAGATTGTCCAGTTTTGAAGCTCAATACTATGAAGTTTGAAGCATCAAAAACATGTCAAGAAACAAGAAAGCAACGATAACAAAAAGATCAAGAAAGAAATAAACTAGACCTAACAGTCTCTACATTCTTACTTCATTACATCCCCAGAATTAACCAACTAAAACTGCTTAAAAGATTAAGAAGACCAAGAACAGAGAAAGAAGAATTCAGAGAGAGAAAACGAGACCCCCAGGAACCAGAAAGAGTCACGAATTCGCACAAGAAAGGCTAAAAGATTCCATAACCATCTGTACAGAAACTTACAGGGCTCCATCCACTGCTATCCCATAACCTCTCTCTCTCTCTCCACCCCATCACCTCTTTCTCAATCTATCCCATCACCCGCATGCACATGAGGCCTCCCCGTCGCCTTCATCCCCAACACTCTTCTCTGAGCAAACATCGCCAGCTGCTTCATTATCAGAGCCATTACCACCCATTCTAGCCCCCATATTACCAGTCTCCAACACCTGAAGCCTCCTCCTCAAATCACCAAGCTCTTGCTCCATTAAAAACAACCTTTCCTTCAATGTCAAATTCTCTTCTTCAAGCTGCGCAATATGGGTATCTTGGTCATCAACCCTGTTCTCTAAGAGGTTTGATTGTTCAGGCCTAGGTGAACCAGAAGGGTAAATCATCTCAAATCGACTCAAATCATGGTCAAGCCTCCTCTCCACCTCTACATGTTCTTCTACATCGCTGCTCTCACTCTCGCTTGATTCATCAGGGCTATTTGGGTGCTCAAATCCTGGCGACCTAAGCCTGATCAGGCCTTTCATGGAGCCATAGCCATTGACCCCCAATTCCTCTTTGGCCATGTCAATTACGCCCTCTCTAGATGGGGAAAAGACAGGTGTGGGTAAAATTGCGGGGGTTACAGGGCACGGAGAAACCAATGAAGCGATTCCACCGGATTTCTTTGCTCGAATGATGAAAGAGGTTGTGTTTCTAGGGGCATAAGGAGCAACCCGGTTGTGGTATTTGTTCCGTTTATGGTAAAATCGACGAGATTTGAGCCTGTTCTGGGCTTGGAGATCTTTAAGAGCAGGGGGTTGGTAAGTGTTCAAGTTCCCTGGCGCTGTACTGGCCGCCATTTCACTCGCTTTTCGCCGGTATTTATCAGCTTTCTTCGCCTTCCAATTGGTTCGATTGGGTTTCAAAGAGAAGGAGCCCTCTTCTTGGGATGCCATGAAAGCACCAGAGGTGCCAGGGTTCCAGTTCCTGTAACTTCTCATCTTCTGATGAGGCTGGTCCATCACCATACAAAATGCAAAGAAAATAAAGGGGAAAAAGGGGAATTAAATAATACAAGGGGAATATATGATCAGGAAGGGATGAATTGATGAAATTAGGGTTATGGAGGTCGAAACAGTAGGGGAGATTCACGAAAACAAACTCTACAGCTAGGGTTTTCCTTAACAGAAAAGGGACAGAATAAAAGATTAAAGGTCAAAGAGGAAAAGGACAGGAAGAAATCCGTCTCTCCCCCCCTAAAAAACCCTAGGGCCTGAAAACTTTAAACCAGGAGAAAGATCCGTTGCACAGTAAAACACCGTCTTTCCCTCTCTAAAAAAACCCAGTCCTCCCTTCTCTATAAAAAGCCCACAATGACAATTTCTAGGTCTCGAACAGAGATCTATTGTTACACAGTAAAACACCGTCTTTCTCTCTCTAAAAAACCACACAATCACAATTTCGAGGTCTAAAAAACAGGATCAACAGATCTGTCGCGAAAGAAATTAGAAAGGCACAACGGATCTTTCTCTCTGTTTCTCTCTCTAAACGAAATAAGAATTGAACAAAGAAATAGAGAAAGTTTGTGCCAATAAACCTAGTGTTCAAATCAAAACAAAGAAATCAAAGAACAGGGACTTTGTTGCAGAGTTAAACTCCTCCTTTCTCTCTCTAACCCCTTCGTTCTCTCTCTCTCTCTACAATAACCGTCCTTTATCTCCTTCGTGAGCTCTCGCACTTTCTTTCTTGACCAAGAATCGGCTGGCAGAAGGACGGACGCCTGAGGGCCTTTTATAGAAGCAGAGACGGAAAGAAACGGCTGGATTTCTTTCGGACATTTCAACGGCTGTGATGAAAAGCATTGTTTCGTCCGCGGACCTTTGGGTTGCTCTGTGGTTTCTTTGCGTGCCTCGACAAAAGTACTAAAATACCCCTTTCAAACTAAGGTATTATCTAATCGGGAATTCTTCTTTGATATCTCTTGTAATTCGACAATGTCCTCTTTACGTCTTTTGTGTGTGTGGTGTTTTTTTTTTTCTTTTCTTTTTCTTATTGAATTTTTATTTTTGGGTAGTCAAGGAATCGAATTTGAGAAATGGGATTGCTGAGTATCAAGCAAGAACCCAATTCCAAGAATTTGAATCCTTTTTTATTAAGAGGTGAGCTTAACTTCTTGTAAATAAACCAATTCGGAAGTTGAAGTTTTATGCCACTTGTTCACATCAAAAATAAAAAGAAGCCAATTTGGGATTTAGAGTTGTGAACTAGCAACTTTCTTTTTCTTCTTTCTTTTCTTTTTTTTTTTTTTTATAATATTGAGAATTGACAGTCTAGATAATATATTATAAGACGTATCATTTTTTTGTACTGTCAATATTTTTTCATTTCACATTTGTATCTGTTGAGGTTGAATTGGTCAATTACACTATCAAAACAACCTTTTTCCATGGATATTTTGTGTGTGCTTTTTTCTACAATTTAAAGCTACAATCTTATATAAACCTTTTTTTTAGTACCCGAAAGAACCTAGAACTAATTTTGGAACATCAAAATGAAGACTAACCCTAGTAAAAAAAATTCCAAATTGAACTTCCTAGTACTATGAAGATTGAATGGATACTGTCCACATTTTTTAAGTTCAGGATCTTAAAGTCAAACAACTTAAAATTGAAAAAAGAAATCTAAAAATAATCATCTTTTGGTTATTAAGCATTCTCTAAATTTTAAATTTTAATTTTTTTTCTGCAAATAGGCTTCTTTTTTTTTAAGTAAATAAGCGTTTCTAGTGCAGGAGTAGCATGCTCGCGTAGGCCCATAATACATACGTCCGATTAAGTAAAGTTTGTTAAGCTCCGAATTGGTTGGGTTGAGAATACTTTATTTGAAATTTCAAATTTGGCACTAATATTTTGACCAAAAAAAAAAAAGTCTCAATTTGAAAACTTGGATATCCAAAGTCCAAGCCCGAGTTTAATTGGTTAGCGCTTGACGATTTACAGCGCTATGTCCTAGACTTTTTAAGGGTGTAGTTTATAAGGCACTAATCTTAAACAATCCAAGTAAAGTGTGTCTCTCAATTATGTTATAAGATATAGTTTTACTACTGTAGAACTTCGTGATAAAAAATTTGCTTTCATCCTTAATCATGAAATTTAAGCTCTAAAAAAGTGGAGATTGAGTAAATCTATAAATACTTGAAAATCTTGAAAATTGACGGTCTACATAATGCATTGCAAAATACACTATTTTTAAGATTTGAAGTTATTTCTTTTTATATCCATACATTTTGAAGTCAAGATGATCCATTTGAGGTTTTTACAATGTCATAATAATTTATTTTATGGGTTTTTGTGATGCGCTTTACTTTTATAGGATAAGATTGACACCTTATAATTGATATAAAACTTTTCCTGTTAAAAAAAATAAAAAACAAATATAAAAGAGGATAATATAAAAACCAATGGAGAACCCTCTGATCTTTGTTTGTTTGCCTGCAAGGGATATTCTCATAAATTTCCTTTTCTAATTTAACTTTAAAAATGAAATGTCCCTTTTTTTAATATATTTTGTTAGAAAATAAGTCCGCTTGTAATAATTAATGAAATTTTTAGATACGCTTGAGGACCTAATTTCTATAATATTTTTTAAACCATATTATTAACCCCCACTACAATTGATTTGTGCACCTTCGTCAAATGAAAACTAATTTTTTTGGATCTAAAATACCCCCTATTGCTCACACCTCCTTTATTATCCCTATTGAAGTCACTCTTACGCATTGTGCCAGACCAACTCAATTTTTCCTTAAAAAATCTGATGAGCCAAAAACATGAGTTTAGGGGTTAATTTTGTACTTCAAATAGACGTAATAAAAAAGTATTAGGGTTAATATTGAGATTAAAAAGGTACCGGGGGTGAACATGTGTATGTAGTGTGTTCAACATAGAGTTATAATTTCACATTATTTCGTCTTTTTTCAAAGGGAAAAGTTTATATGGAGTCAAGGCTCTAAACAATCAAATTTGAACCTACCTCCAAAATTTGTATGCTTAAATATCTTTAAATTGATCATCTCGACATCAAAAAACATAGACATGAGAAAAAAATGGATTTCACGCATTGTGCCAGACCAACTCGATTTTTTCCTTAAAAAATATGATGAGCCAAAAACATGAGTTTAGGGGTTAATTATATACTTCGGATAGATGTAATAAAAAAGTATTAGGGTTAATATTGAGATTAAAAAGGTACCGAGGGTGAACATGTGTATGTAGTGGGTTCCACGGAGAGTTATAATTTCACATTATTTCTATCTTTTTTCAAAGGGAAAAGTTTATATAGAGTCGAGACTCTAAACAATCAAATTTGAACCTACCTCCAAAATTTCACTAGAAGAGGTTGTTTTGATGCTCAAATATCTTCAAAATGATCATCTCAACATCAATAAATATGTACATGAGAAAAAAAAATGGATTTCACACCAACTCGATTTTTTCCTTAAAAAAATATGAAGAGCCAAAAACATGAGTTTAGGGGTTAATTTTGTACTTCGGATAGATGTAATAAAAAAGTATTAAGGGTTAATTTTGAGATTAAAAAGGTACCAGGGGTGAACATGTCGATGTAGTGGTTTCCACGGAGATTTATAATTTCACATTATTTCGTATTTTTTTAAAGGGAAAAGTTTATATAGAGCCGAGGCTCTAAACAATCAAATTTGATCCTATCTTAAAAATTTTACTAGGCAAGGTTATTTTGATGCTCAAATATCTTCAAATTGATCATTTGGACATCAAGAAACATGAACATGACAAAAAAAATGGATTTCAAGTTTTAGAAATAGTGTATTTTGTAACATATTTTTGGATCGTCAATTTTCAAGTTTTCATAGATCTGTCGATCTACACTATTTTTGAAGCTGTAAACTTTATAAATAAATATAAAAATATATTTTAAGCTTCTAACGAATGTTTCTAATATTGAAACCACATTTGTTGATACCATTTGAAGACAGGCTCTAATTTGATTGTTTAGAGCCTAGGCTCTGTACAAACAGCGATCTTCCTCAAATGATGGAGGCATAAATGTATATTTGATGTGAAAACAAAAGGGCAAATCCATCGTTCTCATGAACATAGGTGGGTGAGGTGTACAAAGGCATCTTTCACGTGAATTAAGGCCTAATTCTCGAACCCACATTTTTTGTGATCCAATTTTGACCGTCCGTTTGCTGCGGTTGAAAAAATAAAGAGGCAACAATTAAGTGACTATGTTTCCATAAAAAAGAAAAAAGTGATATTGGGTTAATAAAGGTTAAGATCTTGAAATACACACAATGAATGGACTAGATTTGCTTTTGAGATGGACTCATTTTGACCATATATAGGGTTCAAATTGAACTTTTTTTTTAGAGAGGGGAGGGATTGATTATTGAGATGAAGAGAGTGTGTGTGCAAAATTTGAGGTCATACAAATACCACAAAGATGGTTTTCTAGAAGTGCCATTGCATTACCTACTATAGAGCAATAATCTAATGCAACGTTGGTATCATAGTATAATGCAACGACACTTCTAGAAAACCATGTTTGTGGTACTTGTATGACCCCAAATTTTACATATACACTATCTTCATCTCAATAATCAATCATAAAAAAAATAATTCAATTTGAACTCTAGATATGGCCAAAATGAGTCCCCTCCAAAAACGAATATTGACTATTCATTTTGTGAATTTCAAGATCTTAGCCTTTATAAACTCAAAATCTTTTTTAAATTTTGTGATATTGTTCATCTAAAGATAATAAAACCATCCAAAAAAATTGGAAATAAAAAAATCATTCTAAGGCCTAAATCTAAGCATCTTACCAAAATGAATGGCCTATGTTAATTTGGGCTAAAAAAATACTTTATAGGTTGTGTTTTCAAATTTATTTTTTTGTGATTGTTCATTAGAATGAAAAGATCGTATGTTTCAAAATTTGGATCCAACAAATGGCCATAAGATGTTTTTTAAGGTTGTTGCATCATATTACTATACAACGATTGCATAAAATTATTGTCCCTATACTATGGGCTAATACAACTGATGTATTAGATCGTTGCTCTATAAATATATATTAATATAATAAAAAATTAAAAACTAATTTTTTATTTTAAAAGACAATATCCTTCCACCGAAGCTTCATCTGAAGATTTTGAAACAGACATAAGCACATAATTGTATTCAAGTTTGTGCTTCAATGGAAGAGGCTGAATCGGCCTGAAGCATGCCGAAACTAATGCACTGGAGCTTCGCTTCGGTCAAAGCCAAAAATCCGTGGATTTCGGCCAAAACTAAGCAAATTTGATAAGATTTATTCTATCTCTAATTTTGGCAGAGAAAGTGCATTGTTTCCCAGGTTCGTAAAACTCATACTATACCCGTGCCCCGTCTCACTTTCTCATGATCGACGTCCCTCTCTCTGTGCTTTGTCTCTGTCTTTGAAGTTTGTTGTGTGCGGATGATGAACTCGAGGATGTGGTGCTGTACTAGTTCGAACCTAGGAAATTTGAAACTTACATAAGGCTCAAGAAGAGTTTATTTATTAAGGATTATTTACAATAAAGTATATAATTTTTTAATTCTTAATCAAAATTTTAGATTGTCCAAAATAATTGATCTTTTTTTTATGTTTTGGATAGGTTCAAATGTCCAACTTTCAAACCGGTCGAACTTTTAGTTTTTTTTGTGCTATGGGCAGTTCGAAAGTTCAACTTTCATACACTTACGCACTCAAAATTTTTTTTTGAGGGTTTCAAAAGTTTAGTTTTTTTACCATCTGAATAGTTTGTATGTATGTGTTTTGCATCGTTACAAAATTAGACTTTTAAATAGGGGGTAAATGAAAATTTTAAAAAGATCTAACCTTACACTGCCTGAAATATTAACTATTTTTTAGTTCCATATTTATTTTGGGAATTTATTTCATGTGGTATTTCTCCATTTGCGGTCCCTGAGATATAAAGTATCCATCTTAAAAATGGATGCATACACGTGGTCCATCTAAAAATAAGTGGAACTAACGGTTTAAATGTTTTTTTAATAAAATTATTATTTTAAATATTCATAATTTATTTGTTTTTTCGGATTCATGAGCTCCATGTTAGAGATTACATGTCCTTAAAAATTAAGTCCGAATATCCATCTCAAAACTAGATTTTTAAGAGATGATTCATTTCTACATAGACTCATAGAAACCGTGTTCTTTTTCTTTTTTTTTTTCGGTCTTTACATAAATTCTCTCAAAACTATTCAAATCCGAAAAGAATTATACCCCTGCTCCTACATCTAGCAGCAGTCGAAATTATCTATTTTAACATGAGTGTGCAACTTTCTCGAGTAGAAGGCTCATCAAGGGAATTTTTTTGGATGTGAGACTTTGGTATCCACTTGCCAATCACTATAGATATTATTTCTACAAAGATTAAATTTGAATTTCTAAAAAATAAATCCCACAGTTCAGAAATTTGACTGACAAAGTTCAAAGTTCAATACTGGAAAAAAAAAAAATATTTTTCGACACTTGTGGGATAAGTATGATTTTCTTTCTTTCAAAGGTGGTAGCTTAGGTGAGAATGTGACATTCTCAAAATTTGAGTTCTCATAGTACTGCTAAATATTGATACGTGACTCGCCCGACTCGGCTGGTAACTCGGTCAGCAGAGTTGTGTATACAATTTGGGGTATATAAAAAATTTTCACAAAAATTGTAAAAAATATGTGTGTGTTGTATATATATTTTGTATATGATTTAGATGGTTTTGGCATAAATTAGTTCTACTCTTATATTTTGCTATCCTTTGGAAATATCTCCAAATATAAAATTAATTTTTTTTTAAATCTATTTTCTATTCTTTTTTAAGAGTGACTTTGGTTTTATTTTACTTTTAATACCTTTATTTTATTTTACATATCTGATATGTTTTTTGATAATTTTTCTAGTTTTTTTTATGAATTTTTGTAGCACTTTTTGGCCATGTACAGAGCTCGACCAAGTCCATCCGGAGGAACTTGTCTTAGCCAAGGGTCAAAGTCCCTCAGTGATTTTCTAAAAACTGCTGCTAAACTGAATGAGTGCTGGCATGATCCTCGCAAGAGCATCTAATATTTTGGGTTTCAAAAAAAATATTGCCTCTTTGGAAGTCAAAGGATAATGGCAAAATATACATTTATTCTAGGGGTGTGGTTTGTATAAGGTTGAGACTCTAAACAATCAAAGTAAGACACCTTTAAATAGCATGAAAAGATGCCCTTTCAGTACTGAAAACGTTTGTGATGGTCTAAAAAATCATTTTCATATCTAATTATAAAATTCAAAGCTTAAAAAATAGTGTAGATCGGATAGATCTATGAATATTTGAAATATTTGAAAATTAATAGGCTATAAAGTGCATTACAATCTCTTCTAATGCTTGAAATATTTTTTTTCTTATTTCCATACATCTTGATGTCGAGATGATTGATTTGAGGATTTTTGGGCATCGAAACAACCTCTTCTAATGATTTTTTGATGTACACCTTAACTTGATTGTTTAGGGCCTCATCGTTATATAAACTTTTTTCCTTGTTTTGTGCACAAACAACCCATCCTATAATAGCACCCAAAAGGGCCACAACAGACATTATCCCTGGCTTGAGATGCCACACAAGGTTTGGGGCAAGGTTTTAAAAGATGGATCAATGGGGTGGATCGCTACCCCCATTCCAATATGGCCCACCCGAAAAACATATATAGATTTGTTTATGGGAAAGTGGTTTGGTAGGATCGCAGACCCATTGAAATAAGTAAATCTTCACACCTCATAACTCACCTAAAATTACAAGTCAAGTATTAGAAAATCTTTACATTGATCATCTCGATTTGAACATTATGGTTGTGAAAAAAAAAAGGATTTCAAGCTCTAAAAACAATATATATCGTCATAAATTATTTAGACGGCCCATTTTGCATTCAAAATAAGTGTTCAATAATCAGCAAGATCTGTACCATTTTTTAAGTTCCAAGTTTTATTGTTATTGTTGGAAATTGATATTAGAGCCATCATAGATATTTTCGTCATCGAAAAGTACTTTTCGGACAAGGATTTGAGGAGAGGCTTTATTTTGTTTTCATAAAGCCTAGGTCTTATAGAAACCTCATCCATAGGAAAACGTTTATATAGAGTCGAGACTCGAAACAATCAAATTGGAGCCCACCTTAAAAATTTCACTAGAAGAGGTTGTTTTAATGCCAAATATCCTCAATTTGATCGTCTCACCATCAAGATGCATGGACACGAATATATTTCAAGTTTTGGAAACAGTGCATCTTGTAACGCATATATAGTCCGTCCATTTTTAAGATTTTCAAGTTTTCAACGATATGCTTGATCTACACTATTTTTTAAGCTTTGAAATTTATAATTAAAGACAAAAACATATTTTAAGGCTACCACAAAAATTTTCAATATTTAAATCACATTTATCGACACTATTGGTGTGCGCTTTCCTTTGATTGTTTAGAGCCTCGACTCTATACAAACAGCACACACACACACACATATATATAGTAATGATCTAATGCAACGGTGTATCATAGTATAATGCAATGACACTTCTACAAAATCATGTTTGCGATATATTTATGACCTTAAATTTTGCACACACACACTCTTCATCTCAATAATCAATCTCCCAAAAAAAAAAAAAAGTTCAATTTGAACCCTAGATATGGTCAAAATGAGTCCCCTTATACAATCTTATCATTCTAATGAACAATCACAAAAAAGGAAAATTTGAAAACACAACCTATAAAGTATTTTTTTAGCCCAATTAACATAGGTCGTTCATTTTGGTGAGATGCTTAGATCTAGGCCTTAGAAGGATTTTTTCATTTTCAATTTTTTTGGATGGCTTTATTATCATGTATTCCCTAAAATATAAGATATCAAAACAATCGTATATATCAAAATAATAAGTAGAGTTAGGAGAATAGTAACCTAATGAAATATCTTTTTTTTTTTCTTTAAATCCAGAGCTTCCTTGTATATAGCAAGAAAGAGAGATTCAATGATACTAAATATTTAGGCAGCTATGAATTCCATGTGGGATTCAAATTTGCTTAAGCATTATGTTGCTATGCATAGAGAAGTTTGATTTTTATTTTTATTTTTACAGTTATTTTTTATTTTATTATTTTATTGGTATATACAATATTGCATTTTGGATAGACCATTATTTTACATATTTATGTATTTGTGTTTTGTTTTAGTTGCCTACAATCCTATATTGAGGAATTTTTTTATTTTTTTCTTTGAATAATGATCATATATTTTGGTTTATAGTTCTTGCTATTTACTAATGTAGTCCTTATATTTGGACTTATTCTTGTTATTTCATTTTATGCTCCCAATAGAGCTATGATATGTTTTGCATCGTGATAGTAGAGTTAGCACTGTTATTGAATTTATTTATTACTCTCACGACACTAGGTAAGACTATAAAATTATTGTTGAATAGCTTTAACGTATCTATATAATAATAGCAAATCATAATCCTATAATACATCATCTTTATATATCCGATTTTTTCCCTCCGTTTTTTTAGCCAAATCCAAAATATTAATGATTCTATAACTTACCTTAGTTTTTGACGAAATGCATTTTTTACCTGAATTTTTTCTCTAACCTTTTGAAATAAAACCGATTTATTTATGATGTTTTGGTTATTAGTCCCCGACTTGTTAACTATATCTATTAGTAATGCATAACAACGAGGGGTCTTTTTAGGGATATGTTTTTATCATTTTATATACGCAAAGCATTTAGGTGAAGAATTAAAATATTACGTCTAATTAGTTTGTATTACAAATACTAAACATAAAGTTCCTTATTTATAATTTAGAACGAGAACCCGTATTTTTGTCATTTGGGTGAGGCCTCTTTCGGATTCCAAATAGTAAGCAAAGATCATTTGGACAATTTTTTTAAAAAATTGAGAATGTATTCCGTGGTCTCATAAAACCCGTGTCCTTTATGATATTTTTCAAACATTTCTTCTACCTCTTCAAGCTTATGTTTATGTATACTTTTAAGGAAAATGATATGATAAGCTTATGTTTATGTATACTTTTAAGGAAAATGATATGATAGAGCTGCAATCCTATCAAAATAAGTAAAGCATCACCTTATAACTCATCGAAATTTGTAATTCAAGTATTGAAAAACTTTTACATGGATCATCTTTCTTTGAACATTACGGTTTTGAAAAATTTTGAGGATTTCAAGCTTTAAAAATAACATATATTGTAATAAGTTAGGTATACCGTCTATTTTACGGTAGAAATAAGTATTCATAGGTATGTAAAATATTTACTAATTTTATAGTTTCAAAATTCATGTTCTTTTGAAAATTTGATTTTAGAGGCACGGAGATTTTTATTGCCAAAAGTACGTTGTTTGAGGCCGGGCTTTATTTTGTTTTATTAATAAAGCCTAGGCTCTATAGCCTAATCCATATTTAAAGGTTTTTCTAAATTCAAGTAAAATACAAGTGAATATTAAAAAGAGAAGGTCTCGTGTGCAATTTGGTAAATTTCGATCGATTTTTTAGGTGCAGTAAACTTAAAAGTGGAGAGAGAGAGTATTCCACTTTGCTCCCCATGTTGCAGAGATGGAGGAGAGGGTTCCATAGCCAGCCTTGATGTTGTAGTGAGTTTTAGAGAGAGAAAGTTCCCATTTCGAGCAATGATTTATAGCGAGTTTTAGAGAGAGAGAGAGAGAGGGGGGAGAGAGCCATGATGAACGGTGTCCTGAAATCCAGAGTCTTCAACCGTTATGATAACCTCACCCCCTCTGTGGCCCACGGAACGGCCCTCTTTCATTCCAGTGCGGCTTCAGAGAGGAGGAGGAGGACGCAATGGGATTTTGTGAGTTTTCCATCGTTTTCCTCTTCCTCTTTCCATTTTTTCCTGGTACTCTCTTTCAATTTGTGGATTCTGTGACTGGTTAAAGCATAAAGGTGATATCTTGTTCCCACAAAAATTGGGTTTTGATGTTTTTTTCTTTGTTTTTCCCTGTTCTTTTTTTGTGGGTTATATTTGTCTGCATTTATATGGGTTTTTTGTGGAATATGTTCTGTAAATTTAGTTGAAATCTCTGGATAATATGTGATTTTGTTTTCATTTGTTCTGTACATAAGGGGGAAATTCGAAGCGTGAGATTTTTATGTGCACCATCTTTAATGCTTTTAGCTCATTGAAAATGGTCGTAGTGTATTGATTGGGCATGTTATAATCTTGTATCAATTTGTATTGTACTTAAACATGTACTGTAGTGTAATTAAAGCATTAAACATGTTATATCTTCGTGAATCTTCTGAATTCTAGGTTTGTGTGTTTGTTATTGATATCTTACGTTGGAAAATGCTTTTTTATTTATTTCTTCCACACCCTGGAGGCATTACTGAAGAAGTCAGATATTACTGAAGTAATGCAGTGCTATCAACGTATCACAACACAATTTATATTTGAATTCAAGGAAGAATCGCTTCCCATACGAAGAATCGCTTCCCATACGAAGAAGTGTTTAAGAATTTATAATGTGTTTTACTGCTGGTCCTTTTAACATACAATTATCCTCTGCTAGATCATTTGGAGTTTTTCATGATCTTGTAATCTGTAGAGTATAAAACATCCTATGTAATTGTTAAATGATGAATTCAATTTAAGTGCTTTGATTCACTAAGTTTGGAATTATGATATTTATCAAAAAACAGTTTGGAATTATGATAGACGAGTTTGATGCTTTGATTTCTGTTTTCTTTTCATAACTTTGTTACTCTTTTCCAGGACTTTGGTGCTGCTAGAGATTCCAATAAGGTAGAACTTCGAGAAACTGTTAACCATTATCCCGTGTGTTACTTTAAGTCATGCTTCCTTTGATGAAATGAATCCTAAACTACAAGATAATTACGGTGACCTTTATGTTCTTACTGTGTGGAAGCTGAAAACAGGTGTAATTAGAACTGTACTGTTCCCAATTTCGAGGATGCTATTGGCTATTTAAGATAGTTAAAGAATCAATAGAAAAACAGTAATCTACAAAAAATGGTTTTATCAGTTTTGGGAAAAAGGTACAAAATCCTACATATAGAAACTTTTACATAAAAATATCACGCTTTATGAGGTGATGTGAAGCCTAATATGTTATTTTAGAAAAGGTTCAATCGCTATATTGCCCATACCAATAAAGTGCAGCTAAGAATATCTCATAGCATTGCCTGATTAGACAAAACAAAAGAGTATGTCATGTATTTCCTTTTCGACTTTGATTCTTTGTACCAACTTGGAAATTTTCAGTCTGAAGAGCCCAGTCTTGTCCTCTCTTCTCCTTTTCTGATGGGGACAAACTATGCATGTTTCATTTTTTGGAGATATTATCAAATATTCCACCTTGAAAAAAGTGAGAATAAGCGATCACTTAATTTTGTTGAAATAGCGAAAAACTGTCATTACCCTTGTGAACCTAGCTCTGCCTTGTTCCCTCCCTCCCTTCTCTGTTTTGGGGAGAGGGTAGGAGGCAAGCATGATGGCAGTTTTCACTGCTTTGTAGTCAAGTGGCATTTTATCCAAAAATATAAATAAAAAATAAAAGCAGCATGTTGGTTTTTTCTATTTAGTCATATTTTCTAATTCCACCAACCCCACCCCCCCCTTTCTTCTCCATTCAAAAATGAATGCGGTAAGATTGTCAAACAAACAATGCAAATATTCTTTCTCCCCCACCCCCACCCCCACCCAAAAAAAAAAAAATGCTGTTCCCTCTTCACAAAAAAGTACAGTTCTCATTGTTATCTATATTTCTGAGTGGCAGCTCAAGAGTTCTGTATGGAGTGGCATTCTTTCTTTGACCAGTGAGTTATCAAAATATTTGTTTAGCTGAAAGTAAGTGAAAACTAAGAGCATTCTACACTGAGCACAACTCTTGGGGTGATTTTTGACATCATGCTCTAGTGTGTATTAAAGTTCTTTGTTCTTTTTATCCTTTACATATTAAAGGTCCTCATTATTTGTTTCACTTTAAGAAAATGGATTGTATACACTATCATACTACAACTACTTTGAAAGTGACGCTTGTTCCTCTTTCTTACTCCCCCTCTTTCTCTTATTGCCGGTTCCTTTCTGTTTTCTGTTTTGTAATTACTTTGCCTCGGATTTTGTCCTTGTAGAGATTCAACAGTTACACAAACAGATTCCGAAGGATGGAAGGGAAAAAGACATTGCTGAGGAATGTTGCTGCATTTGCAGATCATCTATTCCAGGTTTGGATTTTATCGAATTTCTGGCCTCAATTTTTTTTATAAAAGATGGTTGCTGGCATTTTCCTTTCCTCTTGGATCATTGACTTTCACTAGGTTTTGGTAAATCTTATTCTAGGGAGAGATTTCTTTTTCAATCAAAATTCTTATATTTCTAATAAATTATCAATGAAGATATTTATTAGGAAGAGATAGAGAGTGAATTGGATCAGAAGGTATGCCCTTAGACCCCATTTTGTAGAGCACACCTCAGTAGGTACCTACACTAAAGTCTCTATCTCCTTAACTGTGCCTTAATATCTATAGAACAGATAGGTCTAAAAAATAAAGTAAATAAATAAATAAATAAATAAATATATATATATATATATATATATATAGAACAGATAGCTAATACTATGAAACACAAGCATGCATGCGCACACATACACAAGCATGCATGTGCGCACACATACACACAAACATGCATACATCTGTGTGTGTTTGTGTGTAGTACTTCAGCACTGTTTGTGTTCTGCATGTATAGTTAAGGAATGTTTGATTCATTAGGAAAGTACATGCGCAAAGGGGTACAAATTACTTAGTAGAATATGTGCGCAAACTTGCATGCCACTGTATATAGAACATACTTCTATTCTCTAAAATAAATTTCATGTTCTGAACTACTGATAGCCTGAAAGTAGTTATTCTTATAATCATCTCGCATTATGTATCAGAGCTGGCGATTGGGTGATGAAGAGAATGATCATTCAGAGTCTCGCAAGGGCACCTCATGGGCATATGGAAGTGCATATGGTGGAAAGAGAACCAGGCAAAGCACTTCTGGCTCACAGGAATCTCCTTGGGGAAGTTACAGGAGGAAAAGTAAGGAATTTATATGAATTTTTTTCTAATCCCAAATTTCTAATTACCTAAGAAAGAACTTTCTATATCTCGAGTTTTGAAAATTAGAGTTATTGCCATTGGCTATTAAGTTTTTTCAGCATGAGAATCGTATCGTGTGCGCATCTTTCATTTTCTTGGGAATCTTGGCATCATGATGTTTGGAGAAACCTGTAAGAAGGTATATAAATTGAATAATTATAAAAGAAGAAAGAGAGCGTGAGTGACAATGTTGTGCTCCCAGTGATGTATAAGCTACAGAGAAATAATTGATCTTCTTCCTGAGCCAAAATATAAAGCAAAAGTTGGTAGCCCTTCTGCTAGGGACGGAAGATTATCAATTCACTTTTGCTTCATACCTTCCACTTCTTTTGTTGCCAAAGTACAAATTGGAGCTTTCTTCTTCAGCATTAGTCACCGATTGTAATGGTGGACGGGGTTTATTATATACTCTTCCATGCTAAAGAGTATAAGAAATAGATGTTGCTTTCGTGGTTATATACCATATCTCGTAATATTTTCACGGGAAATTATAATAGAGTGCAATGGGATACATAAAAACGCAGTCCTTTGGAGTAATTACTACTTTTTGTAACTGTCCCTCTTTTGGATTGTAGTGCTTTCACTATTTTCGTTGAACAATGGACTTAAATAAGTGACCGACTGATCATATGATCATTTACCCAGAGAAAGGAGGCTTCCATTTCTGCTTTGATGAAGATGAGGATGTTGAGTTTATATTTCGATCTGCTTTTGGAGGTGAACGTTACTGTTATTGGTCATTTAATAAGGGGAGTAATTTCCATTGGAGGGAAGCTTCTAGAACCACTTGGAATTGGAGATCTAGGAGAGAAAGCTATTCTTCAGATGAAGATGAATCTGATTCAACTTCAGAGAGACTGGCTCTTGGTTTGAGTGCTTCTGAACCACTAAAGCTAGAAGATGTTAAGAGTGCGTAAGTTTTTTTTTCTTTTCACTATTCTTTTTTAGTTTTCTTTTGGAAAATTGTTTCTTTCTTTTTTATTGTCCTCGCGAGGTTTTACATCTTCTTGCTTTTCCAAACCAATTCCTTGTTTCATATTGTATGATTTCGACTTTTGCTCTAGAGAAATTGAAGATATTTTTAAGTCCATATCAATGGCTGCCATGTTACCACTTTTATTGTTTCTTATATCGTTTTTCATTTCCAGATACCGAGCTTGTGCTTTAAGATGGCATCCAGATCGTCACCAGGGTTCTTCAAAGGTATAATTCTCGTAAAAATAGTCATGAGGTTAAGTTTTAGATAATATTGATGGACATGGATTGTTGATTTGGTACTTGTTTGTTTGAAAAACGCTAATGTTTAAGTGATTGCCCTCATTTGTATTTGCTGTTCCTATGCCTTCAGCATTGTTTTTAGGATCAAAGCACGCATGATTTAGTGGTCTTTAGGTGAACTCTCCACCAAATTTGGCTCAAGAAACATCTTGAGGATTTTAGCGGGAGAACTTCATCACAAAGCATCTTGATGAAGCATTTCCTCTGTCAATATTCAGGAAAGAAAAGGGATTTTGGTGGCAGGGGACCTCTAGTTGTTCTTTTTACATGGTTGTGAACAGCCAGTAGTCTTTTCTTTTTTGAATTGCCAGGATGGGTTCTGGTCGATAAGACCTTAACAAATTGGGTTTAGTGATCTACTTGACTGAAACCGTTCAGCCAATTCATTGAATGTGTTGTATGAACTGAAAGGAAGATTCTTATACCACCATGGTATGCTGCTCTCTATGCCCCAAGAAAAGAGATTACATGGGATAGGACCCCTAAATCTTCTGTAAATTCGAGAACCTCCTGAAGTACAGATCCCAGGTGACGCTTGGGAGATCATTCTGTATTTAAGGAAATTTTTGAGCGGGAAAATGAGTGATTAGAGCTCTGTAACATAACCTGAAGGATCTTTACATAGATGAGAAGAGAAGCATAGAACAGTTGCTCTCTGAGTATCATGTTCATGTAGGGAAAGTATACTACTGCACTATACCCATCGTGTGTGTGACTTCCACTTGACAGACCGATGGACTTTGGGCACTGGAATGGTTCATCGCCATTCTCCATCTTTGAATATGAATTGTGGGGATTGTGGGGATGAATGGCATACGCACTGCGCACATGATGTTCTCCATGTGTTGCGGCTTGTTTGAGTGTTGTGCTGTTACATACATACAATTGGATGTGCTTATACATGTCTGCTTTTGCCAGAACTGTTGTGTACCGACTTATTCACTATATCATAATGGCTTAAATTTATTTGCTTGAGATTTAAACTTAGTTGTTAAACATTAGCTTTATGTGGAAATAGGTGGCAGCAGAGGAGAAATTCAAGCATTGCAGTGCTGCTTATAAGTCCTTATGCGATAAACTGGCCCCAGCATAAGGTAATCAAATAGGACGCTTCTCTCAATTTGGCTTAATAAGGTACTTTGGTGTTCAATACGCAAAGGAAATATCCACTTGGGTTTTGATGAAAGAAATTGATGTACATATAGAAAATTTATCATAGTTATTTCGTGAAATTTGACGTAACTTCCCTATCAAATGAAACAATTAAATTTAAAGCTTCAAACCAAAACCCGCCCCTTCTCTATTATCCCTCTTCTCCTTATATTTATCTTGTTAAAGGCTATGTTTTATGTTTTATGAGATTGTTTGTTCTAATCCGTTCCTCTTTTGTGTCATCCGTTATCCCCTCTAAATGGTAGTTATCCATGCCTGGTTGTCACATTAGAACATATTTTACTAGTTTCAGGCTTATTCACAGTTTTTTCTGGAATCTCATATCGAATAATCAAGTCTGTAATTTTTATGTCATTCTGAAACTAATTACAAGAAAAGCTATTTTTGGGTTCTCATTTAGAGAGCTACAGCATGTGCATGTGTGTCTGTGTTTGCTCACACGTGTGTGGTTGTGCTGGCCTGCATGAGAGAGAGATGATCTAGGAACTCTAAACTGGTAGTTATCTTGTTGTTGAGATTCCTCACCATATGATTGATACCTTTATCTAAAATCAGGTGAAGCATGATTCAGTTTATCAGCACCATTCGCTGGCTCATTTTTCACTCAGATTTGCGGCCTAGCTGGGCCCCCCTCGCTGGAATGGAGGCTACATCTTTGCACAGCCACCCATGATATGCAGTCTGCTTAAGGGAGGTTGATGCTCCCTCACTTACCCAAAAAAAAAAGAAAAAAGGTTGATGCTCCTCTTCGATGCCCACGTACTAATATGGGAAAAAAATAAATTAAAGGAGTCTTGTTCCTATAAGATTCAATTTTGTTGTGCTGTCTTTGCAATAATTTGAAAGCTTATTTAGATTCAAAATATTGAACTCGTTGGCTTTTTCCTTTGATTCTATTGAGGCTTCTCTGATTTAGGATAAATTTTATTGTGTTCATGCAGTATGGCCTGTCAAATGATGGTGGTAATTTACCAGTGACTGTAAGCGGTTGCATGAGTCATGTATTGGTCGATTAGCGGTCGATTTATTGCATTCATGTAATTTTTGGGTGAATGGTTTTGGTATTTCTGGAAAATTAATGTGGAAATATGTCTGTTTTTTTCTTTCACAAGCAAAAAGATTTTCGAGAAAATATCATTTAAGGGTTTGAATCCCTTAGCAAAATCATTGAAGGCCCCTTTAAACGATCGTAATTAAACAATTGAAGGGTCTCTTTTCTGCTTTTTCGTTTATTTAGATATCTTCTCAAAATATTTTACAAATTTCTAGTCGGCAAGGCCAATCTTTATAACTACGACAAATACTATATTACATTGATTTTTATTTTCAAAATAGTACATGATATTTGCGAAACAAATGTTAACAACAAATTAAGATCATTACAAAATGCATGAATGTCAAGCTTTTGGTCTAATATGCATCTTTTGCTCTTTCGGTACCGAGTTTATTGTTTACTTAACACGGACATGGACAGTTAGATAGTCTTTGTATCCTCGTGTTATCCGGATCTTGTTATCAATATACCTGCAATTCCAATTTTGCATAAGAAATTTAGATCTTCATACGTAAAGCAAAATTATAAAAATTATCAGATCTCTCAGCCTCAACAGAACTCAAGTTTTAACAACGAGGTTTTCGGTGCAACTCCCACACTTGCTGAAAGCCCAGAGAGAGAGAGAGAGAGAGAGAGAGAGAGAGAGAGGACGGACGGAACGTAAAACGTAACTTAGTAGTTAGTAAGTAAGTACGAACAACTAACTAACGAAGTACGTTACTACTACGTTACGTTTACGTTTCGTCGTAGTATAC